GGAGTGAGTTTGGGTCTGCACCAAGCCAGCTCGTCAAGGGTCAAATCTAAATTGAAATAGTCGAAACGTTCATGGTCCTGGTCCTGTCATTCCTTTTGACATCCGATGGGGTGACATTTATTCCAGGATAGGCAAATAGATTTGGAGTCGGAGAAGAGTCATATGAGGGACTCACAACCGTTATCCCTTCCAGCGAAGGTTCTCGATGGGAGAAGCTAAAGCTTGAACTGGCATCGACCATACAAAATAACTTGAAGCTTGATTTGATACGGTGTTGACCGGCGCCACGCCACAGGCATCCGACTTATCGTGGGGACCCTGTACCGCGAATTGGATTATTTGTGTTTCGCTGCATGCAACAGGCACCAGCGCTTAGTAAACCGTCCTCAACCTCCTTATAGGGGGACTCACAGAGACTCGAGCATAGGATTGTCCACGGGGTGTTAATGGACATGAATACGAAAAAGGAAGACAGAATGGTGCTGAGGTTGAGAGTGTTACGCATGTCAGCCATGCTTCAAATGCTTGGGGTGGATGTAGCTTCGTGTTAACGCTGTCAGTATACGATGTAGTAGGGTTATCTGGCGCAGGTCCTCAGGAGCGCCAGGTATCTTGGCGAAGTAGCAAGAGTCCTGACTCTACGGTAGTCAGGTAGTCCAGCGCTGTGTCGTATTCAGTCCTCGATGGATAGAGCCGCAGCCTCCTGCTATGGATGGTTTCCCTTGCAGTCTGTGCCCAGAACGAAACACTCACAGTCACTAGCTAGTATTTTTCTCAAGTCCGTCCACCCTACCCACCTTGCGGGAAACGCGAATCGCACGGAGGATGGATAGTTGCTAAATTCATCGTGAATTTGCCGTTTCTCAGCTGGCAATATGGCTTGGCCGGCCGTGGTTGTGAATTGAGCAGTTAGGATGGTATTTGCCTTTCATCTAACTTTGATCGGAGTGCAATATCTATACATTGTTGACAAGGGCCAAAGCTCGAATTTCAGATACAGTGCAGTTGAGGTTTGTTTATTTACATCTATTTGTGTCCGTCGACATCCCGTTGATCAATGACATGGACATCTATGAACAAGACCTGCCCATAGCATAGTCCCGGCAACACGATTTTCTGATCTGGATGCAAATGATATCAGACTTTCCAGACTGCGGTACACCAATATCGTGATGCACACAGCACGTTCCACGAACTTGTTCGGAAGCACCTTTAACTTCAATGTCGTTTGCCTTGGATCCAGGATGTAGTGCACAATATTTCAAATTGACAGGTCACATCCATTCAACCATTTTGCTGATGCCGGCTCCAGACTTCTACATTATGTGCGAATGATATCAAATCGTTTCAATATATTCATTGTGGCGTTGGGAATATCATCATCACCCTACTACTCCGATCTACAGGAAAGTCCTGCCAGTAGCCACTGATAGAGATATCTCCAATACAGACTGTCAGAGGTTGGGAAACGTAGCCCTTCACGGAGTTCTGGTAGCCGATGGAGAACTTAGAGCCATCAGCGTTGTAGGTGAGGGAAATAATTGAGTGTCGAGGATAACCTCGAATCATTGACATGGGCCCTTAGATGTCATACTCGATCTTGGCCGCAGCTGAAACATAGTAAAGTTGAGGTGTTAACACGACGGCAAGGGAGGATAGGGCGGAAATACCAAAGGGGAGTGCATTGTGCCATGATCGATAAACTTCCTCAGGCCTCAGGGGTTGACCAAATGCTATGTCCAACGCCACCTGCGCCCATCAAAGGAAATTGTTGGTAAGAAGTATGTGCACAGCATTTATCCCGGTGACTGATCAACTTGAAGCGATGCTAACATCATCTTGCTGGTCACATGCAGTGCAATATCTCTCAATAAGGAAGGGACTATCAAGCGAGACTCGAGGGAGCTCAGTTGTCACCTACTAAGGCAAGTGGGAGATGGACACGGAGAGCAGATAACAATAACACCAGTGTGAGTTGGTAGAGGTGGCACATTTCTGGCAGGCGAACACTCGAGCATCTCACTGTCTAACCACGGAAAATCACAAACACGTCTTGCATACATCACGACCGCGAGCTAATCATACAAGCATTCTATCACGGAAGAGTCAGCACCAGCAGCTGGCAGCTGCTACTTAGGTCTCCTTTCATTTCAAAACACCTATTACAGCGGTACGAACGACCAATACTTCTTGTTTGAGTCGGGAGCTGGCTCAACAGTGATCTGGATGGATGTTGGTCATCAATAAAACCAAAAAAGGTCATCGTTAAAAAACGAACCGTGGTCCCGACGTCGTCGTTGTTGAGAACCCAGACTTTATTCAAGTCCTGTGGATGGATCCTGCGGACAAAGATGAAGAATGAATCCTGGATACAGCTGGGACCAAAGACTGCACTCACAGATAACCATTGCCGGCAGCGGACAACTGGAGCACCTGGGGCTCGTCGTAGGCTACGACTTTCTTTTTCTACGATTTCACGCTGTTAGCAACCTCGCATCTGTCAACACCAGACAGACCAACCTCTGAGTCAACCCCAATATACAAACCTACCGAACCATCATAGAGTGTCACAAGACCCTCAACGTTGTCTATGATGTCGACTTCGATCTACGGGCATTGATGAGCATGGGAAGCACGTTGCTATGATGATGCACGCGTACCATGTTGCCATTTTCCTCACCGACGAACTGCTTGTTGTCTGACATAGAGACGTACCGGTATGGATACTCGACATTGGCGATCCTGAATCGTCCAGAGGGGGTGTCGCTCATGGTTGATTGAATATTCTGTTGGATATTGATTGAGAGAGGGTTGTTGGTAGAAGCTGACGACAACCTGAGGGTACGCCGCGACCTTTATATCCACCTGGCTGAAAGCTTCATCACCGTGACCAGTTCCAGATAGGTCAATCTGAGTTTGGTCTTGAGACCACGACTCGCTTAGCTTTTGGCACTGATCAAAGGCCGGATTCCGTTGGAGGCAAGTTCTTCTGATGGAGGTGCATCAAATGCTTCCAAACCTGCTGCGCGTGACACTGACCTACATCATTGACCTAATCATTCCTCGGGTCGCTTCCGGTTTATCGTTCTCGTACATTCCTAGATGTCGAACAACTCCTTCTTACCCCGCCGCTGATTCCCATTTCGAACAAGGCTACCAGCAGAGTGACCAGTCCCCTGTTACTCATCCGAAAATTTTCGGCTCCCAGAAATGTTACCTCACTCCAAGATACACGAGTGTGCATGTTAGCATATTGACGACAGTGGACTTCCCAGCCTCCGCGGCTTTTAGGGTGTTGTGAAATTTTGCTGAGTGTTTCGAGTGTTTCAACTGAGATATTACACAGTCGCGCAGCTTGTGGTGTGCTGAGATCAGGGAATGTGCGCTCCACTTTGTCTGCATGCACTACTGAGATTGAGAGGATCATCCAACAAAGGCCTTCAGTGGTGAATTTCGGAATTGATCGGAACAGTGACGCGAGGGGGCGTCCAACACACGCCATCTTACTCTAGGGGCATTGGTTTTCATGTTCTATCAAATTCAAACTGCACCATAACATCAAAGTTTCATCTTTGCGAGTTTCAAATTCCCTTGCGTTCTGCCGTGGACCGGCCAGTCTTTGCCGGATCGGTTAGGAAGACTCGCGGGATTCTGCCAGCAATACTAAATCTGGTCTATCGATATGAGAGTAGCTGTAATCCGGTCAATGACTGTTTGAATGGAAGGTTCGCTGCACCCCTGAATGCTACTTGTGGACCAACTTGAAGTTGAGCGTTCAGTGACCTGTTACCGCTCTGCCACCGTTCGGCTGCCAAGCCGTGGCGAAAGCAAGGTACCATAAGGTCCATGCAGTGAGCGAGGTCTTCACTGAATTTTTGCTCGTACCTTGCTGTGGGAGCCGAACAATTTCAGAGTCACTCATCACCGCTTCAAGGTATAAGCAAATTAATCACCGTTCAAACGGTGTCACTGTGTGCCAATATTCGATGACCCCCGTCACCTGGGAGTCATTTGGAACAATAAAAAAAAGGTTATTGACACAGACCACATTTGCTTGTAGGTTTTCCGTCTTTTGGTGAGTACCTTGCACGAAGGTGTAGAATACTTAGTAGATCCGAGTCATACAATCCTCAGCGGAGCAAATTTTATTAACGCACGTGATTGTGTGGTGTTATAAATATAAGTATTTTAATAAAGATCGATGATCCTTCATAGGAGACAGCGTTGAGGCGTGCGCATAGTTGATGTTGGAGGCCAAACCATGATGGGCGATAGGTTGACAACGTGTTTGTGATTTGAGCAGCGGGCACTAGAATTTGACAGGGAGATGAGTTTTGTCGAACGAGGGTGTTAAACTGACTTGGAATACACATGGATAGTCAGAGGGGTGACTTACTAACAGCGGGTATAGTGTAGCAAGAGACACGGTATCAGCCAAAGAATAGCTAACGAAGATGAGTTCCTCGGGGTCTTGCATAGGCTTGAAGTAGCAATGCTCGTACCTCGAATTGACACAACATTTCTGGGAACCGAGAATTTTCGGATGAGTAGCAGGAGGCTGGTACCCTTGTTCGAAATAGGGATCGGCGGCGGGGTAAGAAGGAGTTGTTCGACATCTAAGAATGTACGAGAACGATAAACCGGGAGCGACCCGAGGAATGATTAGGTCAATAATGTATGTCAGTGTCACGCGCAGCAGGTTCGGAAGCATTTCATCAGCGGGTTGGATTGTGTTACAGAGCGCTCTGTAGCACTCTGTAATGAATTACGTTTCCCTGATGCTGACTTGACCAGAAGAACTTGCCTCCAACGAAATCGGTGTGTGATAAGTGCCCAAAGCTAAGTGAGTCGTGGTCCCAAGACCAAACTCAGATTGGCCTATCTGAAACTGGTCACGGTAATGGAGGTGTATATAAAGGTCGCAGCGTACCCTTAGGCTGTCGTCAGTTTCTACCAACAACCCTCTCTCAATCAGTATCCAACAGAATCTTCAATCAACCATGAGCGACACCCCCTCTGGACAATACAGGATTGCCAATGTCGAGTATCCATACCGGTACGTCTCCATGTCAGGCAACCAGTTCGTCGGCCAGGACGTTGGCGAAATCGTACGCGTGCATCATCATAACAACGTGCTTCCCATGCTCATCAATGCCCGTAGATCAAAGTCGACATCGTAGACAACGTTCCGGGTCTTGTGACACTCTATGATACTGCGGCAGGTGTGTACATTGGGGTCGACTTAGAGGTTGGTCTGTCTGGTGTTGACAGATGCGAGGTTGCTAACAGCGTGAAATCGTAGAAAAACACAGTCGTAAGCTCCACCGATCCACAGGTGTTCCAGTTGTCCGCTGCAGGCCGTGGGCATCTTGAGTGAGTGCAGTATTTGGTCCCAGCTGTATCCAGAATTCATCCATCGCCTTTGTCCGCAGGATCCATCCACAGGACGTGAATAAAGTCTGGGTTCTCAACAACGACAATATCGGGACCGCGGTTCGTTTTTATCGCTGACTTGGTTTTATTGATGACCAACGTCCATCCAGATCAGTGTTGAGCCAGCTCCCGGCTCAAACAAGAACTATTGGACGTTCGAGATGGTGGTGGAATAGGCGCTTCGAAATGAAAGGAGACCTAAGTAGCAGCTGTCAGCTGCTGGTGCTCTGACTCGTCTGTCATAGAATGCTTGTATGATTAGCTCGCGGTCGTGTGCAAAACGTGTTTATGACTTTCCATGGTTAGACAGTGAAATGTCCGAGTGTTCGCCTGCCAAAGATATGCCGATCAGTCATTGGGATAAATGCTACGCACAGACTTCTTACCGACAACTCCCTTGAATGGGCGCTGGTGGCGTTGGACATAGCATTTGGTCAATACTACAGGAAGATAGCCTCGTCTGGAACCAGGAGTTCTTCGACCATGCACGATATCCCTTTCAGTATTTCTGCCTCATCCATCGTTACTTGATCAGTCACTGATCGTTCTGACTGAGAGCATCCTGAGAGAGATGATCTGATGGCACGAGAAGAATGAAAGCTAAATCATCATACCGCCTTCTCAGCCGAATTCTGATCCCTCCTTTGATGCTGGTGGACCAGTAACTGTCCCAGAATCATTACCCCAACGCTAGTCATTGCTGAGATGTAACTGAATGTTTTTGACAGTGCATCGTCGACAACAAGGGCAAGAAAAGCAACATTTGCGTTGAGCACCATAGTCGCCTGGTCAAAGCTTGGGCGATGGTACAAAAGATACAACATGCACACACAATTAGTGCAAGACTAGACTGATCCCCATTCAGCTTGGCTATAAACTGCCTCCAGAGAACGCGATTGAACATTTTGTGCCATCAAGCTCCTTCGCGTAGTTACACGACGGGTATAGGGATGCCATCTAGACGAACATGAATTTGCTTGCCATTGCCTGATCAGAGTTTAGACATGCACCAGGCTGCCCGCAAGAGTTGAGGAATTTAGGCAATACTGTCAAGATGGTCTGAGATAAAGCAAGGAGAATATAGAGGACGTAGCATACCAAAGTCCTCCAGGAAGTGCGCTGCAGTCTGATGCGGGTGATCGTGGAGTGAAACGAAGTAAGGTTCACTTACCTATAATCCACTTTGCATGCAGGAACGGCTCGTCGATTATACCTGATAACGCCATTAGGATCACCTGCAGACTACACAACATGGTTTGGGGAAAAATATGCAGTACATCCGAAGTTACATCAGTAGCAACGAAAGACTGAAATTGCATGAAGTCAGGTAGCCCAGCAAAAAGTAGCGATTATATACCTTTGTATGAAGTTCAGCTCAATAATGTTAGTCCTCTCAAGCACAAGCTCACAAGTGTTACACGGAAATGACGCTTGCCGAAAGTAGTCGTTCTGCGTAGTAATTGATGTTTTCAGATCCATCTTCTGCCGAAAGATCAGCATCTGTGTATATCATATCGTTCAGTGCCATTTGCATGTGAACAAGAAAAAATGTTTCCACACACGCGTTTCAAGTAGAAGTGATATGCATAACACGCTATCTGGGAAAATATGCGGCGTCCGATCTCCGTATCCCTGTATACTGCAGAGATGTTAGCGGTGAACATTTACAGTGAATATCTCACGCACTTATTGAAATCGGCCTGACCGAACCCTGCCCAGAAGCTATTCTTAAATCCCGGTGTGAGTTTAGATAGTCAAATCTAAATTGAAATAGTCAAAATGTTCATGACCCTGGCCCTGTCATTGCTCTTGACATCCGATGGGGTGACATGAATAGGCAAATGGATTTGGAGTCAGAGACTCAGAGAAGAGTTGTATGAGAGACTCGCAACTGTCGTCCCTTCCGACAAAGGTTCTCGATGAGAGGCACTCAAGCTCGGGCAACGATTGACTTGAAGTCAATGATGGAGTCGCCATCGACCATACAAAAGAACTGGAAGCTTGATTTGGTACTAAGTGGACTGGCGTTCGAATCCTTTGTCGGGAGCCTGTACTACGATTTGAATTGTGTGGTCTCGAGCCTAGCAGGCGCCAGCATTCAGCAAGTCTCATCCCCAACTTCACTGATGAGGGGCTCACCGTGACAGAGACTCATCATTCATGCATCGGATTGTCGATGAGTTGCTGAATGTGAGGAAGAAGCCGTGACGGACTCCAAATAGTGCCGATGATAGTATCCGCGGCAAGGCCTGGAAACTATGATATGGTTCAACCAATGAATACGAAGACTTTGACTCGTGAATCTGAATGTCATTAATATTGCAATAGCTTTTACTGTAGACATCGTGTTTTCTTATTTTGTTTTCATACAATGCAAACAATTTGACATTTCATGCCTGTCTCTGTACGTATCTCCGCGAGTGTGGTAATTAAGCCCTACCGTGACCGGTATATCTTTTCATTGGACACACACTGGCTTCACCCTCTTATTTGCGGTGTTTGAAGTGGCTGAGCACCCCACTGAGTCAAGGTCATTCCATCTTCAAAACGAAATTTTATTTCTATATAGCTGTACTGCCTAGGCAGCGCATGAGGTGGCTTGCCCTGGTTGCAAATGAGGATCTCCATGTCCGATCGATTGCGCCATGCCATGATATCGAACAAGCTTGTACGAACATCCCATGCAAGAATCCACCTGCGACGAGCTACCCACCTGCGCTAAGTGAAGCAATTGACTCGGATGCTCGTCGCAACGAGGCGTCTTGTACGGCGCTCGCCACGCGTGCGAGTCCGTCTGACTCGAAGCCGAGATAAATATTAATGACGTCGAATGGGAACCCTAAGTAGAAGGCCACGACTCGTGAAAGAAGAACGCATTCCAATGATATGTGAGAGCGCTCAGTCATGGACGGAGGATCGAAGACCTAGTCGCTGGTTTTTTCCTTGCCCAGAGATCCGATATGTGAATAGGCTGGGTAGAAGTGAAACGAATACTTCCAGACGTTCAATCGCCCGGGCCTGCTGAAGCTGCAGTGGTTTGAGCATACTCCCACCAACAGTTGAGTCGTCCAGTTGGGAGCTGGAAGTGTTCAGCGCACAATATCACAACATCAAGAACACTTAGCAGACCCTGGATCAATGAATCTGGGCTGAAAGGTACCTTGACCTGCCCACACGGAACCATCGCGCACGAATAAATGGATCCCGCCACAGGAAAGGCTCTGCTGAGTGCATACTAGTCGCGCTACCGCCAAAAACATTTTATTCGTCTGTTCCCTGGAACACATACCGACAGAATAGGCAGCTTTTTGCAGTCCCGACTGGAGTCGCCCTGCAATATGCAATACCTGCATAATGTAGATATCACATACACACAACAAAACCTAGAGTAATCAACGTACGCATACATAAAATGGTAACGGAGTTGAACTAAACAAAAGAGGTGCTAGCACCATTGACGCATAGCGTTTCCATCCGACAAGAGAGTGTACGGCCATGGTCTAGAAGGTTGAAGATCAAAGTTGTTGGGACAGGTTGAAAGTAAGGGTGAAGGACAGCAACAACGAGGTTACGGACAATATGGCGAAGGGACGCGATCGAGGGTCGGGAGGAAAGACAGGGATACAAATTGGTGATAGCAGATAATGATAGGAAGAAGATACATTTGTCTGCAGCGGATATAGCGGGAAACATCCATCATCATGGATGGATGATTACAGAGCGGGGTAATTAAGCCTGGAAAATATATTGTTGATATTCTGGACACCAGCAAGAAAGAAAAAAAAAAACTTACGTCGGTTTCAGCAACTGGAGCTTCAACAGCAGCAGCTTCTTCCTCGAGCTCTTCTACAATAGTCTCTGGAGCGGGATCTGGAGCCTCGTTCTCATTTGTTGGGGCTTCAGCCTAATAATCAAGATAAGCGTGGTTTTAAATCAAACGAGGTATGTCCCACCCTAGATACAGGCTTCTTGGAGGCTGCTCTTGAAGCGGGTTTCTTGGCAGTGGTTGAAAGTGGTTTGGCAGATGCTCGAGACGCAGGTTTCGCAGCCTTAGAGGCTGGTTTTGCGGGGGCTGCCTGGGAGGCTGGCTTTGAGGCGGCCTTGGATGCAGGCTTCGACGCAGCCTTGGATTCGGGTTTAGCCTGACGATTGGTTCAGTATACGCAAAACGCGCAGTAAAAAAAGGAGAGGCCAACCAACCTTTTTGGCGGCGGGTGCCTCTTCACTCTCTGGTTGAGCGCTCTCTTCCGCAGCTTTTTCAGCAGCAGTACGCTTCTTTCCCCTGGCGGACTTGGGTTTAGCTTCAGCTTCACTGTCTTGTTTGTCGCTATCTGCAGTAGGTTTAAATTTTCTTCCCCGCGGCTTCGCGGGAGTCTTCTTGGTTGCTGGGGGCTTGTCCCGACCAGCAAGGCGGGATGAACGGCGAGCAGGATTAGCGTCACCATCAGTAGCTGCTGTGGTAGTGCCAGTGGGTACGGAGTCGTCTGCAGGTGCGGTGGACGCAGCGGCTTTGCGGGGCATCGCGATTGATGGATTGTGGGTGAAGAAAAGTGAGGGTGGACGCGCTCGACACCCTATTACATTTGAACTTTATCTAGGATATCAACAAACAATACTCGATCACCTGACCAAAAGCGCGTATACAGCTACAAACAATCACTAATCTGCGCACGGTCCCGAACCGAGGCAGCTTACGACCTTAAGTTAAATAGTAATCGCTTCCTTTAGCTATAGTCTAAGTTATTACTTTATGGGTCATCGACACTTCTGCTCAATTGAGAGAATCCTCCTCAGCAGACAGGTAAACATATTCTTCTTCACTCTATTGATTTATTGATGTACACACAATGCCAGCAAGTACCTACTTAGAGTATCTGCTCGTTCCAATGAGGCAGCTTCACAGATGTAAGCGTTAAATACGCAAACAAAAACGATACCTTCGATCACAACTTGGCCAATACGGCGTCAGCACCAGAAACGGTCACTCCGGGGCCAGGCTCGACCTACGTATCCAGTCATCAGGATCCCCAATGATATAGTGTTCGCAGGAAATACACGAACCCCGATGTATTTGATAACCAAGTCGTCTATGATCATGGCGTATCGTGCAGTACGAATTCCGAATCCGCGCTCGGAGAGGTCGACACTTAATCCCAGGCCGCCTGACCACGCGGCATTGGGGTCAGAGAGGGTGATTATCTGGGCACACAAACTCTTTCGTTTGCTCCTGGAATGACCTGATGGTATGGACGATTTACCTTGTCTGTCAGTCCCTCAACACGTCCCCATCCGCTCAGGACGAACGGATCATTGGCAGCGATGACAGCGATAACATCGACACCCTTGGCTTTGAACTCGTTGTACTGGGCAAGGTAGGGCGGGAGGTGGTTGATGTGACAAGTTGGCTAACAGGATGGGGTGAGTTCAATAATCAGAGATGCATTTGAGAATACATACGGTGAAAGCACCAGGCACTGAGAAGAGCACAACCTTCTTGCCCTTCCAACTGTCAGTAGAGAGGTTGGTGGCTTGTGATCATTCTGATAAGCCTTATTCTACGGGTACCGGCAGAAAACAGACGCACGAATGCCACACGCCGACTATGCGTCACCAGACATATCAGCGACAATAATATTAGGATTCGAAGCGATATGACTCACATGATCAGCTAACTCTTCGGTGAAAGGAACAGTACCGAATGTGCCCTTTGGAAGAGTGTCACCAACGGAGATCTTGAGGGATGCCATGAGCGAGTTGGGTAGTAGTAGGTCAAGCAAATAGGTGACAACTCGATGAAAGCGACGTGGTTTGACAATGAGATAATCGCGATCGATGAGCGCTGGAGCTGAACACCTTATCTAGTATACAAATTCGCGGAGTTCCGCACACTCCACGATCACACTTGGATCACACGCTACTACTACACTTGCTTGAGTTCTGGACTGGTAAGAAAACGCTGAAGTTTGCACTGCAGTTGCGCAGTATTTGATAGGCATGCATGTCGTTATGATCACGCTGTTGGACGCCGTTTGGTATCGATTCAAATCTGATTTGACGATCAATCAATATGTTATATAGGTTGATCATGATAGCAACTTTGTTGTTATAAAATTAAATTATCTCCATTATATTGCCACTGATATCCGGTATGTTATGGATTGACATCGCTAGGAAGAAGAACACACCAGTCATTTGGTGAAATCATTCTTTCATCGATAAGAATTGCCCCGTCTCACACACCTATGTATATATGATTTAGATCTCGGAAGGCATGTATTGAGTTGCCTTGTGGGACCCATTTTGGCAGAACCTCAAAAGACCGGGTGCCGAATAACGCTTGTCCTCGGATCTTTTCGACCGACCACGATGTTTAGAGGTGCAACTGTGAAGATAGCCCATAGCTCGACAATCCCTGTTCCTGCCCTGATCGGAAATGAGGAGCTCAGGCCTCTACAAGATTTGATTGCAGCAGAGAAGTCGGTGTTGACTTCGTGAGTCCACCTCGCGTTTGACACAGCTATCAATCAAACCTCGACGCAGGCTACAAAGGTTGAGCTCAGACTTTTCCAAAGCGGCTGATGCCATGAAGACATGGGCAATTTCTGAAGGAGATGACCTTTCTGTAAGTCCTGGCATTGTCTCCAGATAAATTGAACATCGAACCAACATCGAACGGGGGTTCAGGATATATTGAGTTCATCCAGAACACTCCTGGCGCACTTTTCAGGGGCGCTTAACCGCTATAGCTCTATTCAAAACATCATTCGAGACAATATGAAGGCCGTGCGTACGCGTGAAGAATCCCTTGACATCCTTCAACGGCGCCGGCGGCGTACTGCAGCCTCTGTAGAGAGCATCAGGAAAAAGCTCGCCCGAATGAACCAGGAGACCAAGGCATTCCATGCACAGATGGACGCATTGAACATTTCATGTAAAGCCATGCGAAATTTGGACGCAAAAATCGCTCACGAACAATCAACGATCGACGCTTTCAAACGTAAATGCACGAAAAACTGGTTGACATTAAAGTTTGGAGGTCTTACAGAGTGCTGTGAGAAGGGCATGGTATGTTCTGCACGCCATTCAGTCACAACTTCATATCTGAACATCTGAACAGATTATAGGGGAGATTGGGAAGCGAATGGTAGTCGTGGGTAATGCCCTATTACTTACCAGTGCTTAGTTCTCTAAGAGGAGCTGGGACATCAGGAACTTTCGGAGTCACCCAAACATCCGTATGTGGGGCACAAGCACACGACCTCGTTACTGTCCGAGGCCCAGCATCGCATCGTCCAAGTGGCATTTTCTGGAACGCCATCCGGTTACGAGACACACGAGGCTCCGCGCGCACCGATTTCCCAAAGTCTGAATTGCTTCAAAGATCTTCCAGAAATTCGTGACGAGCCCTTTGACGTGATATCCGTCGATTATCTCCCTGTCAGCAACCGATCTTCGCTTGACGATGATATGGTAACAGCTCCCGTTCATATCGTATGTCCTCATGATCAATCTCACCCGGAGCTTATATAAACTTTAAGAATAGCTTTCGGAAATTGGCCCGTCGACGACTTACACACCAGACTATGGCTGTCAGGCAGAGTCATCTCTCTCATGTTCTGAGCTATCTTCAGCTCCTTCTAGCCGCAGAAGGATGACAGGGAATTCTTGCAATAGGAGGTACTCCGCATTGGTGCGGAGTAGATTCTTTCCCGGCTTTAGACTCGATAGCATCGCGGAAGGTGATGAGCCTTTATCTTCCTCATCTATGTCCAGTGATATCGGAGACCCACGGTCATGTCTGAACCTGATCGGCCCGCATATATCAAGTTTGGAAATCACTTCGTCATCGAGTGGTGGTATTTATGAAGAAATATTAACAGGGCAGTGTCCACCTTGTTCAAATCTATGAATTTGAGGTATGGCAGATACAGCCTTGTTGATCGAGTGGAACGTTGAACATTCGTCCCTGCAGTGAAATGCTGTATTCATAATACGTATTATGCTAGTATGCAATCTTATCACATGGAGATGCCAAGCAGGTCGCCACGAACGCAATACTGGTACATGACCGGGGTCAGGGATACTATATTGCCGGTCGTACAGTAAAGGGCTGCTCGATTCTAGAAGTCTGAGTTCACTTGGGACCCGAGCACATCGCCAAACCTTGTCCCTAAATGGGACTCGTGCCTAGGCCCCAAACCTTTATCTAAACGTTAAGTAGTATCAAGTGATTCCATTTTTGAGTTGATTATATTCACGAACATGCTACATATGCATATCATGCACTCTATGGAAAGGTTAAGGGTTAGAAATGTGAATAACAGGTCTGGGATGTGCTTTAACTTGACTGCTTGTAGATACATGCACCGTGCGCTGTAGGCCTAGGTACGAGTCCCGTTTAGCACTGGCAGCGAACTCGAACATTTGGAATTGAACGATGTTACATAAATTGCTGAGATCCTTATTATGTAATTAGTAAGGTTGCATAATAAACCGTCATTTAGAGCTTTGAAGGCTAGTACTGCTTTGCTTCCCGTGCTCTCATGCTGGTTATCTGGCGTCCGAGTCAGCCCTCAAAATATCATTAATCGGTGGGCTATATCGGAACTTCGAGAAGCGGGACTGTGAAATGACACCCAGTCACGAGCACTAATAGCGCACTATCATTGAACAGGAGATTATGGTGAATGTTCGTCTTCGACCATTCACTGAGCCACGATGGGCAGCGAAACTCGCATGCCATCACAATTCTCATACTAATCGAAAGAGGCTAGCACAACCACCTTTGATCAGCAGGACATTAACAACACCTAGCCAAATATGCAGTGGCCGCGGCTACTATGCTTTGGAGCGGGATCTCTTTCCACTGTCTCCTTATCAGTTTGATGGCTCATGCCAAGCATCCGACCCAGGGGAACGTGAAGTTTTCGGAACCCGAGCCGTGGTACCGCTTTCCGTCGGACTCGCAAGCCAGCGCTACTATGCGTACGATGCGAACGTGGAAAGCGTGGCAGTAACTATGATACTGTAGCGCCTGGAAGTAATTCAAACCGAGCCTCATTTCGTAGCCTAATCAATGACCGGGACCCATAGAGTTGTTAATCGTAACGGCTCGCGGCTTCTCGAGCGCCTGTTGAGCTGAAACAACTGCATCAATACTCGATATCTGCAGTCTTCGAGTGTGTTCCACTGTGGTGGTCTGGAAAGTGCTTCAAGCTCTGCAGAGTCACGGTGTGGAAGATCGTGGCCTCCTTTGGAATAGTGAGTGCATCAGTGCTATGAGAGGCTTTCAAGTTGGTCGTTGATTCACTAGTACAGCCATGTTGACAACACGTGGGTGTTCTAGGTTTTGGCCATATCTAACAGGCAGTACCTAAGTCATAGGTGCTCGTACAAGTTTGTTCTTTCGAATTACTTAATATTCCTGCTGACTGAGAGTCTCGATGTGCCTCCGGTTATGACGGTTCAAGGTACCCCGAAAGCTATTTCTCACGAATGCAGATCGGATTCACGAGCAAACCTGGAAGTTCGAAAGTTATATCTGAACCGGTCCGTCCGGGATTCAAGGTGTGGCAATGTTAAATTATATCCTCACAGACTCCGGCCGGGGCAGGTTCCTTGTAATTACACTCCCGGTATGAATATTGCCATCGACCGGCAGTTCACGTTTCTTTCAAGCGCGCATTTGAAGTATAAAAGCCTGGACCTGGGACAACCTATGCATTCAAAAAGCCACAATGTTCTCTCAAGCTCTCACTGTTCGCGCTGATAGCATCGCTCGTCATTTCGAGACGGTCTTCCTTTTTACAAAAAATGATATCAGAACCACTCTGATACCTGTCGTATGTGCCAACTATCGTACCTTTCGCCCCCTTGTTCAATGACACTTTTCAGACTATATTCGCATTATCTGCGGCTCCCAAATACAACCCCACCCATGCTTGGAATGCCCCTTTGTGGATATGGTTCCACTTATTGCAGTTCAACATTGCAAACCAGATCCAGGATCCGGAGGAGGACCGCAAGAACAAGCCCTCCCGTCCGATACCTGCTGGTCGCATTTCTGTCGACAGCGCAGCTGATATGCGCTGGGTTATGGTCCCAGTCTGCTTGTTGCTATCGTTGTGGTACGGCACTCAGGCTGTGCTGGCCAGCACGGTTTTTGCAGCGTTGACAATCTGGTACAACGAACTTCGCGGTGATAAAATGGGATTGTCGAAGAATGTACTCACAGCCATCCTCTACGGGTGCCTGGAGGTCGGAGGAACCGTCGCTGGTAAATCCATCCAGTCACATAAAATATATCATGTTGCTCATCGAGCGTACAGGTTCTCCCGACTCATGCATCGATATGGCTGGTGCTTTGGCGGCTGCAATTAGCTCGACAATCTATGCGACTACGCTTCATGCACAAGACTTTAAGGATGAAGAGGGCGATCGCCTCACTGGCAGGCGCACGCTGCCCACAATGTTCCCTAAAGCCGCGCGCTTTTCAATGATGTTTGGTCTTCCCCTCTGGGCATATGCCTTGAGCCGTATCTGGAAGACAGATGCGCTCTCTACCACTGCATTTGTACTTTACAGTGCATTTGTGGGAACCCGATTCGTGATGTACAAGACGGTAGGCGACGATAAGCAGTCCTGCAAATTTTATAGTGTGAGTCCAATTGTTACTTGGGAGCACACCGAGTTGAAGCTGACAATGGACTCATTAGCTGTGGCACTCGCTCGGTCATCTACTTCCAGGTTACTGGCGGTTCTTCTACGGTGTTTGAGTATCCGGAGCTGAAAGTCGCATTTGTCCCGCTTTAAGTTAAGGGCGAAAGGGAGCGAATAGGAGGGGGTGGACACAAATGATACCCGGAAGAAATGCGTGCTTACTCATGTTACATAAATTACGTAGATGTAGATAATTTTCATTTTGTTTCCCTTACATAATAATGATATTTATGCGAACAAGACCAAGCGGGCAAGTACAGAAGTACTTTATCATCTGCACCCGCGCTACAACCACCCATCCTGACGGCGCCGTCAGGCATAAGTATCAGTGCTACCACCACATCAAAAGAAAAGTCGATGCAGGCCGAATGTAGTGGGCGTGAGAACGTCACAAACTCATCATCGATGGTTGTCACGCATTCGTCGATCTTTTGAACCTGAGGCCCGAGCCTTAAGCTTAAAGGTGTCGAAAGACTTGCTAGGACTAGGTTTCAAGTACGTCACATTGGTCCCTCATTTCAGCAATATTAATAGGAAAGATCGAGATGCTGTATGTAACAACGAGACACGGGCGCGGCTGGCTCTGAATCGTCAGCTACCGCCAGTGTAGACGTCGACCATCAGCCGGGTCCACCGAGTCTTTAACAGATGTGTTACTAAAGCCCCGAGTCGAGCGGATAGACACTCAGACTGGACCTCGATATGATTCCCAGATTTCTATTCCAATCTCTGCCCTAGATTTTCCATAGTGAGTACTGACTTCGCAAGAAGCCACAGTCCGGGCGATGTTTGTCGTCCTCACGACGTGAACTATAATCACCTCCTAGACTTGAGTTGCGCCATGCCGATTATTTTTATCGCAATAATCACGTCAAGTCTCATTTGTACAACGTTCATTTCGTCTCGCAGCTTGGGTTCGTTCCTAGAACGGGATGCGGCCTCTGGCAGACTAGGTTAAGGTACGTTGCATAGTCTTTGTGCACCATTTCCCGATAAAGTTCTGACTTTACGTTCAGATAGTTGGCCTATCCAGTCTGTTTGTAACGTTTGAACTAAGCCACGCTGCCACAGCGCCATCTTCTGTGACCGAGCTATATAGCGCCTGGCAGGATCTTGATCATGACACGTACGGACAGAAATGTCCGAATCCGGTAAATACTTGCTTGTACAGTCAGACTATATCACTGTCTTCTGCATTCCTCGGGTGGCACCACATCTGCGAAGAGTTTAACGTAACTTGAACTGTTATCTGAAGTCCGATTTCGCTCCTCGGAATAATGTGCAGGTAGGTGGCAGTTTCGTGACGACGTGATAATTCTGACCATACCATCCTCATTTGTTGCTCTATGCGACTTTACTCGGAAAGGCGGCCCCTTTCATATCATTGTTTTTGGAAAATCTACGGCAAGAAAAACCTTGAGCACCACTTGTATCTGTCCCGCACCGTAACGGTGGTGCTCGTTTTTGCATTGGCCCATTCTAAGAAAGCATCGTGGACAGTAAAGGATTAGTTCTGAAGTGAGTCATCATGGTCACCCTCCCCGGCATTCGGCTCTATCACCTACAAGCCCCTACGCCCGATTGTACCACAAAGGTCCGCATGAATCTCACCACGTTGCACGCATGCGCTAGACTGTCACCCACCTTTCAGTAATAGTTTGCACTGGGATGCAAGGCAGTGCCTGTGGAGATCCTTTTGGTAACGTAATGCAAGGAAGGAGGTACAGTAAGTACGCCCTCTGGTCACTCCGCGGAAACTATTTCCCCATTTGAATCATTCCTTTGTTTACGCTTTCAGTCAAGTTGGTGGCACTCAGAAAACCTTGTTTGGTGAAGGATACGACTAAATCAAAGTAAATCGCATTGCAATATTTGATGTTCACTTGTCAGATTTAGAGTTTCCGAATCAGACGGCCAATCATCGTCACCGCCGCATGTAACGTGTTGAAACTAAACACTAGGATCAGACTGAAACGCATCATGCGCAGGCGGGAAGTAAATAAAGAGTACCCTCAGTCCCAGATAATGGACTGAGGCAAGAGAGCTTACTTAGTATCTACGAGAGTCCGGTTGGTATTTCAAACGGTCTGGTTCCGCGTTTGCGTCGGCATTTTCAACGGAATTCAGACACGCTCAGGCTATGTTCGGCCAAAATTGACATGTAGTATGTCTTGTTTCCCCTTCTGATCTGACTTCACCTGATGAGGAGCCCTTTCAACGGGCAGAAAGCTCCTTTTAGCTTTTTTTTCACTGGAGAACGTAGCACACACTAGTGGTATCATCTGAACTAGTTGTGTGGAGATTCTACTACTCATGACGGCATCCAATCCAGGGTGCCAATTAAAGTTTACAGGCCGGCGTATGTTGCTTTCCTATAGCTTTGTTTCATAGTAAGTTACTAATACCATAGACGTTTCAACGATACATTTCTGAATAACCATTTTGGAATAGCAAAATCGATCTTGGGCTATTTAACTGGCTCGAAATGAGCAAACAATCAGACCATGTTGCCCCAAGCCTTAGATAGTGGCCGCCGTATCAGCAGGCATATCATGACACTGTTTTTGTTTACGAAGTCTGACGTCTTGACCACTCTGTTGCCTGTCGTGAGTGTCGCTTAAATTCGTCGCATGTTCTTTGACACGACCCTGTGCATTAGACTTTGTTTGCCTTGGCAAATGCTCCCCATCCTCATCCTCATCCCCATGCAACCCGCATTCTGGAAATCATAATTTGGATATGGATCCACCTCCTAAAATTTGACATATCTAATCAGATTCAGGATCCAGAAGAAGACAAAAGGAACAAACCTGATCGCCCTCTACCCTCTGGTCGCATAACCACCCAGAACGCAGCGGACGTGCGTTGGCTGCTAGTTCCCGTCTGTCTCATGTTTTCAGCAATGTATGGCGGACAGACTCTCGCCTCTAGCGCTTGTTTTGAAGCCCTGAGTATCTGGTATAATGAGTTTGGAGGTCACAAATTTGCGCTTTCGAAGAATATATTAACAGCCGTTGGATATACATGCCTAGAAGCAGGCGCAACGATCGTTGCAGGTACGTGGGCTGCTCCGCCTACAGCAAGTTTTGCCTTTGACATCTCAATAACCAGGGTCCAGCCCGTGCCTCGATAGTATCAGTGCGCGCGCAGTTGCTTTTAGCTGTGCAGTATTTGCAACGACGCTTCATGCACAAGATTTCAAAGGCGAGGAAGGGGATCGCTTTGTAGGAAGACGCACTCTCGTCACTCTGTTCCCTACCTTTGCACGTATTTCAATGTCGATCGGCGTCCCCCTTTGGTCTTTCTTCCTCAGCAGACTATGGAATGTGGATTCGATCTGTTCTATTGCCTTTATAGCGTATGGAACAGTTGTAGGGGGGAGATTCATGGTTTATAGGACCGCGAGCGCTGATAAACAATCCTGCAAATTATACAGCGTCAGTGATCTCGAAGAGTTGGAAGTTTCTCCTTGCTAATTCATGATTTTAGCTCTGGTTTACCATTGCGCACTTACTCCCTGCCTATTGGCGATTTTTCTATAGCACTTGAAGCTTTGAAGCTCGAAGTATGTACCAAAAAATGTAATACAACGGGAAAAATCCTCAGTAATATCAATCCTGATACACATAGTCAACCGTAGTTACTCAATCTCAAACAAAGGTACCTTTTGGAAACATGGCGTGCAACATCTGAACCAGGTAGCTGTTCGAAGCTGAGGAGTGCTGGAGCGAAGCTGTCGGAAGCACATCGTAGTGTCTTGTCATCGGTCGTTTTGATGGAAAAGAGTATAGACCCAACGGCAGACGATAACAAGTTGGCTATGGCATTGTCAGTGGTTATGTCCGGCTTCTTCACTGACGAGACAACACGAGCTTCCAAATTCCGTGAAGTCCTGCAGGAGCATTGACATAAGAGCCAAGACAACTAATGGCACCGCCTACGCCACCGACGGTGACATACAGTACAAAGGTTTCCATTAAGAAATCGCCGAAGTTAAGAACGAGTTAGGGTCTACGGCGGCCGAACCCTACATACAAGCCGTTTTATTCTCAGCCAGTGAACGAACTGGTGCGAATGTTTTTCGTATGCCTTCGAATTCAGAAGGTTTCCCCTGGGGAAGATCTTCACGAAGTTGCTGTGTCCTATACAGGAGTGTGGAAGGCAATGGTTGCATGACTACGAGAGCCGTCTGGGAGGCAGCCGTCAGCTCAGCCACCGTGTCAAAGTGATATCTCACAAGCAGGTGCTTATACTTAGGAGGGCTATCAAAAACCTCGAGCATTCCATCCACGGGTGATAATGGCTTCTGGTGATCTATTTCGAGGCCGTGGAGATTACACTCGAAAATGTCTTTGATAGGCAGGTCGACATCAGATCACCAGCATCTGATTATATGTATTGAACTCACCTTCCATAGCTGGAGAGTGTCTGCAGCCACGTCGCGAAATGCAGGCTTCTTTTCCTTGATCAAATATCCACAACCTTCGTCACTACAATCTCGACTGGGAATATATGTTGGGTTAGTCGCCTAAGACTAAGCAGTTCGACTGCATAGTATTGGGCGACTAACCCAACAATATTCCCCAAGTTGAATTTGGACCCCATTGGAAACAAAAGTAGGCCTTTGTATACACGCGACGTCTAAGAGAGGATGAGAGGATGAGGAAGTAATATTCGTTGATTCGGATCTGTGGGAGGAGTAGTCGTTATTGAGAGAGAGAAACCTGAGGAGGAGAATGGGCGCAGAGAAGGAGAAGAGGGTGTGGCGCCGATTCTCAAGTCGAGTCCTTTTGACTGGGGCGAACTCTGATGTACATGACAGTGCTTCAGTAGGATAGAAGCACACCGAAAGGCGAATCTTCATGTGACTGCTTACAAAGGACATGTTTCGTGCGTCAACGCGTCAACGCTCGCAAGCTCGCGATCCGAAACGGGCATGGGTATTGGCATGAAGACCTACGGCCTAAGACTCCAATGCTAGAATTTCAAAAATTTTAGGTGGTTTCGAATAAATAATAATATCTTGAAATATTTTGCGGCATTACGTAATAATGAATTTTGGTGTTGCCGCTCACTGCGCGTCGGCAGTCATTCAACGTTGCAACGACGCTTGTCAATAATTTGCTGCATGCTGTAGGTAATATGGGATTTCTCCCGGACTTGAACCATGGCGGCACGGGCTCCAGCTTGCCACTCCCTGTTCTTCTCCTTGCCGGAGTATCGACCCTAGTAGCAGTGACTGTCAGCGGATTGTCAATATGGCTGCAGCTAAGAAATTATAGGAAGCCCCTCTTGCAAAGGTAATTCCACTCATGAGGCTTAATTTCTAACGACTATTTGCTGACCCACGATGTTTGCAGGATGGTCATCCGAATTATGCTCATGGTCCCAATCTACGCCTTGTCGTCCCTAGTTTCGCTTTTCTCGCTAGACGCAGCGTTCTTCATCGATGTGATACGAGATGTATACGAGGTATGTACTGTCCATGCACGAGTATCTTTCTTATGAACATTGAACATTGAACATCAATTTAGGCTTTCGTCATTTATTGCTTCTTCGTTCTTCTCCTTGATTATTTGGGCGGCGAGCGTTCGCTTCTCATTCGACTCCACGGACGACCACCTATTCCTGCCATATTTCCTGTCAGTCTTTGGCGACATGAAGTGGATGTTAGCGATCCATATACGTTTCTCTTCATCAAACGAGGCATTCTGCGTCAGTGGTCATCGTCTTTTTCATTGTCGTGCTAACACAATTCCATTGACAGAGTATGTACAAGTCAAACCTGTGTTAGCAGTTGCCAGCCTCGTCATGAAAGCAACTGGAACATATCACGAGGGTGATTTCCGGGCCCGGTCTGGGTATCTGTATGTTTCAATCGTGTACAACGTGTCCATTTGCCTTGCATTGTATTGCCTTGCAGTCTTCTGGATGTGTGTAAGCAATGATTTGAAGCCATTTCGGTGGGTCAGCAGACGTTTGCTTGGGTATCTGAAATTCATTGTTCCGGTCTTTCAGCCCTGTACCAAAATTCCTTTGTGTGAAGGGAATTCTCTTCTTTTCGTTCTGGCAATCCATTGCTGTCTCAACTCTGGTTGCGGCCGGCGCCATATCCAAACTTGGACCATACACGGACAGTGAACACATTTCCCTCGGACTCACCGACACTTTAATTTGCGTTGAGATGCCATTCTTTGCTATCGCGCATATGTATGCATTTTCATATAGAGACTTTGTCAAACCATCACCATCTGCTAAAGTCCACGTGGCACGGATGCGCATAGGGTATGCCATTCGGGATGCATTTGGCCTGAAGGACCTTGCTGAGGACACCAAGGCAACTTTGCGCGGAGAAGGCATCAATTATCGTGCGTTCGAGCCAAGCGAGGGCGGAATGCACATTGGGGCAGCGAGGGAGCGAAGGATACGTGCCGGTTTGCGCTATTCCGCGGGAGGAAAGCGGAAGTATTGGCTCCCGGAGGTGACGGGTCTAGGTGATGGAAATGCCGAAGGTGACCACAGGGGCTGGTTGGGCAACGATGGAGACGTCGCTGCTCCACTACTCGCTGAACATGCAGAGAACATTGTTCACTCTGCACCCGACATGCAATATCAGGGACAACGGCAGACAATGCGAATGCCCGGCGATGACGTGGACGTGGAGGACGACGATGAATATGCACTGCACTTCAATGATGGCCTGGCTACCGCGGATGATTTACTCTATGAGCATGCGAAGAATTATGTCTTCGGCGACTACGCGTACCCTGTTGTGGATGTCAGCTCTGAAGAGGCGCGTTATGCGATGTGGGCTGCGGAAGAGAGAATTGTTAGAGAAGGGGTGCACGTCAATGTCCACAGAAGTCACATTGGTGCAAACGGTAACGGGGGCTATGGTGCAACGGGCACCCGGGCTGGTCAAATACGCAAGTACGAGAATGGTAAAGATGAAGAGTTCGCTTCAGAAGATCGTGAGGAAGGTGACAGGAGGGCAGAAGTGAATACATCGAAGAAGCTGAGGTGGTCGAATACCAGAAGTAATGGAGCTCTATCACCGCCGATCTCCGGTTCGTTAAGCTCCTCAGGATCATCATCCCGACATAACTCACAGACGTCTCATGAATCACGCCCGAGACTGCTGTCTGGGAGTAATGTTAACGTTCGCGCATCGTCCCCATATCTTCACTCTTCGCCTTCATACTCGCGATCGAACCTTGGTACTCCATCACCCCGCTTACTTTCTTCTGGATTACATTCCCACCCATCTCCTTCTCATCCTCCACTCGCGGAGCCAGACGCTGTAGACCTTGTTGTGCCCACCGATACGCTCCCGGTGCCCTCGAGTTCGCATGCCGCTCATACTTCTCTGCGCGCCACAGGCTTGAAACGTGTTTGGAGTCAGAAAGGGGATATCCGTGCTGAATCCACCGTTGGGTTAGAAGAAGAAAATAATGATCGTCGCGTCGTCTCCAATGAAGTCGACAGGGAGTATGATATACGGAAGGAGGAACTTAATGTTCCGGAGAGGTACGAGCCAGAGGAAATAGTACGCCCTCAGACGCCGCCTCCACACGCACGGGCTTGGACATATGGTACCAAGAATCCAGGGGAGGACGAAGAGAATCCGTGGATGTGAAATTATGATCACAGGACTCAGATGCTCGACATGCATGGCGAGATACCCTCTCATATACATAACTTATTCACGTTGTATAACATTCGTGTAGCTTTCTGTTGATTCAAGGGATTTCTTTCAAAAGTCAGTTGCCGATAGGCTTGTGTCTTTAAATTTGCTGCGGCGGTGTTTACTCCGCTGTACAGCCTTAGAACATGTAGCAAAATGTGGCTATGCGAGTTGTGGCTATCCCATGCACCACTGGCACTAAGCACTTCACGCGCAGTTTCCCCTCTCTCTTCCGCAAGGCCGCCAAGGTTTACTCGCGACAACTACCTAACATAATTACCACAACGAACCATGTTCAAGACGGCAGCGGCAAAAATTGCCCATAATTCTACGATTCCGGCGCTTGCGGGTAATAGCGACCTTAGACAGTTTCAGGATCTCATTAACGCGGAGAAGGTTGTTCTGGTCTCGTGAGTGTGCTTTAGACACTTCAATACGCTGTTAATGTTCTTGTCGCATGATTAAACAGAACTCAGAGACTAGGCGTTGATATAACCAAAGCCGCGGAGTCCCTCAGGGCGTGGGGGGTTGGTGAAGGTGATGATCTCGCTGTGAGTGATGCTTCTGTCTGGGTGTACTAGTGCAGTTGCACCTCTTTCTATAACGTTCACGCAAAGCTTCATGGGATGCCTGGCATGCTCTGCGATGCTCAATGACGTATAGACGAGTTCCTTATCTTGGCTTGTGGAGCCAGATACAATATATACCTACGTGACTTGACGGAGTATTTCATCCAAGACCAATGGCTCTATGTGCACCCTTCATGTTTGTTATCTGCCTTCTGACAAAGAAACTGTAGGATATCCTCAGTGCATCTGCTACCCTGCTTGTTAACTTTGCTGCGGCACTGAGTGCGTACGCTAGCACACATCATGGAATCCGCGACACCATGAAGTCTGTACGGACGCGCGAGGAAGCACTCGACGACCTACGGCGCCGACGACGGCGTGTTGGAGCCTCTGCAGACGCTGCCGAAAAGAAGCTCAACAAGATGAGCCCCGAACACAAAAATCTCTCAGCACAGACTGACGCTCTCAATCGACTGCGTGAAGAGATGCGTGCAATCGATGGTGAGATTATTCGCGAGGAATCTGAGTTGGGCGATTACAAGAGAAAATGTGCAAAGAGTTGGATGCAGGCCAAGTTTGGAGGTCTTGCAGAGTGCTGTGAGAAAGGTGTGGTAAGTCGTTTTGTTTTCTGTTGTTTACTCTGCCTCATTTTTTACTCAGATTGTTGGTGACATAGGCAAAGCTATCGTTGCAGTATGTTCTGGTATAAGCTCGCAGGTCTCATCATGACGTTCATTTGTAGGAAATTACCGAAGACGTGTCACAACCAGGACTTCCTCGAGCATATTATAGTGCTCATCCACGTGTCAGTGCCTTTGTATCTGAGGCACAGCGTGGTATAGCGCAAGTAGCCTTTACGACTGTTGCGTCTGGTCGCGTCAGCCAAGGAGAGTATGAGCATACATCGCCGACTCAGACCTCGTCGCATATGCAAGAACGACAGTCATTATCGTTGAGTTCTCCCTATTTACCTGTTCCGCGGGTGGGAAGCGGGCTCCACTTGAGCAGCTTTGGGAGCGAATCTCTGGTGGGACTTAACGAGCTCAGCCCGCGTCAAAATATCTTATCATTCCGACATTCACAGCCTCCACCTCCACCTCCAAACCCGCGAACAGCATCTGCGGACGAATTTGGCGTCCCCACACCAACCTCGACACATGCCAGTCATTTTGCTTCTTTTCCTGCGAGGGGCACAAGCTTAGGCGTCCTGTCACATGACGGACCAACTCCCTCAAGCCCTTCCCTCTCTTACTTGCGGCAAGCAGATACAATGGCTCCCTCAGCCCTTCCCGCGCATGATACCTCTGGTTCTTTGACTAACTCTATCGCCGACGCCCTTGCTCGCAGCGATTCCAACTCGTTCAGCCTAAATCGTGCCTCACTTGATGATCCTGCGCCAAAGTACGAGCCGTTCGTGCCCGGATCAGGTGCTCCATACACTGGTGTTGGAGACACGCGCAGAAGCAAGAGTCCAAGTTTGCCACCAGGAGCTGCTCCTGCTGCAATTCAGGCTTGGGACGGAGGTCTGGGTGCTGAAATTGAGGAACGACGTACAGTGAGCGAAAGCAACGACAACGCGATGAGCGTCATGAGTGGGAATGAACAGCCGCCGAGCATTACTGGTCTGAGCGACAGACGGACATCCCAGGAGTCGGTGGGTGGTATGCCGTATGACCATGATGAGGAGGCCGAAGATGACCAATCGAATGAAATTGTACTGCAAAAGATGGATCAAAGAGTGAGGCTTGGGACGGAGGAGGATGAAACAGAAGAAGAAAGTAGCAGGCCTTCGCCCGAGACGACGGAAAGTCAGAGACGTATCCCGCGCGTGCCTCCGCCCCCCGTAGATACTGAGGCACCAACTCCACCAGATCATACTAGGATTGTGTCCCCGCCTTCGCTGCAGTCTACTTCCCCTATACAGACTCAGGCGACAGGTCATTCAGAAGACAGCGATGGAGACGACGAACAGGCACGCAACGCAGCAGCTGCACGCGAGGTCTCTCGTGAATTGGATGCGCTAGCATTCAGCGCACCTGCACCAGTGACGTATTCCACTCATCCTACTCAATCCCGAGCCCCACCGCAAGGTTCTTATATGTCAGGGCAGACTTACTCGCCTCAACCACACCAACAACTACAAATTCATACTCCTCAGCAAGTGCCCAATCAGACCTCTCGGCCGCCCTCACCTCTTGCGCCACCTAATGCACCGTTCGCTCACCGTTCCGTTTCGCCTCATCCTCATATCGGTGCTGACCCAGGCGAATCACGTCCTTTACCGATCATAACTGCTTCGAAGAGGAGTTCGTCTCGTTCCACATCGCCTCGACTCCCACCATCTTCTCTGTCCAATATGCAATCATCTGCTTCCGTCTCCCACAGGTTACCACCTGAACATCCCCGTCCACTACCGCCGTTCTCGTCTCCCCTCATGACGAAGTCCACGTCTTCACTGACATCGGGTGCCCCCGGTGGTGCACCACGAATGATCTCAGCTGCTGCGTTCCGCAGGCCCGGTCGCAATGGAAGCGAGTCTGGGTCATCATTAAGTCCGACAGGGTACGGCGGGCCGGCAGATACCTCACCTCTATCTCTCCGCCCTTCTGCATCGCCTGCATCTTCGATGTCACGGAAGTCCGGGGCAATGCGAAGGTTGTCTGTAGTCAATCCAGACCCAATCCAAGTTGATGAAGACGAGTTCGATTACATATCGGCATACACGGGAAGAGACGAGCCGAGGAGTGCGCCGGCCCGGCAGAGTGTGGGATATGGACAGGGGAGGTATGTTAGTGACCTTGAATCTCGATGATCAAGACGAACACTTGTCTATGTTTAAACTTGGGACCGTATTGCTCCGGATATAAATGAGCTATGGACATTTTTTGTATGTATGTGCTTTTTCAATTGTCCTACTGTTATGTTAATTTTCCTATAGTTTTTATTCACAATCAAATATGTTGTAACGTGCGATGTCCAACCCTTTTAGCTATTGTTCTAGTTGATTATTAGCATTCAGTTTGTGATACCATGAGCAGTGTTCGTGCTTGACATGTTCTATCCTTATCCACTTCTTTTTAAACAAAGAATCAATTTTTGTGTCCTATGGAGAGTTATATGGAGGACAATTCTATCTAGTCTCGAGGACCGGTGTCCCCGTCGCATCTCTGGCCTTGTTCACCTGAAGCTCAATACCTGGAATTCTGTAAGGCCAAGAAACACCCCCGTCTTATCATAATCGATCCAATAGATGAGTTCAGATCAGAGGTCATTCATTGATACATTAACCGTTGTTAGGTTGTATGTAACTGAACATATCGGTTACATTCTACGGTACCACGACATCAACCTGATTTGCTAGGGTAAACGAAAAGAGAAATCATGGTTTTAAAATTGATTATTCTGAAATGAAGGCTTGGAGAAAAAACACAAAATCGTGGACAGCCACAGCTCCCATCCTTATCGCAACTCCAACCATATTTAGCACGATTCAGAGCACACATACCTTTCAGACTTGAACATCGCCAACCCACACTTCCCCACTACGCTCGTTCGAACTAAGGAGGCCACCCGAGAGAACTACTCGAGTGTTACCTCCAGGAGCGGTATAGGACGTCGAGGGGAACCAGCCACGGCCCTCCGGAGTCGAATCACCTGCGAAATGAGGTCAGCTGAGGACATGGCTGTGGCGCGGGCGCGATGAATGATTAAACTTGCCTTCTATTATTAACTTCTTCCACCTTAGCCCACCTTCGCGCCACACCAGCGCCCAGGCATCGTCCCGGAATTTACCGGCACCTGCATGGCCTAGGTCGGAGGCGTCAGACTCGCCGTGGTAGAGCAATGCGACCCCGGTGCCATCAGGCGTGGAAAGAGGAACGAGACCGTGGACGGAGCGTGCTCCGGGATATCCCTGTTGCGGATCGCCAGACGGTACGATGGTTGTCCAGGAGTTGGTACTCGGTGTGTAAATATCTAAGGGTGGTGGTGTTGAGGTGGGGAGTTGGTACCCAGCGAAACCTGAAAAAAAAAATTAAGATATTGATTAATTTAGGAATAGGGTGGTGATGAATCCAAGTTAACAAGGACAGAATAAACACGAGTCGGGCGTATATGAAAGGAAAAACAAAAGAGGATGAAGACTATCGGACTTCGTCTTTGATAATGTTACGAAGCGGGGATCACGAAATGTCGTAGGTAGGGTGCATATCAGACTTAGAACAACAACATACCGCCGAATCGAATGATGACTTCCTCATTGGAGGAAGATGATGGAAGTTTTACAGAAGCGATGGCGGTGCCACCACGCGCAGGATCGGGCGCATCTGCACAGAGTGACCACCGAGAGGATTGCAGATCATAAGAATGGAGAGTGGAGAGGCGACCAGAGGCAGGACAACCTGCATGAATGTACAATTTTCCCTACATAAAAATCCCGATCAGCACAAGAACGATTTTCAGGAAGGCCCAGAATGCATCGTAGATTGATGTAACGCTCAGGATGTAAAGCACATTTGCGGACACATACATTAGCCAAGACGGAAGCGTGGAAGCTTCTCGTGACGGGCTCGTCGCCCTTGCCTTCGAGCTTCTCCCATATTACTTTATTCTGCAATATCTGCCCCTTCCATATGCCCGCTTGATTGGGGTCAAGAGGTGTCATATCAACGCCCCCCCTTCCGCCCCACATGTACAAATTTTCACCATCGAACACCGTTGTCGCACCCACTCGGGGTTCCGGCTTCGATGATGCGGACAAGGTACGCCATAAGCCAGCATTATCCGCTACGGATTGCTGGATGGCGCTGTTCAGATCGAATACGTGAACGTCTCCATCTACAGGTTTGCGTGGCTGGAACTCGCCAGCATATAGCAATAGGGTGGCTTTATTGGCGATAGAAGCACAGTGAGATGATCGTGCTTTAGTTGGGAGAGATGATAGGCATGTCCATCGGATCGACATCGTGTACGTTAGATCAGGAACGGGGGGAGCGATTACGGAGTGCTAGACGATTAGCAAAAAGACAACGATGTGACAATCGTCGTCGTGATGAATGCGACGATCAATGAGCGCTCAGTGGCGTGCACGCGGCAGCTTCCTTTGGACCAAGTTGTTCATTTGCGTGAATTCACAGTTGCAAGCCATAATTAACCAACAACTCACAATTAAGCCTATTATACTCTCTCACTCCATCGTACACTTACACGCCTCCGGAGCTTCCATGATAATAAGGTCGCAATGAAAGGGTTTTGTCTGGAGGTGGGATCTCAGTTACCCAAGGGTTGAATGTTCATCAAGGCCGCGTAGTGCGACGTGGTTAAAAGTTGATTCCGCGTATCATTACCGTCAGTACTAGCCGACGATTGCAAGGAACATTTATTAATGCAGGACAAGTGTAAACCTGTATTGGGATTAGAAGGAGTAGAAGCGCTTCCGATGTAGAGCTTTCTTTGATCCAAAAATGGTTAGGCCTTTATTGTCTTGGCTTGCTTCGGCGCTATACCCAAAATACAATAAACGTACTCCCGGATTCGCCATGTCGACCCAAGAAATGTACGATACCCTCCATCACCCTTTTTGTTTAAGAGCCGTATGAATAACCACAAATTCACAGTGACTCTTCCCTCATCTGTTGGGTCCTGGAGTCCCTCTTGTCAGACACTACACCTGCCTGCACTTTGTACGTACTACGTAGAGTCTGGCACCTACGACCATCTGTAACACATCATACTTAATACCCATCCCTTATGGCATCACACACATACCCTCCCCCTGAACCTCGTACTATTCCACCCCCAACCAACAACACCCTCTCGTCGAAAGAGCGCTCTGCACTCGTGCGCTCCACCAAGAAGATAGGTCGTATGCTCGGCGATATCCCGCGATTTGTCGACGATATCGAAGATCGTGAGCTTATCATTTCTTTCACTCACCTGCGTCATACTGATGTCAGATACAGAGTTCGTCATGGTAACGCCCCCAACACCGCCCACTCCAGCTGGACCCTCCAAAGAAGACGCATGGAGAAGTCGCAAACCAACTCACCTTCCCCCGATCATGAGGCTCTCTGGTGGTATTGCCGTGGACTCCAACTCTCCACCCATACCTTCACGTACTGCACCTGTACGGCGCGCTAGCATCATATCAACTTCCTCTAACAAATCTTCCATTCACGAACAGCTTCACACTCCATCCAAGGAGGCTGCACACAGGCGCAGCAAAATGGAACGGTTACGAAAGAGACTAGGTGAAGAGGTTCCAATGGAAGCCGTTTTCCCACCTACCCCTGGCCCGAGGACAGCCGTCTCGCATACCACGATGCCCGAACGCTCGCGCAACCATAGCCGCTCGCGGTCTGTGCACCCTTCACATGACGACACTGTCACATTCTCGATAGATCAACACACCGTCGTTCTCAAAACCACCACACGAGCCAATCAGCCTCACTCACCTCACCCTCATCGTTCTCACCATCCGCACAAATCCTCACATCGCCCGCCCCCAATGCCTATGACCGGACTACCACCGTTGCCCAAGTCCAAGCTTCCCCGCACCTCGGATGAAGTGGGCCTATTAGGCGTAAGGGCCAAGACGGCGGCAGGCTCCAAACTCGGCGGTGCAGAATTCAAGGCTGCGAGACGTGCCAAACGGGAGGGCTTTGGTGAAGTAGAGATGGTCGGGTTCATGGGTGGTTTTTAGGCCTTGCTCTGGGCCTCCACCATGTGGTCATGGTGAATATATGCATATACGGTGCTCTCGCATGGAGCCATTCTATGCTTTGGGAATCTTGAGGTTCCGGTATGCGGATCTATGCGAGTCTGGGTATGCCTTCATGTTGTCTGTCTATGTCGTCAATTGTTTTCTCTTCATGACGATACGCACTACACGCCATTGGGCTGGACCCTGTATCGACTGACGAACGTTGCCTCCAATGATGCTTTTCTACACTATAATGTCAGTAGTTCTAATATTTTCACCTAGTTTTCCAGCAGTCGAATCAGAATGTACTCTTCATCAAATTGATATCAAGTAGTCGTGGGAACTACAATTTTGCGAATATCGGAATATGATAACCAATTTATTTCATCCGGTCCCGACTTACAATCATGATGCCATCGATGGCCGCAAATCAAAGATAACTTCGGTCGTCCACGACAATTTTCTGACATCCCTCCACTGCGACCGGCGAGGCCATGAGCTCGAAGGGCATCATCATCCCATCCTTGCGGCAATCTTTTTGAATATTGACATTTTGCCTCATTTTGATAGGTGGCGACGGCGATGGTTCTACATCTATTAATGAGAAGCAGACCATCTGCAGCGATACAGCGGCAGCATGGAAGAACGTATTTCTTGCCAGATGAAAGATGCTCCAATACGATCCTCGGCACTTCCTTCCTCGTCGAGGAAGTCTGAATCGGCTACCATGACAGCCTTGGTACAGCAATTTCAAATTCCTGACCCCCGGACATAGAAGTCGATGGGTCTCCTTGAGGTACCGACTCGGGCCCACTCTGGAAGGCTTACTAGCGCTCAACTCATCTCCGTCCGTCCAATTCTCATGGAACATGTGATAGAAGCCTTGTATGTAAAAGGTGCGCGAGAGGTGCGTTGCGCCAGGTTACGCCGAATCATAACGTTCATGTCTATCTCGAAAGGTATAGCATTGATAACAGGGTCTCATAGGTCGCGGCATCGCTCTTCGGCTTGCACGGGATGGCTTTAACGTCGCTCTCAATGATTTACCCAACAAGGATGCCAAGCTGGAGGCAGTAGCGACTGAAATTGAAAGCCTTGGGAGACAAGCATGCATCGTTCCTGCCGACGTGACGGTCGACAAACAAGTCAAAGAGATGGTCGATGAAGCTGTTACACAACTTGGTGGACTGGACGTCGTCAGTCGCTCTGCTCATCTCACTAGACGCCGTGTTTCATGGATATTTATTGTGTATAGATGGTTGCTAATGCTGGAGTGGAGGAATATGCCTCGCTTGTGTCATGTACTCTCGGTCAAAGTCTACGATTGACGGTTTCTCATGTCCTCCGCTAGCGACTGTAGAGTCATGGGACCACATACTCTCAGTAAACGCCCGTGGAGCTTATTTATGTTACAAGTATGCTGCAATACAAATGATCGAACAGGGGCGCGGCGGTCGAATCATTGGTGCGAGCTCAATCGCAGGTAAAATGGGTGCGTCATATAGATATAAAATTGCTTGAGTAATTCAATCCAGACGACCAAATAGGCTTCCCCTACGAATCCTCGTATACAGCGAGCAAATTTGCGATTCGAGGGCTCACTCAAGCTGCAGGTAAATCCTGAGATGCTTACATGGACATCCTTTAACTTGACAGCTGTTGAACTCGGTCAATATGGGATCACTGTCAATGCATATGCTCCGGGCAGGATACAGACTCCTATGAGTAAGCTCGAACTAATTTCCGATTTCTCAGCTGATTCCTAGTTAGCCCAGATCATGCTGGATGAGTCTGGGAACGTGGATTATGAACGACTTATCGACAATCCTTGCTCGAGGAAGTGGTTTATGTCGGTGAACAGAGCGCGATGACAAACTTTACCCAGATCCTGCTTTCTAGCAACATCGATCAGGTATTTGAGAATGTCCCCATCAAGCACATCGGACAGCCCGAAGATATAGCTAGCATCGCAAGCTATCTCGCATCGAAGGAAGCGCACTTTATTACCGGCCAGTTCATGCCTTTATTGTGCCTGTCTCCTGCTCACGTAGCATGTAATGTCTCCAGGTCAATGTGTAGGTCGATTTATTTTATTGCATACAGCTGATATGAGTTTTCTCCCAGATTTCTGTCGATGGGGGACTCAGCATGGGCTGAGAAGGCCTTGTAACAGTTGTGTTGTTACTCCTTGCAGATGCTGTGGTGCGATTACAATACAAAATTGAGGATTTCTTCCCTATGGTGGTGCTGATCGAATTACGGGAAAGTCCTTAAGCTTGAGGATCAGAATACTTCGAGTATTTGTAAGTGACATTAGTCAAGTAGCAGAGACTTCGAGTCAGAGTCCATAGAAACATACATCTAGTCGGCGCTTATCGTCGTCCATTCAGACCTCTAGCTTAGACAGAACGTGAGTTCGAGCCTCCATCATGTGGTCATGGTGGATATATGCATATACCGTGCTCTCGCATGGAGCAATATTAATTCTATGCTTTGGGAATCTTACGCTTCCGATATGCGGATCTACGCGAGTCTGGGTATGTCTTCATGTTGTCTGTCTATGCCGTCAATCGTTTTCTCTTCATGACAATACGCACTACACACCTGGGCTGGCCCATGTGCCAACTGACGAACGCTGCCTCCGATGATGCTTTTCTACACTATAATGTCAGTAGCTCTAATATTCTCACAGTCGAATCAGAAATCAAAATTGATTTGATATTGTGCACGTGGTCGTGGGAACTACAATTTTGCTTCTGTCCCGACTTACAATCATGATGCGTATACTTATAGCCATTGATGGCCGCAAATCAAAGATAACTTCGGTCGCCCACAACAATTTTCTGACATCCCTGCACTGCGGCCGGCGAGGCCTTGACCTCGAGGGGCAATATCATCCTGCGGCAATCTTTTCATTTTGCCTCATTTTGATAGGTGGCGATGGCGATGGTTCTAATGAGAAGCAAACCATCTGCAGCGATACAGTAGCATGGAAGAACATATTTCTTGCCGGATGAAAGATGCTCCAATACGAGCCTCGTCACTTCCTTCCTCGTCGAAGAGTCTGAATCGGCAGCCGGCTACCATGTGACAGCCTTGGTCCATATTACACCAGCAATTTCAAATTCCTGACCCACAAGACATAGGGTCGCTTTGAGGTACCGACTCGGGCCCACTCTGGAAGGCTTACTAGCGCTCAACTCATCTCCGTCCGATTCTCATGGAGCATGTGATAGAAGCCTTAGGCCTTATATGTAAAAGCTGCACTAGAGGTGCGTTGCGCCAGCTTACGCCGAATCATAACGTTCATGTCTATCTCGAAAGGTATAGCATTGATAACAGGGTCTGCTCAGGGAATCGGTCGCGGCATCGCTCTACGGCTTGCACGAGATGGCTTTAACATCGCTCTCAATGATTTACCCAACAAGGATGCCAAGCTGGAGGCAGTAGCGACTGAAATTGAAAGCCTTGGGAGACAAGCATGCATCGTTCCCGCCGACGTGACCGTCAACAAACAAGTCAAAGAGATGGTCGATGACACTGTTACAAAACTTGGTGGACTAGACGTCGTCAGTCGCTCTTCTTATCTCACTAGACGTGTTTCATGGATATTTATCGTGTAGATGGTTGCGAATGCTGGAGTGGTGGAGTTTGCCTCGCTTGTGTCATGTACGATTATTTCGGTCAAAGTCTACGATTGACGGTTTCTCATGTCCTCCACTAGCGACTGTAGAGTCATGGGACCGCACACTCTCAGTAAACGCCCGTGGAGCTTATCTATGTTACAAGTATGCTGCAATACAGATGATCGAACAGGGGCGTGGCGGTCGAATCATTGGTGCGAGCTCAATCGCAGGCAAAATGGGTGCGTCATATAGATATAAAATTGCTTGAGTAATTCAATCCAGACGACCAAATAGGCTTCCCCTACGAATCCTCGTATACAGCGAGCAAATTTGCGATTCGAGGGCTCACTCAAGCTGCAGGTAAATCCTGAGATGCTTACATGGACATCCTTTAACTTGACAGCTGTTGAACTCGGTCAATATGGGATCACTGTCAATGCATATGCTCCGGGCAGGATACAGACTCCTATGAGTAAGCTCGAACTAATTTCCGATTTCTCAGCTGATTCCTAGTCAGCCAAGATTATGCTGGATGAGTCTGGGAACGTGGATTATGAACGACTTATCGACAATCCTTGCTTGAGGAAGTGGTTTATGTCGGTGAGCAGAGCGCGATGACAAACTTTACCCAGATACTGAACACCTGCTTTCTTCACAACCTCGATAAGTTAATGGAGAATGTCCCTATCAAGCACATCGGACAACCTGAAGATATAGCTAGCATCGTAAGCTATCTCGCATCGAAGGAAGCGCACTTCATTACTGGTCAGTTCATGCCTTTATTGTGCCTGTTTTCTGCTCACGTAGCATGTGATGTCTCCAGGTCAATGTGTAGGTCGATTTAGTTCACTACATACAGCTGGTCTGACTTTTTTCTCCTAGATTTCTGTCGATGGGGGAATGAGGATGGACTGAGAAAGCCTTGTAAACAGTTATAATTTTCCAGCAGTCGAATCAGGAATCAAAATTAATTGATATTGTGCACGTGGTCGTGGGAACTACAATTCTCCCTCTGTCAAACACGGTCCCGACTTACAATCATGATGCGTATACTTAGCTCGCGAAATTTACGCCTGGGCGCACCATATCGGGCGAGGTCGCGCCACGTGACTCACGTGACGCGCGAACCTCGTCCCGTTTGGGCGCGCGTTTCGGATTCTCCCGGTGACCTTCCCTTTCCCTCGGTGCCTCGAAGGCCGCCTCGTTTTGGTAGTTAGTAGTCGAGTGGTGGTGGTGGTATAATACCAAATTCATTTGGATGCTTCTTCTTCTTCTTCTTCGAAACGTTCGAACGTCTCTTCCCTCTTCCGTTTCGTTCCTCACTCTCACTCTCACTCTCACTCTCACTCTCTCTCTTTGTTTCCGGTCCCCTCTCGACAAATCAACTTTGTTTCGGTCCCTCGCTCTCTTTTCTTTGTTTCGGTCCCTCGCTCTCTCAACTTTTGTTTCGTTTCATTTCGGTCCCTCACTTCTCTCGGCAAAAATTCAAGGTGCGTTTGTCCTTAAAAATTGATTGAATGGAATAAACTAAAGATGGGGCCATGATTATTAGTGTGTATAATATCGAAATCTACCTAATGGTCTGCTACTTGCGGGGGATGATCTCTCCACGGTCCTTCTTGGTGCGTTTGACGGCAGTGAGCAGGGCCGTGTGGCCTTCTTTGTACTCTGGATATGCAGCAAGGAACGCCGACTCATTTCCTTGGTACCTTCAAACGGTGAGTGACTTTGGGTGCTATTTTGGAGGCAGGTCACTCACTGTTCAAGGAACTCCAGCGCAATCAGAGCACGCTGGTGGTACTTCGAGCCGAAGATGGCTTTGTTCTTGCCCTTGAGCCGTCCCCAGGAGTCCTTCTTGGGAGCGTAGCTCCCATCAGCATGCCGCACAGGAAGGTTTGGAATGTCCAGGCCCTTCTCGGGGAGTGGACAAGAGCCGACATTCGTGGTGCTGGTGCCGTTTGTAACTGGATTGAAGGTGTGACTTGGAGCAGGGATCATCTGCTGTGGGATGAGTGTCGGGGACTCGCGAGGAAGGAAGGTACCATAGAGTGCGTGCTGCACTGGTGGCTCGTGGACAAGAGTAGAGCCGGGCGGTCCATTCCTGCTGGAGATGAGTGTGTTCGTGAGGAAGCGGACGTCACTTCGCAAATCTTCGACATCAGCTGTGATGAACCGCTGCATGAGCTGCAGATCCTGTGAGCATGCAGGCCTGACAAGCCGGTGCTCGCCAAGCAAGGAGCCATCAGCCTCATTCTGTGTGGGACAAAGGGCATCGCTGTGGTCATTTTCGTAAGTCGAGAGCTCATCGAGTAGGTACCAGATGAGTGTATCACGCTGATGTATTTTCAGGAAGTCAGGAAGTCAGGAAGTCCGTCAGCTGGAGGACTCCATCAACTCACGTTCTCATTTTCTGCCCACGATCCCCACCACCTTACCCTAGCCAACGTCCAGCGCTCACCAACAGGTGCAAACATCCAGCGCCACTGTGCTCCACCACGACAGTAGGTGTGCGTGGTGAAACTGTCACCTCCACCTCGTGGGATTCCGGCGCCAGTGGTTGCTTCATTGATCCAAGCCTGCACAGCATCGTGCGAGATATGTTCACCACGATGGATGATGCCATTGGAGCCAATTGTGGGGAAGACAAAGTCCTCTGGCCCGAGCTCACCATTGTAGTGAATCCGCTTGAGAAGGGCGAGCCACAGCAGCATCCAGAAGAAACAATCACAGCCAGGCATGTCTGGCTGTGGATAAATTTTGTACCGGTTACCTAGTGAGTAGGTTCAGTGGTTTCACTGGCCGCATGATGTGTTTCCTCACTGCGCAAGTCTGCCTCCTTCAGCCCTTTATCCACCTTCCGCTGTCATCCTTTGCGATTCGACAAGAACACTTCGAAGCGAGCATGTGAGTCCTTGACCGACAGTGTCTCATTGTATAGATACTTCCTGAAGGCCGTGTTGACTTCGGACGGATCAATTGTAAGGTCTTTCTTTTTGAGTTTAATCAATTCGAAACACCTTGTCCATAGATTCCAGGTGGTGGTGCTGAATGCTTGGTACATCACAGTGTGTGTGATTGATGTGCGCAGCTCCAAGGTGAGGTTGTCGGTAGCCATTGTATCCCCTTCAAGCAACCTTCTGATGAGAGCCACATAGGTCTCGCTCGGGCAGCATTTGTGGACCCACGTTAGAATCCTATCCATGAAGCCTTTCGACATCGCGATTGAATGAGTTCTGTCGGCGCCCTCACTATTTGTCTTGTGTCGGACTGACTTGATGACATCCTGCACTTCAGCCAAGCATGCAGGATTCCCTTCCCAGTGTCTCTGTGTCTCATTGAAATTCCATTTTCCACAATATGTATCACCGGCTCTGTTGTATGGTAGTGAGTGTTAAATGGGTCACTGTAGAGGCGCTACACTGGTACTCATGCTTCCTCCCAGTACTTTTTGAATGCTGCGTAAATACCGTCACATGTACTTTGGCCATTGTTTTCATGAAAATACTTGTATGAAATGAAGAGTGCAAGTGCTTTATCTGAATGTTGGTTAGGTATCTGCTCGAGCGCATCTCTGAATGTTGCATCCTCGTAAGCATCATCATTGTGTGATTCTTCATCTCCACAGCCAGTAGCGGAGGCATGCACCTTCAGCCATTTCTGTCCACGGTCGACGTATGACCCATAATTCTTCCGCGTGCTGTTTGCATGCTTATGCTGCTGCTTCGCCCTTTCCTTTATCTTGTCAATGGCTGGCAAGGTCGTGTTTCCTGTGGGCTGTGCTCCTTTCCTCCGTTTCTTGGGACTCGCTTCGCTGGGGTGGACTAGGACCTTATTGGAAGTTTTTTTGGTCCTTCCCATGACTGAGGTTATGTACTAGTGTAGTGTTGTCACGAGAGTGCAGAGGGGTCCATTCCCTCATTTTAACTTCAGCCGCACCACACTTGTCATTCACAGCAGAATTTTCATGTCATTAATTGCTCGGTCCATCAATGGGACCAGAGCCGTGTATGTCAATGTGTCTTAGAACAAAATCAATCTACAGTAAGGTCAATAACTTCCCGCCCCTCCCCATCAGTGCACACTTTCAGTCGACTTCCCCCGCTCAGCTCTGGATCCCCAACCTCACTACTCGTGTCCCCAGCCTCAGGCCATAGCATATCTGCCACAGCAGCATACTGTGCTGATAGACAGGGATGCCAGTCAGGCAGTGGATCTCCTGAAGAAGGTCCTGCAGAAGCGGCATGTTGATCAGAGTAGTCGATAACGTCTTGAGGTGAGGTGAGCTCCATGATTCGAGCAGGAATGGTGACTTTGCTGTGTGACGGCACCCAGGACTTGCCCTCTTCAGGATTTGGATCGTCGTCAGCTTGAATACCATCATCAGTAGCATGAATGAAAGATGGTGCATATAGCGTGACACAGTATACTGATACGCCCCCCTCAGGATCCTTTCGTTTGTTGACATTGAATGTGGGCTTCGGGAGTGTGTCACCATCATTTGTCCGCAGCTTGAAGCTTTGAGTTAGCACTGACAACGGTGAGATAGAGAAGGCCCACCTGGCACAGTGCCCGCATGCATGCAGCGGACCAAAAATGGTTCCTGAGATACTTGTGAATTTTTGGTCGCATCCAGCCAAGGCGAGCTTTGCAGAATGCAGCAAGACGTCCAATATTAGGCTGAGTGGGATTGAGTTGCGGAAGTAAAGTTGAACTGGCACCATCGGACCAAGTGGTGACTGGATGAAGGTAAAGGCGCATGATTTCGACACTGGGAAAGTCTGCAGGGATAGATGCTGCGAGTACTGGATACTTTCTCCCAAAGTACCATCAACCAGGACAGTGGGGAGGTGATCACGCCAAGTCTTGAGCATGCCTGGAAGCTGAGCAGGTGCCACAGATGTCATGACTCGCATCAGCGAGTCACTGAGGTCACCTGCAAGCAAAGCACGGCTGACCTGACTGCCGCACCCCAAAAGTCCTCCCTAGATATGATTTTAGAGCTGCCAGTAGTTGTATGAAAAAAAAACGTACTGGGTTGTAGTCACCTCCATGGAGCATGGCCCAAAGGAGGAGATGGGAAGTTGTCAAGGGAATTTTTGGGTCGTTTGATAGGGCTTCGGCACAGTAGGCATCCACAAGGAATGTACTGTCATCATTGTCCGTGCTGATCAAGTAGCATGGTTAGAACACTGGAAAAATATTACACTAGATAGACTCACAGGCGTAAAACTTTTGCCACACCAAATAACAGGGCATCACTGTCTTCCGTCAATACCGCACTGATCTTCCCTGCTTTCGACAAATATGCTAAGTCTGCTTCAGCCTCGCCTTTGGCCTGCCCACAACAGTCAACCTATTGCTGCAACACAATAAAAAAGTGCACTCACCGTGGTCCATGTGAATCCAAATATTTGTAAGAGTTCCTGTAAGCTTCGTGTCAGCCAGTGAGGTGCTGACCGCACATGCTTGCTGCGCTTGATTGGGGGGCAGTCCTCCCCATCGAAAATGAAGTGGGCATGAACAGGTGCATTAGCTAGGGCGACAAGCTTGTACATGAGTGTGCGTAGTTCTGGGTTTTCGCCCGACTGGGCATGTCCAAGTCAGAAGGCCTGCAGTTTGCAGACAGCATAAAGCCAAGCGCTGGTTGAGAAGGATTAGCTGAATAGTTACAGCTCACACTGCCTACGCACCTGGCATCAACACCGATTGTCATCATTGAAAGGCCGCCTTCATCCTGCACATGCCCCTTGAGCCCTTCGAGGGCGAATGCTGTCAAGGTTTGCCCCTCTGTACTTGGGGAAACTAACTGCAAGGCTAAGTGTAAGTCCAATGACACAGAGAAGATCACAAAAACTAACCTTCCATAACTCAGTTATACCCATGATGATGGTAGTGAGAAGAAAGTCGATTTGAAGCCACCGGAGGTTATATGCAATGCGGTTTAGGGGCGGCCACAGCCACGCCAGATACAGCAAGGTCGTTCAAGATAATAGCCAAGCGACCTACCTGTTCTTTGGGAAGAATCGGACATGGTGTCTTGAATGTCAGTTCAGGTTTTGCGCCCTGTATGATGATGAATGTCAGTTCAGGTTGCGCACACTGTACGACGATGAATGTCAGTTCAGGTTTTGCGCCCTGTATGATGATGAAAGTCAGTTCAGGTTTCGTGCCCTGTACCACAATGAATGTCAGTTCAGGTTGCGCACCCTGTACAACGATGAACATCAGTTCAGGTTTTGTGCCCTGTATTCAGGTTTTGCGCCCTGTACAACGATGAACATCAGTTCAGGTTTTGCACCCTGTACAACGAGGCAGACAGTAAGCGAAAAAAAGTTGAAATATATGGATGTGGTGGAGGGGAAGTGGAGTTTGAGCAAATCAAGAATGACACTCACCAACCTACGAGATTCAGCACCCCAAAAGTCCTCCCTAGATATGATTTCAGAGCCGCCAGTAGTTGTACGCAAAAAAAAACATACTGCATTGTAGTCACCTCCACAGAGCAACTTGCCTAAGGACCGCGCTTGTTCAATCAGAGGGTCATGACAAATGGGGCATGTGTAGCAAGGTTCAACTGCTGTTGCTGAACAGGTGGTGAACAAGGTGGCAGCGGATGCTCTAAGTGCAGCTAAGTGAAGATTTGGGTGAGCTAAGTGAGAGCTAAGTGCAGGACTCACAGGTAAAGGTGGTAAACCTGGTAAATGCGTAAATGCGTAAATTTCAGGCGGCGGGCTGCCGCCGCATCTACTAGTTAGCCGGAAGGTAAATTCATCTAGATGACGCACACAATTACAATATTCAGTTCCCACATTCACACAATGGGAGGGCTTAAGTCGGCCTTATTGAATTCAGCTACAGCATTCCTAAGCATGTGCTGCTGCTAACTGTGCAACCAAGCCTAAGCATAATGGAGTCAGAAACTAGCAGACGGTACAGGACCATACCAATATTGATATTGTTCTTTGAAGCCAGGACAAACTTTGGGGCGACGAAATTGAACCATCACAAAATTGAACCATCATGAAAGGAAGTGCTTAGTCAGCGAGCGCTCAAACTATGCGAGGTTCTGGTACTGGAACCTAATTTACGACGTTTACCTTGGCTTGGTGAATTTCGTCGTTTAAATCGACTTAGTGTTGCCGCGAGGCGAATCGAATCGAATTGAGGTGGAAATTTGTGGTACCTCGACACAGTTCGACACTTACAAGTTGCAACGAGTTGCGCCTCGTTCGACTCGCGAGTTACTAACGAGTTCGGAATTATGCGAACCGGTGGTTCAGCCAATGAGAAGCCAGGGATGCTAGATACTGCTAACGACGATTTTTGCAAGTAGATACACGATGAGCAGACAGAAACTACAATAAACTAGTTACAATTGATTTCCCTTGCATTTGCAAGCAACTGATCGAGCTCGCGAAGATTCCCGGCAGCCATTAGCTCGTCAACTGCTCTTGAAGTCACAGGTCCAGATATTGTGTAGTCCTGCTCATTAGCTACCAGGTCCTCCGTAAAATTGAGGCGGTCTTGCTTGTAAGTGAACTTCAGAACTTGTAGTGCCTCGAGTATGGTCGGAGATAGGTTGCTGCGCCGTAGAGTGCAGGTCTCTTTGCTTGATGAAAATATGCGCTCGGAAGGCACAGATGAAGCTTGAGCAGGCAGAACGTCCATGGCGACACGAAATAGAAGCGGGAATGTGTGTTCTTTTTGCTAGAATATAATACTCCTTAATCCTATGAAATTAATGAAAAGAAATGATATGACATACCTCCCAGAAACGAACTATATCCGTTGTGCGTTCAGCCACATCAGGTAGTAATCCTGCATCTTCGTAATGAGAAAACTCGCACTCGGCATCTTTCCTGTCTTGTTCGAGTTCCTTGCGAATGAGTTCCTACACAGTTTCTGGTGCTGTCGTTGGTTCGGAGACAATGATGGTGGGAGTCGGAGGAGTAGCACTAGTAGTAGGAATTGAGGCTGAGCGCCGAACAGTTACATTGAGCTTGTTCATGCGCCCATATCCAGCAGACAATGACCAGGAAGAAATTGCTGTTGAGTTGGTGAGCTCACGCTGTGATGTCAAGGGTGTTGATAGTTCCCGCTGGACCTGGCTAACTCTGATGGATGTACGAAATGAAGTCATCTGCACGCCAAAAATTATAACATCTGTTAAGTGTGAAAAAAAAACGCACCGCTTGTAGTATCCATTCTCAAGCATTTCCGATATCCTCAGCTTCCCACTGTTCCTTCAACCACTTGAGCTTGATGTTTGGGTTGACAACTATAGTTTGTGTCATAAAGGACAATGTTAATGGTGGCACGGCGAGTGAAAAATTTGAAACATACCCATTGAAAGGGCATATATGTGTGTTTTCCTTCCTTCATTGATATACTGGTTCAGTTTATCGAGACCAACCTCAATATAGTGGGACAACTCCCATATTGTGCTTCGTAGTTGGGTCCACTGGCGAGTGAGCACTTCGTAAGCTGGCAGGGCCATTGATAGTGTTGGTGTTCGCTCCGAAGAGAGGAGTTGATGTGCTACGTGAGGAACCTCGATGACTTGATGTATGTCGCGAAGAACGTCGATATCCTTCGCATCCATGGAGAGATCTGAGATGTCAGCATTCTGCATCTCCAATAAGAAGGATTGGATTGCCTTTGACAGAGAGTTTAGTAGTGTGAGCTCCATCAGTGACACAAGTACGTACTGGGTTTAGCATCAGGACACGATCAACCATGTTGAACGTTGATGACCATCTAGTTGTGCAGTCACGCAGCAGCTGTAATGTTGGGAGTGTGGACTTTCTGTCAGGAAGCTTGCCTCTCCAGTACCCGTTTTCATTCCCTTCTTGGATCATGGCCTGAAGATGACGACGACGCTGGCCAGATGCACGACAAGCTGAAACTATCCCTCGACATTGTCCGACTGGGTCTCGTTCAAGTGTTTTGACATATGCTTGAAGTGCTGGTTTGTTGGCAGAGTCGGTCGGGGCTGCGAGAAGAGGAACGCGAGGGTTCTTCTTTAGTTCTGCAAGGATCGCTTGCACTGCAAGGTTAACAACGTGCAGGAAGCACCTGATAGCGCTTGGTCAGTGAAAAATTTCAAGCCAGCGTGACAACAGCGACATTCAAACTTGGCTTACTGTAGATGGTTTCCATCATGATCAAAGGGAATTCTTCTTCGTCTGAGCTCGCCCTCGATTTCTACCATAAGCGTGTTATTGTTGGACGTTCATCGTGATCTGACCAAGCTGCATAGATGTAAGTACAAACATAGTTTGAATGTGATGAGGGAGACAACCCATACCTTGTTGCTGATTTCGAGATCATCAGTGATTTTGAGGAATTCTTGACCAAGGTGTGCGCCAGTATGAGCCCCCTCAATAAAGCGAAATGCTACAAGATGTGATTTGAAAATTAAGGAGTCTTTCCTATCACGAATCATGAAATGTGCTGTTAGCGCCATGAAACTATCCAGATTCTGATCACTCCAAAGGTCGGTGGTATGAGATATGCAACCAAGAGAATTCTGACAAACATGTCAACATTGTAACACATGAAATTTGTCGTGCCATACCTTTAGATCATCTTTAATTTTGCAATACTCAGTCCGGAACTCGTTGAGAATCATTTCCGTCAGCTTCGTGCAGTGTGGGAGGTTCTTGTCCTGTATTTTGCCTTCTCCAAGGTACAAAAGCAGCTCCCAAAATTCAGGACACTCGACAACATTGAAAGACTGGTATTCTGAGTCCATTAAAAGTCAGGTAAGGGTAAGTTGAGTAAAAATGATATACCTGATCGTCAACAGCTACCCACTTCATGAGAAGATAGCAGAACATCTCCATCGTGAATGGTAGGCGTTGAATTTGCTTCCCAAAGTCTTCCGTGCCCTGTTTGAGTCCCATAATTGCACATATTTCCCTATAACATTGTCCATGCTTTAACAGGTGGTTTCAGCAGGTTACTGTCATTCCGTCACTGAGCTTGTAAACTTTCCACTGTGGATTCTCTGTGTCGTCACTATACATTGTGAGTGTTTAACCATGATAAATAAAGCAAGTGACACTCACCCACAGAGTCTACAGGCAACATATGGTGAGTCGGGCTTGTTCTTCAACCGGGGCTGATTCTCTGGCATTTTGTCTGGTTTTTTTGGGGAATCCACTGCCCACATGAAATACCAAACATCGGAAGCAGCAACCTTTGTATCACGTGGAGGCTGTTTTGCCTGAGCCGCGATATTCACTGTCGTGATCGGAGGCTCGTCAATTGGTGTGGTGTTGGAGAATAATGTTGATGTGGGCCCAACTCCACACACAGCTGCTGCCGTTGCTGGTGCCACCGCGGCTGTGCTCGCATTTGTCTTCGGCCGTTTTCAAGTAGGTGCAGTTCCACTGGCTGTTGTTGCACTTTTTCGTTTTCGACCTTTCCTCTCTGTGGTCCCTGTATTGACCACCTCAGCAGTTGTATTCTGCAAGGGCCCAGGTGCATTCATAGCACTCGGCAACACCATATACTGAGGTTGTCCAAGCCCAGCTGCGGGCCCGGGTGTAAGCAAGGGTGAGGGACTCGGAGCATTATGTTGGTACTGAGGTGGTCCCCACATTGTATGGAGCATGTGAACATGCTGCGGAGGCATGCCCTGTATCATAGTATTGTATGGCCCATTGTATGATGAGTGAGGACCTTGTTCAGTTGGAATTTGTGGCATGGAGTAGTGCATCAGGAAAAACCTCCTGGCCAAAATTTCGATAATCTTTGATAAAGTCCAAGAATTATGTCTAATTTAGCAGCTTTAGGAGAATTAGGAAAATTATGTAGTTTAGAAGGACTTTCTTACCCCTCGATAATTTTGCATAATTATCAAGAATTAGCTGATACTAGACACAATTGTGGTGAATTGCAGAAGCCGTTATTACAAATGTTGGTTCACAGATCACACATCCCAGGCAATGTTACAAGAACAAAAGACTAATAAACATCTGATATTTGATTACATAGAATATACACACAAAAGTAATTACTGTATAGCTACAATTGACCGCAAATACCTAATCCCTGCCTTACATTAACAAAGCCGTATCTGTTGCAGCAAGAACGACCAGAACCAGTTCTGAAACTGTCTCCTCCATAACAGAAGAAGTGCCAGGCATGTTAGATGCGCTTGGGGGCTCGGTGAGGGAGGAGCGCTGCGCACGAGCGTCGTGTTGAGAGCGCTTGCGAATAATATCGGATTTCATACTAGTGGGACGAGCAGAGCCGTGAAGCTTATAGTAGAGGCCACATCTGTATGTATATAAGAGATTGGTACGAATATAGAAGGAACAACAAATGAGAACTTACGCGTTGCAAACGGTCTTGCCTTCATCGTCCTTCCTCCACAAAGGAGTTGCAACCAGGACTCACCACCTCCACGACTCGGACCGGTGTCGCAGAAGAAGAAGAATGCGGTGGCGCTGCAGCCGAGGACAGTGTGGACAATGCAGAAGCCAAAGATGACGCACCACCCGTGTCATCCTTCTCCATGACTAGCACGCATGGACTTTGGACGCGGACATTTATGCTACCAAAGAGAAGAGAAATGAGATGTCCGCTCAGCAAAGTCCATACGACGTATATAGATGAAATAATACTCACCAATTTACAATAGAGACCACAAGAATGGCAAACAACGACTTGGATCAGCGTGGCTCTTGCTCGAACAAGGACCGACACACTCACAATCCAACGACGAGCACGAAAGGACGACTATGGACTACCTAGTTTGTAGTTACAAATGTTAAATAGAACTTTTTAAAAAACCTAAGACATACCTATCAGCTTGATGGTTGAGGCTGACGACGTTGAACGTTGAGGAATGAGGGATCGATGTCGGAAGTTCAAAAAGTTTTCAAAACCAAAGTCATGCGAGTGTCACGAGTTCCAAATACAAACCATTATACGTTCCTAAATTCTAAGTCCTTTAAGCGCCCAGTCACAGCGCCTGTTACTAAGAAAGTATTTATAGTCGAAGATGTCCCAACAACGGCGTCTATTGTAGAGTTACCTAAAGAACCTATGAACGAGTCACGTGACTTATCGGAGTATGCCGGACTAAACTTTATTCCAAACGACCCTGACAGAATGTTCCAGAACCTTACGGTTGCTGCGGCACACGTCATGACATCATAGTTATATATAGAATCGTACAATATCATCTTATTATTTGATTGGTAGATAGTTCAGACTCAGTTTCGATCTCAGTTACAAATATGTGTATATAGGTAGTGTCTTGTAGTCAGTAGTTCTTTAGTTCAAACCTCTTGTATCTCCTAGTGAGCAATCCGAGACGTACCTGCTGCCTTATCCTCTTTGTGATTATTCTGTTGTTTGAGTCCTAGTCTCTGCCCAGCGTTAATTCGTTATTGGGTTGTGACATTAGGTTTGAACTATAGGAGACTCCGACTCTCGTGTTACACTCTCGCACATCTCTTTCTTTGCTTGGCCATATTGAAAGTCCTTTCATATTGTCATTCAAACAAAGCCGTTTACTCTTTGCCCGGTCTAAACAACCGAGACCTTTCATCATCCTTTGCTCACTTGAGCGCAAACTTCATACCTATCCGCTTTATTAGTTAGTAGTCCTATACCAGGCCCTGTCTTACCACAGCCGCCAGTATACGGAGGTGTTGACGACATTAGGCGTCTCGCTGCAACTTTGAGTGCTGGCCCAAAACCCTGCCTGCTCAACGTTACTATAGTTTCTTTTTACCTATCCCTTTTTTCATCACGCACGTAGGCATTCGTATCGAGTCAATAGCGGAACTGTCTAGACGACAAACCGTGCTTTCGACCTACGAGGATTTAGAGACATACCCTAGTGAGACTCGCACTTGTAAGCTTCGGCTGGAAGAGTGATAACTTGTCCTAGGCTTGTACCCTCAAAATGGAGATTGCATTGTCCCTAGTTTTTCCCACTCAATCGAGTATAGTTACATATCCTTTCTAGTCAGTATTAGGGAAGCGTCAGTGTGGGATTTTACCAGAACCCCTTGACCCTGAGCTAGTGGTAGATCCGATCAGATATCGGGGACCGCTCAGTTTTCCATTTCATAACTTTCTTCTCTTCATCATCATTCCCTTTCGGAAGAGCCCTTACGAGCAGCTCTTCAAAGACATCAGTAAATCGGGTTCCAGAACACAACTGGTACTATGTCTTCCCAACCACAACAAACGCAACCGGCGCAAACTCAGGAGCAATGGTTCCTGCAATACGTACAGGACCAAATCTCCGCTACCAGTAGCATCCTTCTGCAGAAAATAGCAGAGCTAGAGCAAAAAAACCAGGAACTAGCCACTAAAAATGGAGACCTGGAATTACGCTTGAAAGCACAGGAGGATGAATCGGTCAGGAGAGCCGCTTCGCAACCATCATTTGGAACAGCGGGGGCTGCAATGATGGCACCCTCAACCCCAAACATTAAATTCGCGAAACCCGCAGATTTCACTGGAGAAAGAGACTCCATAGATGCGCGAACCTGGGCCGCTCAAATTGCCCTGTACCAATCACAATGGCTGAACATCACTGAGAAACAAAGAATCTCGGTCATGCTATCGTTCATGAAAGGAGCAGCCGGAAGATGGGCGCAAAAATACATCGAGGACCACGCAGAAGGAAAACTTACCATGGAAAAACTCGACGACGACTTCACTGCTATGTGGAAGCAGGAAGATCAAGAAGGGAAGGCGATAAGAGACTTGGATTCTCTCAAACAAGGATCTTCATCAGTCCCAGAGTACGCAGCCACTTTTAGACAAAAGGCTGCACACACTTCATTCTCTGATTACGACCAGCGACAAAAATTCAGAAACGGACTTCAAGACCGCGTCAAGATACAGCTCGCACATGTTCCTTACAAGGACAAAGACACCATGAAGAAACTGGTGGAACACGCGATCCAGATCGGACGCAACTTCGAAGAGCTAGATGCGGACAAGAAGAAAACAACGTGGTGGACTCCAAAGCAAGGAGGTCCCAAAAACTACGAGTCCAAAGCAGGTCCAAGTAGGGAAAGTGATGCCATGGATGTCGACTCCGGAAAGCAGAAGTGGGCCCCCAAGCCCCAAGGAAAGACTGGATCTTTCAAATGCTACCGCTGTGGAGGAGAAGGCCATATGGCTAGAAACTGCAAAGACGCAGTCGCGCCAAAAGCGCAGGTGAAGGCTACTACAGTGCCAAAGGAAGAGAACTCAATGCCGCAGTGGTTCAAAGACTGGACTGCTAGCAAAGAAGGCAAGGGTTTTTAGAAGGGTCGAAGTCAAAGTCTGCGAACTTAGACCCAAACAATCGTTTCTCCATTCTATCTACGTTTTCGGATGTATCAGAAGTATATATTAAATCCAAATCTGAGCATTTTTATATTCCGATTACGTTGAAAGGGAAGAACCGACAAGCAGACGTGAAAGCGCTAGTGGACTGTGGAGCATCAACATTATTTATCAGTGAAAGATTCGTAAAAAAGAATGAGGTCCGGTGTCGTAAATTATTAAGACCTATTCCGGTCAAAAATATTGATGGCTCGCTAAATGCCGCGGGATCAATGACACATTTCGCAGAACTAGGTCTAAAGATCGGTGATCATGTTGAGGATGAAGCAGCCTTCATGGTTACGGACCTAGGAAACGATGATGTTATTATCGGCATAGATTGGCTGAGATATCATAATCCGGAAATAGACTGGAATGCTGGACAGTTTGCACTTTCTCGATGCCCGATTAAATGTATTACGAAAAAAGAACAAAGACAAAAAATAAAGAAAAAAGAAAAGAACAAAAAAAGACAGAAGAAGTGCCAGATCTGATTCCCACAGAAGAGGATGACGAAGAAGACATGGCGATGAAAAGGGCGACGGTTGAGGAAATAGAAGATGAAGAGTATCCTGGAGAATGGATCAAATATAAAGCCTCGGTCGCCACGGAGCAGAAGGTTGCAGAAGAAGCAACAAAGGTGAAGAAATCGGTTGAAGAGATGGTTCCCGATTGGCTTCACGATTACCTGGGAGTTTTCTCAGAAGAAGAATCTAAGCGCTTCCCTGAAAAAAAGAAGTGGGATCATGCGATAGATCTTAAGGATAATGGCGATCTCCCGCCAAATGCGAAACCTTACCCCTTGTCACCAAAGGAAATGGACACCTTGAAAGATTGGTTGAAAGCTGAGACCGCACTGGGACACATTAGAGAGTCACAATCCCCAGTGGCAGCACCTTTCTTCTTTGTGGCCAAGAAAGATGGCAAGTTAAGACCAGTGATGGACTATAGAAAGCTCAATGAGAAGACGGTTAAAAATGCATACCCGCTACCGAGATCTCAAGATTTAATTGACGCTTTAACCGGTGCCACGATGTACTCCAAGATGGATGTACGATGGGGGTACAATAACATTCGCATGAAAGAAGGAGATGAGTGGAAGGCGGCCTTCAAAACGCCGTTTGGTCACCACGAACCAACCGTAATGTACTTCGGGTTGACAAACTCCCCTGCCACGTTTCAAACAATGATGAACGAGATATTCAGAGATCTAATTGATGGAAAGACCGTAGTTGTCTATTATTATATCGATGATATTCTCGTGTTTACAAATGGCAATAAGGAGCAACACCGGAAGGTTGTACGTGAGGTACTGAAACGACTAAAAGAAAATGACTTGTATCTAAAGCCTGAAAAATGTAGCTTTGAACAGTCAGAAGTCGAGTTCCTCGGTTTGATAGTGGAGAAGGGTGGTGTTCGGATGGACCCTGTGAAAGTAGAAGGAGTGATGAATTGGCCCACACCTAAATGCGTTAAAGATATTCAAGCGTTTATGGGTTTTGCCAATTTCTACAGAAGATTTATCTTTGGGTTTTCGGACATTGCCAGACCAATGAATGACTTATTACGGAAAGATGTCAAATGGGACTGGACGGAGAAACAACAAGATGCATTTGATGAACTGAAGTCAAGGTTCACAACAGCTCCGATTCTAGTCATGCCGGACGTTGAGAAAAAAATGAAAATAGAAACCGATGCTTCTGATTATGCAACCGGAGCGGTTCTATCTCAACTGATGGAAGATGATTTATGGCATCCCGTAGCCTATTATTCGAAGTCAATGAATGATGCAGAACGAAACTATGACGTTCATGACAAAGAATTATTGGCGATCATTCGAGCGTTGGAGGAGTGGAGACATTACGTGCAGGGAAAACCTCATCATGTGGAGATCTGGACGGATCATAAGAATCTCGAGTATTTCATGACAAGCCAAAAGTTGACAAGAAGGCAAGCCAGATGGAGTTTATTCCTGGCGGAGTACGAATTTACGCTCCAACATAAGCCTGGTGTAGTTAACGATAAGGCAGACCGTCTATCTCTGAGAGAAGACCACAGAAAGGGGGTAGAAAACGACAATTCTGATCGCGTTCTGTTAAAACCGGAGTTTTTTACCGTAAAAGCTGCCAAAAGAGGTCAAGTTCTAGTGCAAGGAGAAAAACAATTGCTGAGAAGGATAAGGCAATGCACAGAACAAGAACCTGAAGTCGCTAAAGCGTTAGAAACATTGAAAGCGGCACCGGTACAACTACGCAGAGGGATTGAAGAATGGAATGTTGAGGATGGATTGGTGTTATTCCGAGGATTGGTTTACGTTCCAAATGATAAAGAGATCCGCCGAGAGATATTGGAGTTGTTTCACGACTCTCCACCGGCTGGACATCCAGGACGAGCCAAAACCTTAGAATTGATTTCCAGAAATTATTGGTGGCCTTCAATGACGAAGTATGTCCACGATTACGTAGATGGCTGTGATAGATGCAGAGCAACGAAGATTCACCCAACGCAACCACACGGTCCGCTTAAACCAAACGAAATACCAGCGGGACCTTGGCAATCAATCACTTGTGACTTGATAGTAGATTTGCCTAAAAGCGAAGGGTTCGATTCTATTTTTGTTGTCGTTGATCGATACACAAAACAAACGCACATCATGCCTACAAAAAAGGAAGTTGACGCTCGAGGAATCGCGAGACTTTTCTTAGATAACGTATGGAAACACCATGGAACTCCGAAACAGGTGATATCAGACAGAGGAACACAATTCGTCTCTAAGTTTATGGGACAAGTGTCGAAACGCCTAGGCATAAAATGGAACATGTCAACGGCTTATCATCCTCAGACAGATGGACAAACGGAAAGAATAAATCAAGAAGTCGAGCAATATCTGAGAATGTTCACGTCTTACCGCCAAAATGATTGGGTAGACTGGCTTCCACTAGCAGAATTCGCTCACAATAATTCCGTCACTGTAACCGGTCATAGTCCATTCAAAGTACTCTACGGATACGATCCAGAGTTTACTTTTTCACCGATTTCCAATTCTAAAGTACCTGCAGCTGATGAACGAGTGGATGTAATGAAAGAAGCGAAAGAAGACGCAGAAAGTATGCTGCGCATGGCTAGTGAGCGGATGAAAAGATTCTATGATAAAGGAGTAAAAGACGCACCACAGTTCAAGAAAGGAGACATGGTCTGGCTCAACGCCAAAAATATTCACCAGAAAAGACCGAATAAGAAACTCTCCAACAGAAGACTTGGTCCGTTCGAAGTGCTTGAGAAGACGGGTGATGTAAATTACCGCCTGAAACTTCCAGCAAAATATCAGATCCACCCAGTATTCCATGTAGAATTACTCACTCCGCATTCCCCCTCGACCTTAATCCAAAGACCTCCACATCATCGTCCGCTGCCAGAGATCGTATCAGAAGGCGATTCCGAATGGACAGTGCGAAAAGTCCTAGACTCGAGACTGCACAGATCAAAACTCCAATACCTAGTAGAGTGGGAAGTGATACGGACTAGGATAGTTCGAGCTCTCCCTAGGCGGATTGCCTAATCTGATAGCGGGCTCGCTATTGGAGAGACGGGGATCTTCTCTCGAATGAGAGGTTCGGGGTTTCCACTTAAGGTAGCGTCGGCTTTCCTTAAGGTGCGGCTTAGACTGAAGGACTGGGACTGTCTTTCAGAGGAAGTTCTGGATAAAACCTAGTAGAATCAAGTAGGGAATATACATGATTCTGTCTGCTCTATATACTGTCGTCCGTGTGCACAGACCAATACTACGTTCGGTAGGTAGGTATGAGTGTGTCTATACAAGGGCATCTTATCTGATGCCATGCGGGCGATTATCTATGCATGAGGCTTACCATGCCTCTTCTATCTGTCCTCAAGGCGTAGCATGCCTTGGAGTCTAACTGCGCATGCTAAGGCATGCGGCTTCTCTTCTGACCATGAGGCAGAGCTTCCTCATGATCCGGGTCGAGGACCATCTAGGTCCGATCAGATGTAGCCTAGGCTGGTCTAGGTCATCTAACGGCATCCAGGCCGTTCTAGGCGTCTCTACGAGTCTCCGTTGAGTCGGTAAGTCTTCCAAGACGGTGCATATGGTGGGATAGGGGCTAAGGTCATGATGACCTCCGTAGGAGGGGTTCTCGGTTACATGTTATTGTAACAGGAAGGATATCCGATAGAAGAAGCGACATGGGAACCTGAAGAGAACCTCGAAAATGCACGGTTGAAAGTTCAAGAATTTCATCGGCAAAATCCGAAAGCATTGAATCCCCGCAAAATTAATAAATCGGTGTTCGAAACACAAGAATTCTTGGAATGGCGTCGAAACTTTATCCGCCCAAATGTCTTTCGCGATGACGCTCAACCTAGAGAGGGGGTAATGTCACGAGTTCCAAATACAAACCATTATACGTTCCTAAATTCTAAGTCCTTTAAGCGCCCAGTCACAGCGCCTGTTACTAAGAAAGTATTTATAGTCGAAGATGTCCCAACAACGGCGTCTATTGTAGAGTTACCTAAAGAACCTATGAACGAGTCACGTGACTTATCGGAGTATGCCGGACTAAACTTTATTCCAAACGACCCTGACAGAATGTTCCAGAACCTTACGGTTGCTGCGGCACACGTCATGACATCATAGTTATATATAGAATCGTACAATATCATCTTATTATTTGATTGGTAGATAGTTCAGACTCAGTTTCGATCTCAGTTACAAATATGTGTATATAGGTAGTGTCTTGTAGTCAGTAGTTCTTTAGTTCAAACCTCTTGTATCTCCTAGTGAGCAATCCGAGACGTACCTGCTGCCTTATCCTCTTTGTGATTATTCTGTTGTTTGAGTCCTAGTCTCTGCCCAGCGTTAATTCGTTATTGGGTTGTGACAGCGAGCCAAACAAATACTTACACGCAAATGGTTCGATATCAAATAGTCACGTGAGCGATGTAGAAACTACAAAACAGAGAGGAACAAACAAAGATGGCTCCAAACTGATATATTTGTGTTGTGGTCTTTGCACTGCCTAGTCTGCTATACTTGCCTGACAAGTGCGTTCGACCCAGGGGTCTGCGGTCTGGGAATAGTCTTGGGGGTAAGTGAGTGATGTGGGGTCAATAGTCCGAGCGCGGGAAACAATGTCCAAAGGTATAATTACGATGTCCGATGCAAAAGCGTCGGGTCCGATGTTTTCGGGTTATCGGGTTCGGGTTCGGGGTGTCGGAAACTAATAGTAACGCTATAGCGAGCGTCGGAAGAGCGAGCGGTGTGCGCAATAATAACAATGACTGATACGGGCGGTGAAGGAACGATGATATTCGCAATGTCAACTAAGAACTACGAAATATCGGGTTTGACCACTAAGCGTCGGGGAACTGCTCCCCTCTACTTGGATAATGAATAATGCTCGAGGTCAGTCCAATATATATATATAAGTACGTAGAAATGCGGAACCCATAGGCGAAGATAGCGGCCGATGATTTCGGATCCGAAGTACATGTAAATAAACATGAGGCGCTGCGGACTATGGGAAAACATGTAATAGCGCTGGCTACGACGGGAGTAATGTGCGAAATAATGAACTACACACCTAGTGGGGCTAGCAAGACAGGACGGGACACGGGAAAGACGAGTGCGCGGGAATTTGCATTGGCCGATGCGGCCTAAACGTCGGGTTGGCGGGTTAGCGTCGGATAACATCGGGAAGTGATTAGCATGTGACGGGTATTTGACGTGTACAGTGAAATAGCTCGATACGAGCCCAGCGCCAGCTCGTGTCCTACAGCGCAACAAATATGTGCAAATGATGAACTTCAACGAAATTTTACTCAGTCGTTCGCCGCTTGTTCTAGGTGTGCATGTTCTTTTTTCTCGTTTATAACTATCTTCATCAGCAAACTACTAATTTGGTGACAGGTTTCACATGAACAACAAGTCTACACAAACTGTACAAGGTATTACAGACGTACAAGCAATTCAAAATTTGGAGCCGCTAAGTACAAACAAACAGGCGGACAAACACCACAAGGACTACAGAGTGTACAAGCAATACAGATTATACACATAATACAAGCGTGTATCAACACTAGTTTAACTTGTACCGCCAGCCCTGCACCCAATAAACGTTGGAACACCATTTCTCCTCCGCTCTATATGCATGCGTCCCACGTCAAGGTCAGCCGTCAATAATCGCATGTTCGCAGCTTCTACACGACGGAGATGGAGGTTAGTAAGTACTATGTGGTGCTCCAAGATGCTGTCTGCGAGGTCCTTTTGGGCTTGACAAATCCTACGTTTTGCTTGAGCTGCCTCTAGTGCAAGATCGGAGTGGTCTTCTTCGTCTGGTTGGTTGAATAATGGGTAGTTGAGGTCCTTATGCGCAATGAATAAGAACAATCGAAGACGGAACACCGGACACACGAACTCACAAACTGCAGGCCTCCAGATAAGCTGGGCTCGTCTTTAATAACGCACGACCCCATTTGAGACGATAAAGTTTTGTTTGGAGAGAGACTTTGGCAGGACGTGCGGTGTCCAACTGATGTCGCATCGTAAGGTTTTTGAAGGCGATACTTGAAGCGAGTATTATATGAGCGCAAGGACTGAGTTCTTGAAGACGAATTGCGAGACAAAGATGAGACTACAGAAGAGCTTGGAGATGAAGTTACAGAATCATCCATCATATGTAAATATAATATATCGTATTATGATGGGTGTACGAGCAAAGATAAGTCTTAAGCGTGTATGAGCACTTGAAGCGTGTGAACAAATCTTTGTGCTTCCGAACAACCATGTCAATATCATGTCCGAAATGCGGGAAAGTATTCAGCAAGGAGTCCAGCGTCACTCGTCACCTCAGTCAGCCTCGATCATCGTGTCATAGTTCTATTCGTGACATGGTGGACATTTCTCAGTTCGCAGAGTCAGTTCTACAATTACGGCGGTCCCCCGATCCAACTCTTTACCATGGTATAAATTCGGACGCATATCCTTCGCATTTCGATGTCGACTTCTTCGAGACGGAGGAAGAGGAATACATGAGTGCGGAGGAACAGTACGAAGACGCAGGGACTTGTTACTCTCAAGATGGCCTGACGTTCTTGGATCTTTTTGACACGGACGAGTATGCAGAATACAGAAAGGATAATTTATTCTATCCTTTTGCATCAAAAGAGGAATGGGAAATCGCCGATTTTCTTCTTCGTTCTCCCCTTAGTATGGCTGCAATCAATGAATTTCTAGCGCTCCCAATGGTGAGTGCTCTTCACGAATGCTGGCGCTTTGAGATCTTGCGGACTCACAACTTTGGAGCCTTTTCTCCTTCTTGCAATTCTCAAGTCTCTTATCCTTCTCGTATTTCTTAATATCCTTCTCGCACTTTACTGATCACGTCCTTACTTTACAGATCCGCGGATTGAAGCTTTCATTCAGTACCGCTAAAGAATTGCGAAGCCGAGCTGAGATGCTACCCAAGGGACCAAGCTGGAAGTGTCAAATTATCCCATCTCTACATCGCACCAAAAATCCAATCCGACTTTTTTGGAGGGATCCGGTCGAATGCTTAGAAGCCCTCTTCAGCAACCCCCTTTTCCATGACAAGCTTGATTTTGTCCCTCGTCGCGTGTACACGACCGCAGCACGGCTTACCCGCGTTTATTCGGAGTGGCTGACAGGCGATTTTGCTTGGGAGTTCCAGGTATGTGCGTCTGAGCCCCATAACATGCGCTGTCTTACTTAGGGCCTACAGAGTCAAGTGCCCAGAGGCGCTACAATTCTTGGCACAATCATTTCTTCCGACAAAACAAATATCACCACTATGACTGGCGCTAGAGTTGCTCATCCGCTTCTTCTCGGTCTCGCTAATATCCGCATGCAAACTCGCATGAAACTCTCATCCAGGGCCTTCCTACTCACAGCACTCCTCCCTATCCCGCAGTACTTACACTCTACTCAACGGATGCGAGGTGTTCTCGAAGACCGCCTCATACATCAATGTCTTTCCATCGTCTTAAAGCCGTTGATGATCGCGGCCGAAATCGGGATAATGATGTCCGATCCCATCGGAAATGTTCGCCATTGCTATACGCCCCTTGCAGCATACATCGTTGATACCCCGGAGGCATGTATGCTTGCGTGCGTACGCGGGAAAACCTCCCCGTTTACGATGGCATCATATCTGGAGTTTGGGGACAATTTTCGTCACCCCGAACGTACACGCCATATCACTCTCGATCAGCTCGCCAAGATACAAGTTGATCCCAATGACCTTGAAGGTTATTTTGATGCATGCGCCATATATCATCTAAACGGTGTCCATGCGCCCTTCTGGCAAGATTGGCCATTTGCTTGTCCCTCGGTCTTTCTAACTCCAGAGGCTCTGCATCACTGGCACAAGCAATTTTTCGATCACGACCTTCAGTGGTGCATCGAGGTTGTTGGAGCGCAAGAACTCGATTTTCGGTTCTCGATTTTGCAGCCAACCACAGGCTATCGTCACTACTCTGGCGGAATAACGAAGCTCAAGCAAGTCACGGGCAGAGTCCACCGTGATCTACAGCGTTACATTGTCGGTCTCCTCGTCGGTGCAGCCCCTCGTCGATTTGTGATCGCGATCCGTGCCCTTATGGACGTCCGCTACCTGGCACAATCCCCTTCTCCAGATGACAATTTATTGGCATCTATTGACCAATCTCTTTCGACCTTTCATCAAAACAAAGATGTTATCATGACGTTGGGCGCACGGACCGGTACGAAGAAGACGATCGACAATTGGTATATACCTAAGCTAGAGCTAATGCAGAGCATCACTGCCAGCACACGCAAAGTTGGAGCCCTCATCCAGTGGTCTGCGGACGCCACTGAACATGCGCATGTGTCCGAAATCAAGGAACCTGCACGACAAACCAACAATAATGATTATGACCCTCAGATTTGCCGTCATTTAGATCGACAGGACAAGCTGCGGCGATTTGCGATTGCTATGACATTGAAGAGTGGTGTCCTTGATCCAGACCCCGAAGAATTACCCATGGATGAGGGAGACGATGAAGACATTGCTGAGCTCGAAGAACCGTCTACTGATCAACGAACTGCACTCCTGGAGGGGCTTAATCGCACACGTGTCACTACTAACTACTTCATCAAAGCTAAGGAGGCGGCTACTGTACCTCGTGGACCTAGCCCTCATCCTCCTCGAACGTTTACCGCTGGTAATACCGCTATCCATCTAAATTATAGTCCAACTTGCACTGGAATGAAAATTGACGATGTTGCAGACGAGTTCAACATACCGGATCTTCGTGATGCTATTTCAAACTTCTTGCGACTTGACGCGAGGAACAGAGATGTGATTCATGGGGTTGGAATCTCAAGAAGATCGTTAATCGACCGTCCTTCTACTCTGCCTTTTGATCGTGTTCAAGTTTGGCACACAGTTCGCTTGCAGGAAGTTTCCTTCCATGATCCATGTGTCATCTTACCAGCGCAAACCTTGCACGCCTCTCCACCATGTCCCGGGTGGCCGAAAGGCCAACGAGACGCCGTCCTTATCAATGTCGATAGAGAGTATGAGTGGCCCCAGTCAGGGTTAAGGGGTGAGTCCTTTTCTATTCTTATCAATCTGGCTGAAGTGTGACTCCTTGGAAGGGCACGCCATCTGTGAAGTGCGGCTTATCATCCGCCCAATGGCCCGACGAGGTTCTCATATCACTTGGCGAGATCAATATCTATGCTATGTGCATAGCCTGAAGGTTGGCGCAGTCCATCCTGCCGCTGGGATGCATGTATTGAAGCGTGCTAAGCATGGGGATGGTACTCCAGTAGGTAACATAGTTCCCCTCAAGCAAATGCGTACCTTTATCAGTATAATACCTGAGCTGGGAGCTGCAGCAGACGCGCGGTTGACAAAGGAGACTTCTGCACATTATTCCTCATCATTTTTCTTGAACAAGTACTTCAACAAGCAGCTTTATTATGCACTTTACCATGCTTCACAACGGATAGATACATAGAATGGTGCTCAGAGATGTTTTCTGATAATCCTGATGCATATGTTTTAATCCCTAGTGATAACAGATAAGGAACGTGCGCGGACACTGCCCAATTGGTAGTTGCATGCCTGAACGACAAGTTGAGCATTGACCACCTGACTTGCACAATGCAGTCATCCATTTCATCCCGGCAATCCGACATCGACAACTTCTTGCTCTACGCAACGTTAAGCTCTATTGGTGTCCCTTCTGGCCCACGCACCTTAGATACTACGCAAGCTCTCCTCAAGCAAGAGCTGAAAAACCGCCTGATTCATGAAGGTTTTGGAAGGGGTGCCAGAATACCATTGGAGAAGTCCATTTTTCATCGTCTTGTGATAAAAACTACTCTCCAATTGAGCGAGATCAAGACCATTCAGTACGACAAAAAAGGACGATTTGCATACTCCGGAGACAAATGGAAATTCCACCGCAGGAGAAAAGGAATCAAACGTACTCGTGGCGCAAAGGATGAACAGGATGACGGTACAGAGGACAGTGGCACAGAGCGCGAGGATGCAGAGGATGATGGTACAGACGACGAGGATGCAGAAGATGATGATACAGAGAACGGTGATACGAATATCGATGATGCAGAGATCAAGGGTGCAGCGCTTGGCGTAGAGCCCTCTTTTGACTCGGTGATCCATGGCCAATCTGAAACAGAAGCATGGAGTTCCCAAGAGTACCGGCCTTCGGGATCGAAGAAAAGACTCAGGCCTGTGTCCGTGACAACTGAAAAACAGTTTCAACGTCTCTTCTACACCATTCAGTATCACCTGCGCCACAAACTGAAACCCCACCTCCCTTTCAACATATCCGATTCGGCTGGATCCCAGTACTGGTCTGCAGAGTTCTCCACCTCTCCTATACCAGACGAATACAACTGCCAGAAGCCCGACATAGCCCTGTTTGACTTCGCCATCAAAAACATGGGGAAGACATGGGCAGATGTCCTGTCCTTCGTGGAGCATACCTCCAGTGATCTCACTAAAAAGCGAGATATACCAGTGTTCTGGGGATCTACGACCAAAGCCTACCTAATGCTGAGAGAACAACCATGGCGTCGATTCGTCGTTGGGTTTTCGATTTGTGCCGATCAGCTTCGTGCACATTACTTTGACCGCTCCGGTCTCATCATTTCCCATCCTTTTCACATCCATCAAAACATGGGCCCTGTGCGACTCACAGAGATGTTGGGCACCCTCACTCTATCGGATATTCACCATTTGGGTTTCGATCCGACGATTCACATGTGTAACGCTGCATGCACAGGAACTCATCCTAATTTAGCACACGAGGCGAAGGGCTGGGTGAAGGACAACCACGACAAAACATATTCCATTATGGATGTTCTGTGGAAGAGCCATGGGCTTTTCTGTCGTGGAACGGTTTGTTATCGTGTCGTTGATGAGGCAGGGAATCAGTACGCTTTAAAAGATTGTTGGGTGACAGAGGAGAAGAGAATGCACGAAACGACCATCCTGGAGATGGTCAAGGGCATCCCTAACGTTGTCGAACTCATAGACCATTGGGACGTGTATTACGAAGGGGAGCCTGACTGCACAGCGCGCATTCGCAGCCAATACGACATGGGCCATCGGGATGACTTGATGTTCCGCAACAGATTCCACCGCCGCATTCTCTTGTCCCCCTGTGGAGAGCCATTATCTAAATTCAGCTCTAGACGAGAACTGCTCACCGCCTTCCATGCCTTTGTAGTTGGTGAGTCTTATTGAGCATGCAAAATCCTTGTATCAATCTTTTATTTTCAGCTCATCACATGATGATTGAGAAGCGAGTCTTGCATGGGGACCTCAGTCCCAATAATTTTGTTGTTCATGACGGTATCGGTTACTTCATCGATTTCGATCACGCCTCGATTCTAGATGAAGGCACAACTAGCACCTATTCGCATGGTACAGTAAGTTTCGGTATACATTTTCGCTATTCATTGTTCATTTCATTTTTTCAGGGGACCATGCCCTACATTTCTATCCGTATTCTTCAGGCTATGCTGGATCTAGCCCCACTTGAGGTTGGCGCCAACATCCCAGGCCAGGATGCTGATCCAAATAATGTGGACGATTCCACGGTGGACAACAACGTCGATCTTGTTCCGCAGGCTGCCAATGCTCCGCAGAATGTCAACTTCGATACCGATCTGATCGAACACCGGCCCAGCGATGACCTCGAGTCCTTATTTTATATTTTTTTCGAGTTTGTTGCCAAGTATGGGGGGCCACATGGCCAATTGGCATCCACCTGGTCCCGGCGAACTTTACCGTGGGCGAGCGCTTATGAAGCTTTGGGCAATGCAGATACCCATTTGGCCCTAAGTACGATCTGTTTCGCGAAGATGGGGGTTTTAATGCAAGGCCGATTCTTGGTCGCCAAGACATCCGAATACTTCGCGGAATTCCGACCTCTCGTGCATAAATGGGGCACCATGGTTTACGATGCGAACGCGCCCCAAAATCCGGTAGAGATGACCCACGCTGGAGTCCTCGACCTACTTGATATATTCATGAGATCTATTGGTGAAGAACCACCTCCTTTAGAACAATCCCAGAGTCTTCATCCCCGCACAGCAGCATCCCAGAGTCTTCACTACCGCACGTCAGCATCCCAGAGTCTTCACTCCCGCACGTCAGCATCCGATGCCCTTCACCCCCCCCCAGCAGGGCCATCTGAGCCTTTACTGCGTCGTTCTGCTCGTCTTAGCTTAACAAATCCTCCGATACCCTCTACAGCACTTTCCGAGCCTTTGTCGTCTCGTTCCCCACGAAAAAAAAGAACAAACGGGCGACTCGGAGGAGGCAATGAGAGGTGTCTGAACTTTTTTTCTGTACATGTCATCCCACAATCCTCTTTCCGAGTGCTGGCCACTTATCTTCTCACAATTCTCAAGTCTCTTATCCTTCTCGTATTTCTTAACATCCTTCAACTCCCACTGTCATTTACTCAACTCGTTGTACCCTCTAATTATTATTACGTTCGGAGTCATACGGTACCTGTATACGTACTCTGTTGTGCTAGTTTAGTACGTCATACGTCGAGCCCATCAGCTTATGTGATATGACTCTGGGTACTAATTGGTGGCGACAGGTTTTAGAATCTTGGCACTTCCCGCCTTCTCGCTCGATGCCTCCGAAGAAGAGGGCCAGGCGCTCATACGAAGTCTCCGAGGGTACTCGACGAAGTGAGAGATCTACGCGAGGCCAAGGTGGACATGCAGACCAGTTGAAAAAAACTGGCGAAACCTTAGTGGCCCCAGCGAGGAAAGGTCGGAAGGAGACCAATCTTGACATTAGTGATGCAGAGGAAAACCCCATGGCTCCTTCCCAGCTCCGGAAACCGAAGAAAACTGTGACAGTTGACGTTCTAATATAAACTCCCAAAAGCTAACATTCTTCCAGGCTACTACTAAAAGGTCTCTGACCGGGAGCACCAATCCTACTCAGTGTTCCATTGGTATCAACAAGAATGTCCATTCTGGACGCCAGCAACCTAATTCAGGACACCAACATTCTGGCGCATCTCTCCGGACAGCCCCAAGTGCAGCTCAGTCTTCAGGTAGGTTTGGGTTTCGGCAGCCCACTTCGACTGGCAGTCAGAACATCCGGAAGGCACCACGGCCCAATGAGCGTACCCATGACTCGGAGGAGGAGGCTGGAAGTCAAGCTCCAGAGCATGGTATCGGTGACGACGACGACGACCAGGACCAGGACCAAACTGACGGGGAAAATGAGGACAGGTACGTCTTCTGCTACTATCTCATCCGTCTGTTGTCACATGTGCCCGATGCAGGGACGGAGTTCAGGACCAGGAGCAAACACTTGAAATAGGCGGTACCACGGACTTTGGACAACACGAAGACGATTTGGATGGCGAGTACGGAGGTGACGCTCAGGAAGATTGTCTGAATCAAGGTATGATGGGATGTCAACAATTAGCCTGATGCTTAGTGATTTCAATCAAGGTATTGATGGGGATTTTGACGACGAGCCTGGCACTCAGAGGGACAAGCCTGACGCTCAGGACAGTGGTACTCATGACGACTCCAACAATGAGCTCGACAACGCAGCCAGTGACGAAACAGAGGAAAGTGTTTTAATTTTTGTCTTGAGGTTAATCTTATCACACGCTCTTCAGGAAGCTTTTGATGTTCTCGAGCGACATCAAATGAAAAATGGACGGCGCAAGGCACCTTCTTTAACTTATCTATCGAGGGCGAAACATACTGAACGCAGACGTGCTTCTAGCCAGTCGAAGTCTCCTCGTCGACCGTCACCTCGACGTGTGGTGTCTACTGGGTCTTCTGCTCTGGCGCGACCTCCTAAATGTGGGTGCTCACCTCACATTACTTCTACCCACTCAAAGTATCCAGACCAGCGTTCGGTGTCGCCTCGTAGACACACATCTCAGCGTGTCCCATCTATGCGCCCTTCTACACGCTCAAGGTCTCCATATCGGCGTTCGGTGTCGCCTCGTAGACACACATCTCAGCGTGTCCCGTCTATGCGCCCTTCTGCGCGCTCAAGGTCTCCATATCGGCGTTCAGTGTCACCTCATAGACACACATCTCTGCATGTCCCGTCTGTGCGCCCTTCTACACGCTCAAGGTCTCCATATCAGTGTTCGGTGTCGCCTCGTAGACACATATCTCAGCGTGTCCCGTCTATGCGCCCTTCTTCCTCCCGCGTGCACTCTCGCCATTCTACACGCTCAAGGTCACCATATCGGCGTTCAGCGTCACCTCATACACACGTATCTCAGCGTCCCCCCCGCATGCAGTCTCCTCATCGGCGTTCTCCATCTAGGCGAAGCACTTCCTCCAGTCGTGCTACACGTGATGAGCCAGATTCATACAGAAATAAGCGCAAGGCCAAGACAGTCCAAGAGGATCCCGCGAAGCTCGGCTTTTACCCACCTGCCTGGCAAGCATTTTTGCAGGCAGCGAAGTTAGAGATGTGTCTACAGGCTGTTCTAACGCATCCCATTCCAGATCATGGAGATGTGCTACAACTTGCACAAGAAGTTCTTGACGCTGAATTGTGGGTGTACCACGAAAAAAAGATCAAATTGGACAATGGTGAATGGGTTCCTCACATTGCCTGACCCCCTTTGCGAATCTCATCTCGCTTCTTAGGCTATTTCCCGCAGTACACGACACAAATGTCGCGGCTGGTAAGTGTCTCATTAATAGATGTATGATAAACTTATATCTTTACTGTCAGCTCTGTGATGATCTATTCACGTTTCGCACGGAGCTGAAGAAAGTTGTTATATCCGTCGCGAAAGCATCATACGATATCTTCCCGAAGGGCACCATGGCGCGCAAGGACGAGGTACAGAAATGTGTCATTGCGAAGGCCACCAAGTTACTCAAGACCGGTGATTATCTTCGTATTCCCGATTCATCTGATGTATGGTTTCGTGTTTACGCCTCCCAAGGCAGCCACTCACTATTAGTTTTATAGGGCAAATGGAGGAATTTTGTCTCGCAAGCTCTCAGGGATGGCTGCCTCGAATTCTACTATGGTAATAGCAAGAAAGCCCTCAAGAACACAGATGAATTTCGACGTGCAATACCTGTCAACGGGCTGCTTCTTGTGGGCGCCGTGGTGCGCCCTGTTATTTATTTTGTTTGTGTTATTTAGTCATTGATGAATCAACAGACGAAGGGCGTCCTCACTGGGTTTCGCGAGACCGGCACTGACAAAGTCCCAGACCTCTCCGCAGATAAATGTAGGGCCGACTTCAACTCGTTGCAGAAGTCTGTAGACGCACTTCTAGAAAATCCTGACCGTCGTGTGGAGCTCGAGGAGATGTTGGAGCAGTGGGCTATGATTGGGATGGGTGACCTTGATTTTGACGAGGGCAATACTGGAGGCAGTGATATGGAGGATGTCAACATCATCTTATAATCTAGCATACTCTCTCGTTCAGCATGTTGTAATTTGTGACAATCAGCACAGTTTTTGCATCCTTTACAAGCCTGTACAATGTCTAGCAACTGCATAAACTTACATAACATGTGCCACCTATATAACATGTGCCGCCTATACAACATGTGCCGCCTATACAACATGTCTCACCTACACAACATGTATCATGTGTATTGTCTGTACAAAGGCACAGACTGTAACATTTGTATATATTGTGAGACCTTGTGACAGGACTGTAAAGGGGAGACTTTCCTGTGTGACTGTAAGGCTTGTACAGGCTTGTACAGGCTTGTACAACATTGTACAGGTACCGGCTGGTTTGCTGATGTTTAACCTTGCAGCGTGCTACTACGACCACCACTCGCGCCCTACACTACATCCTACCCTCCATCTCGTGCTTCCTGTCTCGGCCCTCCTTCCACTCTTCTGGCGCTCTCCAGTGTCCTCCGCACACGTTCGAGTAGTGTTGTGCGGGCCGGGCTTGGGCCTATGGCCCAGGGCTGGGCCTGGGCTTGAGTGGGTATGGGCCTCATAATATTTTGGCCCAGCCCTGATGTCGGGCTTGGGCTTGGGCTGGGCTGGGCTTGGGCTGAAGCCCGGGCCTGACATAGATTGGGTACACAACAACGAAACACATCTACCGAAGTTATTCTAAACTCTCTATGTCAATGAAAACCATGCTATCTTCACCTGACTTCTCGGGGCACCCATCAAGTAGCTCGTCATCCTCATCTGCAGGATCTTCGGTCAATGATGAAGGTCCTGACTCACGAAAGACCAGGTCATGACGAAGAAGGCACTTCATTACCTGTAGTGCCTCAATGACATCCCCTTTGAGACGGTTGCGGTGCTTTGTAATTGTTAGCGCAGCTGAAGAAAATGCCCGCTCGCTCGATACCGACGAGGCCATGATTCCTAAGAAGTCACGAGCGATAGCTGTCCACACTAGCCCATACCTCGTTGCATTTAACTTTTGATAGATTCAGTATCTTCATTGAGTGAATAAATGAAGGAATACATACCCCCCACCACTGGACAATGGATTGGTTTTCGGCCAGCTGGTCAAATGTATTGACATAGTAGTTAAAGTCTTGAAGCCAGGGTTTCCGTGGATCGATTGATGACATGGCTGCAGATGGAGTATATGAGGTTGGCGTGTCGTCGTCGTCGTCGTCGTCACTAAGTTCCCGCAGAAGCCTCGAAATTTTGATTCCGGATGTGCGACCTTTCTTGACTGGAGTGTGTTCAGCGTCACCATGAATGTGTGCATAGTACTCCTGAAACTGATGACAGTCAGACTATTGTCATGGAAATCTGCTGGAATACTCACAATATGTTCCGCATTCTCGAGAGCCTCTTGTTGCAAATTGTCGTCCCAGTACTTCTTGAAATGGTTCATTTTTTCGTTAGGATCGAGTACTGTTTATTAGTTCAAACAGTCATTAGGTAGCCATAGGACTAGGTAGGAATGCGTGAAAAACTTACACATTGCCATAATATATGCGTCGGAGTCGCCAGTCTTCTCATAGTACAATGTGATCTTGTCGATGGCAGCTTGAAGCGGTGCTTTGAAGCAAGCATACTTTGGCCGTGCGAGTCATAAGCTCCAAGCTTTATGTAGTGCCTCGAGGGCTGGGATCGCAAGGTGCAGGCTTGGGTTTCGATCCGACGAAAATGCTTGTTGAGCATTGTCGGCATGCTTTAAATGGGGTGTGAGTGTTATCATTGAACATTTGAACACAAGAACGAGTACACTCACAGCGAGAAGATCAAGGAACAACTTGACACGTTTCCATTCGTCGTTTCGTAGCTCTAACTCGCCAATCTTCTTCCGCTTCTCCAGATTCGGCTCCTTAAGGCCCATTTCGTAGATAAATGTGTTGATGTACTGTAGGTGACAGTGACACGGTCAAATTTTAACGCTGCGAACACATTAAGACGTACCTTTCGCTGTGTTTCTGCGCGCTCTAACATGATGTATGTTGAAGACCACCGGACCGGTGTAGAGACTCATGCCTCTCATGGCATGATATGGCAGTATCCACTAGGGAGTACACAGCACGACTTGCAGCAATCACTCTGTATGCTACCTGCAGCTATTCCTATATGAGGTGCAGCTTTCCCGCACAACGCGCGCCATGCGCGCACCATTCCCGCGCTTTGCGATGTATACACGCGCGCGCTTTCCCGCGCTTGAGCGCCCTATAGCGCCAGCCATCCAGAAGCATCCATCCACTGTCCACCAAGCTCTCTAGTGCGTATATTCCCATTTCTCTTATTTACATATCATTCCACCTCTATTTTTACCATGGACCCTTACTTACATATATCTTTACATACCTTACTCGGTAGCGAGTCGGCTCCGCATGACAGCGCTTAGGCGCCATATAAGCGCCAGCATCACGGACCACGAGGAGACTTACTTTACCTCCCACTTACCCACTTACCACCTAGAGAATATAGTTGCAATCTATTCTTTGACACCTCGCGCTCGTATCTCTTGTTATTCATCTAATCACCACTTAAGCAAACTCACACTTACTCTCACTTGTCTCCGCTCACGCGCGCTTCCCGCGCCTCGCGCGTACCTTCGCTTTCCCGCGCCTCGCGCGCACCTGCGCGCTTTCTCGCGCTTCGCATTGGCCGACCAGTAGCGCCTTCAGCACCTACTCCTAGAACCTTGCTGCACTCGCTTCCCCTTTAGGGTCGAACGTACTTGTCTTCTCAAGAATAGCAGACTAGGCAATGCGCGACCTCACAACATTATAGATACAGTTTGGAGCATTTGTTTGCTCCTCGCAGTATAGTTGTTTCTACACCGGCATGTCGAGCAGCAACTGCAGGGGGCGTTCTGCACCTTCTCGGATCTGAATCTCCTTGAAAAGCTGCTTGCACTGGGCTGACGACCGCTCCTGTTTGTTTCGTTAAGTTAGTCAGTTGAATTAATCAAATATCATGTACATACCTTCACAGCGATGGCTCGAATGAGCCCAACTTCATCCCGGTTGTGACCAATAGTACTTGGCATATGGTCTTCGGGGCTTGCAGGGTTGTAATGTTTCGATTTCGTGTGAGTCTTGATGAGCACTTGTGTCGCCAGGTTGATAACGTGCGCAAGACATCTAGTAACAAAATGTCAAAATGAATACAGCTAAAGTTATAATGAATTACGCACCTGATACGACGTCCCTTTCCATCAAATGCCTTCCCGGTCTTCTTCATAATCTGATTTGAAAACTCGTCCATCATCGAGTCGTTATTTGTCGCATTGTCACAGGTGATGCGCCCGATCTAAATGTGTGGTGAGTAACATGAACCCTCATAGGATACAACATTACCTTGTGCGAAATTTCGAGGCGATCAATGATTTTGAAAAGTACTTGACCTAGACGGCGGCCATTATGAGAGTTGTTGAGTTTTGTAAACCCAAACAGTGCGCTTTCGAGAACCCATACTCCAGGTGATGGCTCTTCGACCCAATGACCAGAGACGGCAAAGTATCCATCGATGTTGGAGGCTTGCCATGCATCGCATGTATTGCTGATTTCACCTTTAACAGCATTGCTCTAAGTCAAAAATGAGTGGTAGTATCATTCAAACAAGAATCATAAACTTACATTAAGCCGTGTCCGAAGATATTTCATTTGCTTCTGGAACATCTTGATAATCTTGGCACGCGTCACCTTTCGATCCGGAATTTTGACACCGTGTGTGGATCGTGATGCTACATGAATCATGAGGTGGAAGGATGGGTGCTCCAGCGCTTGGATTGGCTATTTTCGTTAGTGAGACGGTGTAGTACTATGTAAATTTAACATACCTGGTCAGTAGAAATCAACCATTCTGTTGCAGCCTCACGGAATAACTGGTCGGTGTATGGCAGCACACGGTCTGCCTTTGGTGGCTCGCGCAGATGATTATCGAGGCCTGTTTGGCTGGCGCTAGCTTTCTGGATGGCATCGCTTCGACGCTTTGCGACAGCCTTAGGAAGCATAGATTCGAATTGGTGGTCCTGGGCCCATTTATTGTAGGCAAGCTATGGAAAATCCGTTAGCATCACAGTAGTCAGAAATATCAACACTTACCTCATGGTCTTTTTCAAGGTGTCGACGGCACATTGACAGGTCCTTCACAAAGCGTTTGCGTGGACCCTTCTTCGAGCACAAGGTGCAATTGTGATAGGTGCGAGGTTTGCCATCAACACCAGGCTCAGAATATTTCGGACTAAAAAAATTATCAACATCCTGACCTTTCCTGTCAGGCTTTTGCTTGATCTTGTCATTAGAGAGGCTCGCAATGTTGATATCTGCAAGAAATCCATCATCGTTGACAGGATCTGGAGCTGCGCGTGAAATTTCAACGTAAAACGTAACGTAAATGAAAGTGTTCGAAACTCACCTTGATTTTTTTTTGCCGTGGCAGGTGCAGCACGGCTGTCTTCTGAGTCGGAACTGATGATCACAGATTGGCTGCTATGCGACTTTTTCTCTGTGTGAAAAAATGTTAAGTGACGTGCTGAAATGAGCAACACTGACGGTACTTACTTTTTGGTGGTTTTTGAGCGGCTGAACAATCTGTATCATACCCACTACCGGAAGAGTCAGTATTCTGAGATCTCTTGGTGGGGGTGACAAAGTGGGAACTCGAAGTAGCTGGTGCCGTGGTGGTATCCTCTGCCAATCGTTTGGCATCCTCAGCTCGCTTGAGGGCAATGGCTTCAAGGTGAGCACTCAGCTCAGGTGTTGCAGAATTAGAAGCATCGGTTAACCTCTTGGAGGGCGCGGGAACCCGTTTGGGCCGCACCAAGGCTTCTCGATCTGCATTGAGTGATGGCGGCATTACCATGACTGGGAATAATCAATGCCAATTGCATAGAGAAGATCAGGCACAAATTAACTGTACAGTTAATACCGGAATGGACCGAAAGACTTACAGGTATAGCCTCGGTCATTTTTGGAAAAACTCAGCCCGGGCCTGAGCCCTGGGTATGGGCCTGCAGAGGTTGCAGGCCCAGCCCTGGGCCCTCGTCAGCCCACTCATAGGGCTGGGCTGGGCTGGGCTTCTGTAGGGCTGGGCCATGTGGGCCTGCGGGCCTGAGCCCTGGCCCACCACATCACTACGTTCGAGCCATGTCAGCATTCGCTGACGTGCACCGGGCGTGTGCGCTAAACACTGGTGGCTGCTGTGATCGGGTGGGGCGTCCCACGGTTCTGGATGATTGTAACGATTTTTGGTTGAATTCGTATTTAGATAGATACACTTTTTGTATATTCAAGTAATTCTTGACATTTTGTGATATTTGCATCCCACATTATCGTCTTCTAGCAATTTTATTCCTAATTCTTGTAATTAGATAGAATTATCTGAATTAGAACTTTTAGCGAAAATTATAACATTTTTTCCCTGGGAGGGTTTTCCTGATGTGATGCGAGCCTTGTTCGCCATTTGCACTGGGGGCAGGAGCTGTTGGACCAGGTGAAATGTTCCGAAGTGATTGGAAGGATCCACTTGGAGTCTGGAGTGGAGACAATGTACCTTGTTGAGAATTCAAGTGTTCAGGGCTGAGATGACTCGGAGGAAATGACCATGGGCCAGGATTCTGCTGTAACGACATGGGGTAAAATGTTGCTCGCAGCAATAGCTCTGAGCCACGATGATATTTAAGTGTTTTACTTCAATTGAAAATTTCAGTGTCCAGTCAGGGTCTCAATAGCCGAGAGTGACAATCCAGATTCCAAGTTCTTTTGGATGTTGGAGGGGAACTTAGCTGCCAATCTGTGTGCCAATTGCAATGAAGGGATACAACAATAATGACCATTATGATGTAGTACAGGGGATTACAATGTATGGATGTAAACTACATGAACTCGTTTCTAACTCGCGAGTCCAATGAGTTGTAACTCGATTTAGTTCGGAAGGTTTGAGTTGAAACGAATTGGGTCATTTTCGAGCCAAGCCAAGTTTAGCTTGAGTTGACCTCACCTCGACAACAACACTAAGAGCCTGTTCGGCAACCGTGATTTGAGAAAAATCTGAGAATGTGTGGCTACGGCACAGAAGGAGCCGCCAGCGGAGTTTCAAATACCTTTCTTTCCGACCATGACTACATTTGTCCCTGCTGGCAATCACAATACTATCAATCTCCTGCAACAAAAGCAGGTCTTCATCACTGTATCTGCCATCATACTGTGTGCACAAATATATGTCATGCAGGTCACTCAAGAAAATCTAGCTGATCTCAACACTGGATCAAAGGAGAAGGCCCAGTGGAACGATGCAGAGATCATTGCCCTCCTTGATTATCTTATCACAAACAAATCGAAGATGGCAGCGACATCCTTCAAGATCGACACTTTTAACAAAGCGGCCACTGCTATTGAGGCCCAGAACATCAGGACACAGGGCATTATGAAGACTGGAGCACACTGTAGAAACAAGTATACGTCGGTATGTCATCTTAAACCTTCCTTTTGCCACTCCCATACTGATCTTTCAAATTTAGCTCAAGGCCGCATTCAACCAGATAAACAAATACCGCAACAAATCTGGGATTCACTGGGATCCTGAGATTGGTGCCAACATTCAAGGGCGTGCCGCTGAAGATGCTTGGTCCGCTTATCTTACCAACCCAGTATGTGATTTTTTGGTGGGCCACCAAACAGTATACTCACCTTCAGTGCAGGCCAATGCAGGGATGAAGCAATTCAAAAACGGATGGAGATTTTACGCTAAGATGGAACAACTTCTGTCAAGAGTCAGCGCTGCGCATGGGGCAGCAGCATATAATCCATCAGCTGATGCTGTTGCCACCACCACCACTGCTGACATGGGCTTGGTGGCAGGTCCCTCTACTAGTAACACTCCGGGTGGGGTTGAGATTGCCCATGAGCCCATCACTCCGAGTCCAGTAGTCATAGGACCTCCTCTCACGTCAGCATCCAGTTCAGGAAAGCGCTCCCACACGGACATGTTATTTGATCGCTCTGCTCCCCTTTCTACCACCTCCACTAGCGTGTCGCATGTGTCGAGCGCATTGTCGGACAAGAAACTCAAGCTTTCAACCCAGGGCAGTGGCAAGTCGCGTGCGAGCTCCAGCAAGAGGGCCGTAAAGGAGGCCGCCAGCACCGCTGCTGTAATGAATCTCCAAGGCACCATCAGCCGCCTCGCAGACACTCTTAACTTGGCATTTGGGTCCACGGATGAGAGTCGGCTGGCAGATGACAGATCACGTGCGTTGCAGGCAATACAAGAGGAGGAGACTTTGACGGGTGAGAACAAGCTCGTTCTTGTGCATGCATTCATGAGGAGTCCGGTGATCTGCTCTACATACATCCAGATCATGGAAGTTGATTTACGTGCGACCTTTTTGAGAAGCATCATCGATCAGATGAAACAAACTCTCAATTTGTAGCTCTAACGCAAGTCTCATTTTTTGTACTTTGAAATACCGTGTTTCCATGCGCTCACATTTTCACACTGTTTTTTTAATCAATCTCAATCAAATTGTTGTACTGTACGAAGGATACAGTACAAATATCAGATGTCCTCGTCTGCCTCCTGCTCGAAATCATCATCTCCGTCAGTATCAACGTCTGACATGTACGCGTCCTCTACAAGATTGTGCTCGTGAATATACCTCTCATAGTCCTCCCACATCTGTGTCGCTATATGATCACGGAACGTGTTTGAATTCGCATATGCGTCTACATTCCCACCTTCAAGTTCAGGCTCAGAGTTAGTACTGTCCGAGTGAGGCTGTCCTTGATTTGCAGGGTTGTCGTTGATGATGGCGGCTTGTGGCAGAGGTCCCTCGCCCGGATCATGAGTGAGTATGAAGTTGTGGATAGCACAGAGTGCAGCAGGGACGCGCGCCTGTATCTCCATCCCATATTCTGGGGATATCAATAGAATGCGAAAGCGTCTCTTCAGGACGCCAAAAATTCGTTCGATAACATTGCGTGCAGACGCATGACGAAGGTTAAAAAGCTCTTCTTTATTCACCGGCCTGAAAAATAACCGTTAATTGCATACATGTTTGAATAAAACCAAAGCTTACCTCACACTCGCCCGCCCCCACTCCGCAAGATGATAACGAACTCCACGATAAGGTATCAGGAGCTCTGGACGAGAAGGGAAGCCGGCATCGGCAAGAAAGTACTTGCCAGGCGCAAGTTTTAAGCCCCCCTCGTGTGCCTCATCCCAGAGACGTGCATCAGTAGCAGATCCTTCCCAACCAGTAAGCGCATAGGTAAACTTCAGATCGAAGTCGCAACTAAAGAGACAGTTTTGGGATACAAACCCTTTGCGATTATGGTAGAGGTGGCATTCAGATGCAGGAGGAAAGGCGTGTATGTGGCTCCCGTCAATTGCTCCGATGGCATCCTTGAAATAGGGCCAACGCTTTGGGTTATCGCGGATTTCCGTGGAGACTGGCGTGTCAGCAGTGGGAAGATGGACATGGGTGGTGTAAAACGGGTGGCTCGAGAAAATATTGAGCATCTTTCGAAAGTAGCTATGATAATGTTAGTATTGAGCATCAAAATCGAAATATATATAGGACTTACTGAGAAATTGTGCCGTTTGACCGTTGGAATCGCTCCCCCACATGTCGTACTGTGAGTCCCGTCACGCACGAGTATAGAAATATTGCAAGTTGCTCCTCTAGAGAGACATAGCGCGAGTCCACGTGACCGAGAGTGCGAAGCTCGATGATCAAACGCTCGAATACATGTGCATGGATGCCGAGCTCACAGCGAATCCGTTCTGGATGGCCAATAACAAGTTCAATGACCCACTCTTGGCCAGATAAGGCTGATGTGTGGTAAGGTTCTGGTTCATCTGGTATCTCTAAGAAGAGTATCTGTGCGGTTATAGCCAGAAGCATGCTGACAATCAATGTGATATGACGAAGGATGCGCTGGCGGACTGCTGCTTGTGCCAGCCATGTTTAGGGATCTGCACGGGTACGGGTAACCCGCGCGGGTCACGGGTACGGGTACTACTGGGGTACGGGTACGGGTCGGGATTCTAAGACCCGCGCTCTTACCCGTACCCCAGCTATACCCGTGCCTTCCATAAATGGTAGCACCTCCTGCATCAGTAATAGCGGACGCCATACTTCCCGCGTGCACGCTACAACCGGCACCACCACCAACACCGGCACCTAACGTGCCTTCCCAAGTCCACCAACTCCACGTTCACAGCGCGCGCGCCCGAAACGCGTCAACAAGTGTTGACGCGATGCAAACACACGCGGACGACACGCGAAGACGAAAGGACAAGAGAATCGAGGAAGGGAGAAGGGATGGTATAGAGATGAAGGAGGAAAGAGGAACTCGAGGAGACGAGACTTTGGGCACGCTGAAAGTGAGTACTCACATTGAAGACTCTACCCCCAGCAACAACAACGACGTCATACGCGTCACGTCACCAGCGCCTATCTTTGTGCGCCCAGCACTCGCACCACCACCAGCTTTCACGCCAACGCCACCATCCACAACACCAACGCCACCATCCACGATGCCGACGCCAATGCCACCATCCACGACACCAACCGCCTCCACTCCTCCTTCTTGTGCCATCCACATATGTTCGAGTCACGTCAGCATTCGCTGACGTGTGCTGGACATATTGTAGTTATCTGTAGTTTAGAGTAGATGTTTTAGAGTAGAATATTTGATAAAAAGGCTCCATTCATTGTAACTACTTCGTACAATATATATACTGTTAAACGGTTAATACTATGCGTCCGATCCGAAACATATGAAAATGGACTTGTCTGTTCTCCGTGCTGTGCTTACTAATCGACACCGCTCCGGCTATTCCCGGGTAAGTTGGTGTTCCCTACATTATTCATCTATGTATGTATTACTAATCCTTTTACTCCTGTGCTCGTACAGTCATCATGTACGACTGAGTCCAACACTCCCCCTCGAGCACAGTCCACCTTCATCTTCCCTCTCAATTCCCTAAACCGTGGTGCCGGCAGTGCTTTCGTAAAAGCGTCCGCAACGTTTTCGAGCGTCGGACAATATTGGAGTTGGATGGTGCCGTTTTCGACAAGGTCGCGGATGTAATGATACCTTATGTCAATATGCTTGGTGCGTGCGCGGAATTTGTTGTTTGATGCTAACGCTATTGCTCCTTGGTTGTCGCAGTAGGTGGGGATACATTCATCCATCGGCTCGTACAGCTCACTGATGAGACTTTTTAGATATAGGATTTCGCGCGCTACCGACGTCAGCGCAATATATTCCGCTTCGGCGGTTGATAAAGCAACTAGCGACTGCTTTCGCGCGCTCCACGCTACTGGAGATCCGTGCAACAGGACGATATAGCCCGATATTGAGTGTCGATGGGGCTGACTCGCCCAATCAGCGTCTACAAACGCTTCTAAACCTTGATTTGTGGTTCCTAGGGTAAGTTTTGAATTCTTTGTCCCCTTTAGATAGCGTATGACTCGTTTAGCAGCTTCCCAGTGCGCACTAGCTGGCTCTCGCATGAACTGCGAGAGTATCGAAACAGCGAAGGCTATATCCGGATGTGTGCTCGTCGCAGCATACATTAGCGATCCAATGGCCTGTTGATACGGTACATGTTGTTCGGGTATTTCAGGTTTGGTGTCTGGTGAATGGTCTGATGACTCTTTCGTTAGAACTACTCCAGTTTCCATTGGTGTTTGCGACGTTGTCGCATCCTTCATCCTGAATCTCTCGACTATAGTGTCGATGTATGCTTCTTGCGACAACATTATGGTCCGCGCCTTTCGGTCCCTTTCAACCTTTAGTCCTAGGAGCCAGGTAAGCTCTCCTAGGTCCGAAATCTCAAAACGTTTACAAAGCTGATCTTTGAACTTTTGGATGTGCTTTAGGTGTTTTGATGTGACGGCCATGTCGTCGACGGAAACGGTGATAACGGTATGTTCTTCTTCGGCTTGTCGATAGTATACGGCTTGGTCGACTTGAGAGCGCGTGAAGTCGTTACTGAGGAAAAATTCTTCTAGCTCCTCGGACCATTCAAAACCGGCCTGCTTTAGGCCATATAAGCTACGCAATAGCTTTAATACCTTTCCTTCGTCTCCTTCGTTCAAGTATCCTGGCGGCGCGCGCATATATATGTCGTCGTTGAGCTTGGCATTGAGGTAAGCACTTTTAACATCGACTTGATGTATTTCCCAGTTGTGTTTAGCTGCCATCGTTAGGACAGTACGAATTGTCGTCATACTTGAGGTAGGTGCGAACGTTTCTTGATAGTCTACGCCGTACTCTTGGCGCTGACCATTTGCGACAAGTCTCGCACGCAGCTTTACCTTCTCGCCATTTGGTCCACGCTTTGTCGCTAGGACAAAATGGCAAGGTATTATATTCGCGCCTTTAGGTGGGTCCACAATTTCCCATGTCTTGAGTTTCTCTAATTGACCAATCTCATAGTCTATGGCTTGTTGCCATTCCTCTGCGTCTGGTCCATTTAACGCTTCTCTAAGCGTCGGTTCCTTCTCTGCGGCTGCCATGGCCATATATGGAAAAGAATTCGATTGAGTGTTGTCCGGTGAGTTTTCCATTGCTATGGTTGCTCTTTCTCCTTCATTTAACGCTTTGTAGTATCCTGCAGGGGGTCGTACTCTCGTGGTTCTGGGCGTTATTGGGTCTGGAAGTTGCTGTGTACTCTGGGGTGGCGTTTTGGGAGGTTGGCTTGGTGTTTGTGGGACTTGGGATGTTGCGACGGGCTGGACGATATTCGGTATGTTGATCTGTTCTTCCTGGTTATACTCCCCCTCGTCCAGTATGTCGTTACGAACGATGACGTCCGGCGGGACAAAGCTAACATTGCGTTCGACAGATACTCTTCTCTTCTTCGGCCAGTATACTCGGTAAGCTTTACTTTCCTCGTCTATTCCCACAAATTGACCTTCTTCTGCTCTAGCTTCGAGCTTTCCTCCATCTGGTGAGTGCACATAGAGTCGTGCGCCGAATTCCCGTGCGTTTACTAAACTTGGTTTTGCTTTGTGTAGCAATTCATAGGACGTGTATCCTGGGATCGCCCTCGAAGGTAGGCGATTTTTGAGCCATGTTGTGTAATTGACGGCTTCGGCCCATAAAAACTTTGGTAGGTCCTTTGCGAGTAGCATGGCTCGCGCGTGTTCGACTAATGTTCGATTTAGTCTTTCGGCTACACCATTCTGCTGTGGGGAATCGTGCACGGTGAGTTGTCTCTTTATTCCTTTTTCCTTCAGATATTCATCAAACTCCTTGCTTAGGTACTCTCCTCCTCGATCCGACCGTACTTTGCGCAGACGCGCATTATATTGTCGGCTTACATAAGCCTCGTATTCCTTGAATGCGGTAAGTGCGTCGCTCTTTCTCTTCAGGAATGTTACCCTCGTTTCCCGACTAAAATCATCTGTAAAGGTGATATAATACAGGCATCCGTTTATCGTTTCGGTTTGTGCCGGACCCCATAGATCTGTATGGACGAGGTCCCCATATGCGGATGATCTGGTCTTTGACTCGTTTGGAAATGGTTGTCGAGTGGCTTTGGCCTTTGCGCACGTTTCGCAAAAGGTAGGGTTTGAACTTTCATCTAACGTTATACCTCTGATCATGCCCTTCTTTATAGCATTTGTGATCGCTTCGTGGGATACATGTCCCAATGCTCGGTGTAATTCATCGATGGTATGTTTCGTTATTGCTGAGTTTGCGCTATGGGTCACTGATGCCGCGATTCGATATAGTCCTTCTATTTGAGGAATTTCGGCTATGGGTCTTCGCTCTGGTGCTGGGGTCAATATCCTGCACATGTTATCTTCGAGGTGTAATGCGAAACCGGCGGTAGCGATTCTGTTGGCCGATATTAACGTGAATGCCATCTTTGGCGTATATAGGGTGTCTTTGAGAGTCACAGTGGTCTTCTTTGTTCCCAAAGGTAGGTCTATCTTTATATCCCCTTTTCCTATGGCGCTGATGGTAGAACCGTCTGCAGTGTGCACATCTTGTGCTTCGATGGAGGTGAATGTTATGAACTTCGAGCGGTCGGGGCAGAAATGGGACGTTGCGCCCGAATCGATAATGGCTCCTTGTCTCTCGGCAGGTATGTTGATCCTTTTTGCCACATTTGCTAGATCTGATGTGACAAAAGCATAATCATTTGCTCTTTCGATCTTGTCTGCCGCATTAGCCGTTTGTCTTGGCGCCTTTCCACCTTGCCTTGGTCCCTGACCTTCTTTCCCTCCTCCAGGTCTCCAACAATCGGTTTTGTAATGACCCTTCCTCTCGCAGTTGAAACACGTAACATCCTTGCTTGCGGTGCTTGTACGATTCCTTTTCGTACTGTCCTTGGCCGAGAATGCGCTGTTGCCTCCTTTCTTTGAGGTCTTTGGGTTTGCTAGTTGTCTGTGCTCGTACTCTTCAGAGACGACACTGACTAGCTCGTATGGGGTGAGTGGTTGCTTTGTGATTCGGGCTGTCACATTGATTGACGATAACAGGGGTCTGTAAGATTCTGGCAGAGATCCCATTATAATTGCGTAGAAGTCCTTTTCTTCTATGCTCGCCCCCATGCCTGCTAGCGTTTCGCGGATGCGAAACATGTCCCCAAAGTGAGTCTTCACATCACCTCCTTCCTCACATCTTGATTCTTGCAACTTCCGGCGCAGATCTATTTGAACTAATTCTGTCTTGCCTTCGTGTATTGTCCGAATTTCGGACCATATCTTCGAGGCGTTGCCAAGGTGCTGGACGCGCAACAATAGCTGATCCGAGATCGTGCTAAATAAGTGTTGCTTTGCGAGTGAGTCCTTCTGTAGATATTCATCTATCTTCTCTTCAAGTTCTTCTACTTCTGTTTCAGTTGCTACCGTGCCATCAGCCTTTTCGTACTTTCCAGCCGAGTTGGTCTTGTATGGGGTAGGTTCTTTGATTCGACCATCAAGGTATCGCATCAATCCTCGTGCGCGGATCACTGTTAACGCTCTTTCCTTGTAGGTTATCCAATTCGAGCCATTGTCGGCAAGTTTGGGGATGGTGTACAATGAGGAGCTGCTGTGGTGCGTGTTATCCATGATTGTCGGAGCAGGGCTCATAACCTGTAGTTATCTGTAGTTTAGAGTAGATGTTTTAGAGTAGAATATTTGATAAAAAGGCTCCATTCATTGTAACTACTTCGTACAATATATATACTGTTAAACGGTTAATACTATGCGTCCGATCCGAAACATATGAAAACGGACTTGTCTGTTCTCCGTGCTGTGCTTACTAATCGACACCGCTCCGGCTATTCCCGGGTAAGTCGGTGTTCCCTACATTATTCATCTATGTATGTATTACTAATCCTTTTACTCCTGTGCTCGTACAGTCATCATGTACGACTGAGTCCAACACATATGTGCTAAGCACTGGTGGTGATACCTATGGTACCCGCGGGTAAACCCTGCACGGGTGCGGGTACGGGTCTGAGCTTGTTGTACCCGCCGAAAACCCGTACCCGCTCTGACGGGTACGGGTTTTTGCCGGGTGCGGGTGCGGGTCAGGTCCCCGACACCCCAGGGTATACCCGTGCGGATCCCTAGCCATGTTCCATCTGGTGGTTGGATTAGCTGTGGAGGTATAAGGCGATCCTGTGGGATCAACAGTGGTTGAGGAAACAGCGGTTGAAGACCTGGTACAGGTACTAGATTCATTGAGATAGATATTGATCTTATCATACAACGAACGTTATGAGTTCACTTTCAGACTCCGTTTGAAATTTGACATTCTTGCGTCACTTCGAAATCATATTTTGGCTCAAATCACGGTTGCCGAACAGGCTCTAAATCGACTTATAGCCGCAAATCAAAGATAACTTCGGTCGCCCACAACAATTTTCTGACATCCCTGCACTGCGGCCGGCGAGGCCTTGACCTCGAGGGGCAATATCATCCTGCGGCAATCTTTTCATTTTGCCTCATTTTGATAGGTTCTACATCTATTAATGAGAAGCAAACTATCTCTAACTATCTGCAGCGATACAGTAGCATGGAAGAACATATTTCTTGCCAGATGAAAGATGCTCCAATACGATTGTCGTCGAAGAGTCTGAATCGGCTACCATGACAGCCTTGGTACATATTACACCAGCAATTTCAAATTCCTGACCCCCAGACATAGGGACCGGGTCTCTTTGAGGTACCGACTCGGGCCCACTCAGGAAGGCTTACTAGCGCTCAACTCATCTCCGTCCGATTCTCATGGAGCATGTGATAGAAGCCTTATATGTAAAAGGTGCGCAAGAGGTGCGTTGCGCCAGGTTACGCCGAATCATAACGTTCATGTCTATCTCGAAAGGTATAGCATTGATAACAGGGTCTGCTCAGGGAATCGGTCGCGGCATCGCTCTTCGGCTTGCACGAGATGGCTTCAACGTCGCTCTCAATGATTTACCCAACAAGGATGCCGAGCTGGAGGCAGTAGCGACTGAAATTGAAAGCCTTGGGAGACAAGCATGCATCGTTCCCGCCGACGTGACGGTCGACAAACAAGTCAAAGAGATGGTCGATGAAGCTGTTACAAAACTTGGTGGACTGGACGTCGTCAGTCGCTCTTCTTATCTCACTAGACGCCGTGTTTCATGGATATTTATCGTGTAGATGGTTGCGAATGCTGGAGTGGTGGAGTTTGCCTCGCTTGTGTCATGTACGAGTATTTCGGTCAAAGTCTACGATTGACTGTTTCTCATGTCCTTCACTAGCGACTGTAGAGTCATGGGACCGCACACTCTCAGTAAACGCCCGTGGAGCTTATCTATGTTACAAGTATGCTGCAATACAGATGATCGAACAGGGGCGTGGCGGTCGAATCATTGGTGCGAGCTCAGCCGCGGGCAAAATGGGTGCGTCATATAGATATCAATTTGCTTGAGCAATTTTATCCAGATGAACAAATAGGCTTCGCCCACATCTCCTCGTATACAGCGAGCAAATTTGCGATTCGAGGGCTCACTCAAGCTGCAGGTAATTCCTGAGATACTCGCATGTACAGCTTCTAATAAAGACCGTTTGATAGCTGTTGAACTCGGTCAATATGGAATTACGGTTAATGCATATGCTCCGGGCGCGATACAGACTTCCATGAGTAAGGTCGAACTAATTTCCGATTTCTCAGCTGATTCCTAGTCAGTCAAGATCATGCTGGATGAGTCTGGGAACGTGGATTATAAACAACTTATCGACAATCCTTGCTCGAGGAAGTGGTTTACGTCGGTGAGCAGAGCGCGATGACAAACTTTACCCAGATACTGAACACCTTCTCTCTTCACAACCTCGATAAGTTAATGGAGAATGTCCCCATCAAGCACGTCGGACAACCTGAAGATATAGCTAGCATCGTAAGCTATCTCGCATCGAAGGAAGCGCACTTCATTACTGGTCAGTTCATGCCTTTATTGTGCCTGTTTTCTGCTCACGTAGCATGTGATGTCTCCAGGTCAATGTGTAGGTCGATTTAGTTCACTACATACAGCTGGTCTGACTTTTTTCTCCTAGATTTCTGTCGATGGGGGAATGAGGATGGACTGAGAAAGCCTTGTAAACAGTTACTATGTTATTACTCCCTGTAGATGCTATGGTGTGATTCCAATATCGAATTGAGGATTTCTTCCCTGACTGATCAGTGGTGGTGCTGATCGAATTACTGGGAAGGTCTTAAGCTTGAGGATCAGAACACTTCGAGTATTTGTAAGTGACGTTAGCAAAGACTTCGAGTCAGAGTCCATATAAACATACATCTAGTCGGTGCTCAATTACCGACGATTTACCGTCGTCCATTCAGACCTCTGGCTTAGACAGAACGTGTAACTCGGCAGAGTGGGTGCCCACTTAGCTATTGTCATTTTGTTTTTCGGATTTCCCATTAGCCTCGACAAATCTCCATGAACTTGTTGAATTTCACCGCCGTTCCCGCAATCTTTTCGTCATGATTTTCATCGATTGATATTGGATTCTCATCATCGAATGTGACCTCTGACCTGGGGCTCAGAAAGATCTCAGCATTCGTATGGAACAACTAGGAGACCCGTGCAAACCCTATATAATATGCCTTGCGCGCACGGGCCTGACATGGTCGCAGAGACAGAATACAAGGGTATAACTTGTGTTCAAGCGTCCCATCTTTGCCCTGCGGCGTAGGCCTGGCCGCCTGAGCTTCGTTGGGGCAAGGCGGTGGATTCGAGGTTCCGCAGTAGTATTCCTGAAAATTCAAGGGGTTTTCATATTCAGATCGTTGCAAGTCTAGTCCTTACCTTCTCCCTTCAAGATTTAAGGAATGGATTACGCACGGAGCAATGACTTTATCTTATTGAGTCTATAATCAGTATGTCTAGTATGCTGCGGCATAATCTCAGGAAGGTGATCAGCGCGAGATGAGAACTCGGAAGAACTACAATATACACACAAATCAGTCATTTCGATCCCCACGCCACACAGGGTGCGCAGTATTCGAGAAGGGCAGAAAGTTGACGCCGGTCAGCCTTACGCAGTCAGTTGTACAGCCTCAAAGTGCAAGTAGATCGAGTGTCGGGGTTATTACCTTGTAGGTGACATATCTACGCATCTGTAGATGGAAACCATATTGAAAGTCTGCGTGACAAATTTCTGCGCGCATAACTTACGTAGCACGAGGGAGTCCCTTTCCAATATCCCTGTTGCTTTTATCATTGATTCATGTGAGGGTATAGATATTACGTGTATTGTCCTATATAAACGAGTCGATGCTTGTTCGATTTAGCACCGGACATAATGTCAATCACGAACAAGTACTCACGAGCAACTACAGCGGCTCATGCGCTTTCGCTGACCCACCAGATCCCCTTTACTTTCCAAACTATCCAGAGTGCCAGAAAAGAGCCAACAATATACATTATTATCCGCATCTGTCTAACGCCGCCTGCGCCGGAGAGGCCGAATGCTTGCGCAGCTCGTCGAGATGACTGAGACAAGGATGTTGAAAGGCTAGAGAAAGCGTTTCCCTACATGCGAATATTAATATGTTTCAAAGTGAAGAGGAGAATCACTAAGGTACTGTATCATCTAGAGTCAGATGTTGTCTTTCGGCATCGTCATAGATGTCTGTGGTGACCTGGAAGACCGTTCAGAGGTATGTAGAAATGAGGAAATATCAATCATACTCCGCGCAGTGTTCGTATCTTTGAATGTAACTCATCTAGTCGCTGATCATTCTGTGATTCGTAGGTCTCTTCTGTAGTTCGTGACGAAGACATGGAAGGATTAATGTGAGAGGCAGCTTTGTTACGGCAGGGGGGTCTACCGTTTTTAAAACTCCGCTCGCCGCTAGCGGTCCATTGGACCCGAGAAACAGTTGAGACGGCTCTTTCCTTCCTTGCCAGGTACATCCCGCCCAGCAGGCCGGGAGCAACATCCGCGTAGACCTCGTCTACAAGATACTTTAACGGATACTGATGCAGCATTGCCTCCCGGACAGATAGTGGGGGGCGGCCTTCCAGCGGAACGCATCGACGACGAACTTGTTATATCTTCAACAACCGATCTGACAATTATCGTCGGCGCCCCATTCAGAAGCTGGTTGACGAACTCACCAAGTTCATGGGCAGGGAGCCATAGTGGTGGCTACACAGTTTTTCAGGAAGCTTCTTCGAGTGGTGAACGACTGAATTCGTGGAGGACCAAAGGGTTGGACTGGGCGACTAGTAGCAATAGGGGGGTAAACTCGATGTAGCGTGGACCGTCCAAGGTGCATTCCATGCAGGCCACTGAGTAGCTTTGTCGCATAAGCAGGAAGCCTGCGCCCCTGCAGTTGATGCAGGTGGGGTACATATTCCATTGGCCACTACAACACAGTACCAGGTATCGTTCGTCCACATTATTCACTATCACTTGAATACCCGATGAGCAAGCTGGATTGTGTTGGACCTTTTCCAATTCTTGTCATCATGTTCAGCAATTAGGTCGTTCGGACCCATCGCGAGGCGACCCACTTGATTTGTCTGCTAATTGAATTACGTGAGTAGTTCTTTATCATTCCGGCAGACTCTACAGTTGAACGTTGATTGTTGGTGCACAACAACGACAGTTCGGCCTGTCTTCGAAGCTAGAATAACAACTACAATTCTCGCAGGGTTTGGTGACTGGTCGTAACGGACACAACAGCAACTGGCCTATTTTCGAAGCAGGCATAACGGAAACTACGATTCTTGCAGAGTTTTGTGACTGGCCGTAATGGACGCAATAGCAACTGGCCTGTTCAAGTAGGAATAACAATAGCTACAATTCTCGGTGACTAAAACTTTTCAGACGATGTTCGCCTTTATCGAAGCCTCATCCGTCACCGTCGGAGTCTCTGACCAAACTTTTGGTCGTGACTTACAACCTGGAACAGCTTGAAATCACTGGTAGCATACAAGTTACCGCATCGACTCAGAAGCACACTCAACGACGCCCACCACTCAAGCCTCCATGCACCGATGCCGTGATCATTGTCATGATTTATCGCCGCAATTAGCTTCTACGGCGAGAGATATTCCAAGAGTAGTTAGTGTCTTCCACCCTGAAAGGAGCTAGGATTCCTGTGATATATAATCTGATGGTACCACTTTTTTCGATGTAGCAAGCTCATAACCTTCTACCATAACCATGTCGCCTCACAAAGGGATCGCGCTCATCACAGGATCTGCTCAGGGCATTGGTCGCAGTATCGCTCTGCGGCTTGCGAGGGATGGCTTCGACATTGCCTTGAACGACGTTCCTATGAAAAGCGAACAGCTGGCTGCTGTTGCTAGTGAAGTAGAGGCATTGGGACGCAAGGCGTGTATCGTGATTGCGGATGTGACAATCGAAGAGGAAGTGAAGAATATGATCACTGACACCGTCAAAGAGTTGAGTGGATTGGATGTGGTAGGACCCTGAGCTTCCGTTCCTGGAAGTTTGCTTATGATTTCCATAGATGGTCGCCAATGCTGGCATTCCAGGAGCCAACACTGTCTTGGAAAGTAAGCTCAGAGGTTCTGTTCGAGTATGCGCTGCAATCTCTTATATGGTGTAGCCACTGTTGAAGACTGGGAGCGCACGTTCACCGTTAACGCCCGTGGAGTTTTCCTGTGTTATAAACATGCTGCAGTACAGATGATATCTCAGGGTCGCGGTGGCAGGATTATTGGCGCAAGTTCAATTGCCGGAAAGATTGGTGACTACTATTCCGTGTTGTGTTGAGTCGAGCTGACATGAGCGCTGTCTACAGGATTTCCATCAGCTGCTGCATACTGCGCTAGCAAGTTCGCTGTCCGCGGATTGACGCAGACTGCTGGTGAGCAGAAACATCTTTGAGTGTGAATGATCACTAAAACTGGCCAAGCTCTTGAGCTTGGAAAACATAATATCACAGTCAACGCCTATGCGCCGGGTGTCATACAAACCCAAATACGTACGTTCCATGCGAACATGGTATGTAGCTCAAAGCTCAAAGCTGATCACTTTCGGGAACTTAGTGGATAGTATTTCTGACCAATCTGGAAATGTCAGCTTGGCAGACGAAGATTCGACGAATTACCTTGCTCAGGTCTGTTTGTGTTTCCTTCATGCTCGCGTGTATCTGTACCGTCGACTCACGTCGTGCAGCTAATTGGGAACCGGCCGATCAAACATAACGGTCAACCAGAGGATATCGCAAGCATTGTCAGTTATTTGGCATCAAAAGAGGCGCATTTCATTACAGGTGAGCTCTTATTTTGTCGTTCATTCCCTGCAGCTTGTTTGACGCTGCGACAGGGCAATGCGTAAGTGTACAGTGCTGGCCACCTAACTTTCAACGTATTCACTACACTGCAGATTTCTGTCGACGGAGGCGTCGTTCTATCTTAGCAAGTCCGAACACAATGTACTAAAAGAAGAAACAAATGTATCTTCAAGAGGTAACGCCGCACATGACGGGTTAGAGTTACTCCTGTTTGAATGAATGGATTTATATTTGGCCATTTACGCTCTGTGACAAATAAACAAGTCTCAATATCACGAGTTCCTGCTGATATATCGCAGCACGTTCGTATTTTGCAAGTCCGCATGTCAAAGACCCAGGAGCCAGTGTTCCTAGACTGATATCTGGAAGTAGACCGGAGGCCCTTCCTTCCTCATTCCAAGGCTTTCGAGTTAAGCAAGAGTTCTAAATGCTGCGTAAAGTCAGTCAGTAAACAACCCAAGTAATTGAGACTCGCGCATAGTTTCTGCTCCAGACATGGCATATTTATGGATCAAGGTTTGACAGTCCTATGACGATAAAGTTGGCCCCTGAGTCTGCTGGAATGATATAAACCAAGGGAAAACGAACAAGTGCGGACTACAAATTGATAACGAGTCCAGTGACCCCCCTTGCAGGGAATGCCGCCATGTCAAAGGGCTGTCGGCAAGAACTGCACGAAAGTAGTCTAGTTGAACCAATGGGTAGGCGACTCAGGGATGAGAGGGAAATCTCACAGATAAGCGCATTACTTGTAACTTGAAGCTTGAAGGAGGTTGTCTCCTCAGGTCAACCTCATGTTGCAATACCCCGTGGCAATTGCAATACGGTATTGTACAAGAGTCAAAACGATTGTGAATGCTGCATTTTGTATGGGCATGTTCAGTAGGTTAGCTATTTTAAAATTTAAACTTCCGCCCGGGAGATTTAGAGTTCACGACATTGTTTTTGCAATTCAAATGAGCTTACCTACCAAGTTAAGTACTTCCTTAACTGGTCTTTTTTTATTCTATCTACTATTCTTCCGCAATATTTGAGCCTTCGGATGATCACCCAATGATTACTCGTAGGTCACAGCACTATAGATAAAAACATACTAACATAGTATCACTGCCAGTATCTCCTTGGGAAGCCCGGTCACCGTCCCCAGTACGCTCGGGCACATAGGCCAGCCTAAAGCCCTATGATGAGGCCTGAGGGCTGGGCCCAAGGTCACACCACTGACTGACAGTGGCGTTGAACGTTGAAGGCTTGCAACTGCGTTCTATCCCCTTCGTACCGTTATCCTGGTCTGCTGTTTCTGGACACCATGATAAGAACTTGAAGCATTCAAAAGGTATTTAACATCCGTAGATTATCTTTGGATTGCTCGATCAATATTCTCAATGTCTCAATCCAAAGGTGTCGCCCTCATAACCGGTTCAGCACAAGGAATCGGCCGTGCGATAGCGATCAGATTAGCCCAAGACGGCTTTGATTTAGCGCTCAATGATCTGCCCGGAAAGAAGGAAGTATTGGAGGACTTCGCAGCCGAACTTCGGCGAGGCGGAGAATCAGAGAGCTCATACCATCCTAGAACATGCATTGTGACTTGCGATGTCAGTAAAGAAGACGAGGTGAAAAGCATGATTGACACTACAGTTGACGCTCTAGGGAGCTTGGACGTCGTGAGTAGCGACGCGGAATGCGTAATCGTTGGACTCATGACATACTACCACAGATGATCGCGAATGCCGGAATTAGTGGCATGGTAGATCTCTTAAGTGGTACGTGGATCGATCGTGAACCATACCTGGAATAGTACTCACTTTTCATGTAGAAACTCTAGAAGGCTGGGACCGCATGATGAAAGTCAACGCCACCTCTGCATTCCTGTGCTATAAATACGCCACAATCCAGATGGTGAAACAGGGACGTGGCGGCCGCATCATCGGTGCCAGCTCCATGGTAGGAATACAAGGTAAGAGGCTGTCCCTGAGTCGAGTGTGGCACCTGAAAATACTGCGTCTATTATGAAGCCACGTCCCCTTTGATGTCCTACAGTGCAAGTAAATTTGCTGTTAGAGCCATAACGCAAGCGGCCGGTAAGATCATTATCTCATGCACATGTATTAGTACTAACGTCCTCATCAAGCGCTGCAACTCGGACAATACGGAATCACGGTCAATTCCTATGCTCCGGGAATCATAGCGACACCCATGGGTGAGTGCTAAAGTAGGTTTTTATGCTGTCCCCGCTGAATCATGGACAGTTGTCGCATCAAAGTCCCAAATTGCAAAGCGAGGCGACAAGGTTGACTACTTCCAAAAGGTGCGACGAGGTCTACTATCATAATATGTCTTGGCTAAATTGTAGCACAGACGATCGACACCTCTGCAGTCGGGTACATCGGACAACCGGAAGATGTTGCCAGCGCCGTTGCATACCTCACTTCCAAGGAGGCCCATTTCATCACAGGCAAGTCTCCCATTTCAAAGGGCTGTGTGCGAACTAACCTGTATTTCTGTGTGTTAGGACAATGCGTAAGTTCATTTGAGCCATTGGTATGTCGAGCAACTGAGATGAGGAACCGGTCATGCAGATTTCCGTTGACGGTGGTTTGATGCTTTCCTGATGCGAGTCCACGAATTGCCGAATAATCGAATCCCAGCGGGAACACAAGTTAAGAAATTATTATCACACAATTTTTCAGTCACTTTGTAGGTGTGGTTCAGCCGTGAAATTTAGGGGAATCAAGCCGTCGTCGTCTATGATTTAATATGCAATATGTTCTTACTTTTCTTTGCGCTGGATCTACGAGAGCACAGTTTAATAGTATTGCTGGATTTTGATGATGTGCGGCGCCTGCATAAGACAACTGTGATGGCTTGACGATCTGTTGATCACCACATAAGACAATTCTCGCCGGCACGGCCCACTCAGCGGATGTTCTTGCTTATCCGTTCGTAGATGCGTTATGACTTGCTACTTGGATTTGCAGATGTATACGTGGAGCGTGCACGATTGCCAGTGGTCTGCCGAGTCTGTGTCTCCGTCGGAATAGTATTCGTTCGGCAAATACACCGGAGAAGATAGATTGGTTGATACAGAGAATGGGGCTTGCAACGTTCATCGTTCGCCTCGGACAAACTTTCGGCGCACTTTCATGGCGGCGAGGCAGTGTAGTGGGGAGTACAAGATAATCGTGTCGGATCACAATATCATCGCACATGTTAGGGACTTGGCTGCGGTTCATGACACAACGGACGTTAGGATGTTGTTTTCATCCATGCCTTGGCAGTCCCTCTATCCAAAGATATCATCCCCGTGCGTCCTTATCAATCGCGGTCATAATTGCTTCCACCCGAAACAACTCATACTTGCAGCACTCTGGTACATTCAGCCTGTCTTCGCAATATTCACCTGAATCCATATTCAGTATTACTAGCGCACACTCACAAAGGAGCTGTTGAGATCACGAAGCCTCAAGGTACATATCACCTCAATTCTGGAACTTTCGTAAGTGTCAAGACACTAGAGCCTAGTAATTCTTTAGGCGTGATAACTGATCATGAAAGATGGAAAGGATTACAGAAACGGGATGCCAGACATAAGTTCTCTCGGATGATTTCACTGCGCACCAATAAAGGAGATGCTGTATATGACGAACATTTAGCTGTGCGCAAGTGGCGTAGTGATGAAACGAAATGAGATCCACGTTGTAGCAGCATGGTGTGGAGCCACTAGGAACGCCAGAAAAGCGCCTACATGAGGTGGGTTGTGGGCACAAAATCAATGCTACTCACCACCCATTAGCTTTACGGTATAGACGTATCCACAAAACACACCCATCGTTTGCTACTGACTGTCTGTTTCTCTCTAGACTAGCACAACATGTCAGTGGAACTTTCGGATGTGGCAAGAAACGCAGATTTCATCTTGGAAGAGCACTTGACGCAGTCGCGCATAATGCTAGGACACAAATCGTCAGTGTTAGCAGCCGCGTTCTTCAAAGATGGTCGAAGGGTCGTCACCAGTTCATCGGACAAAACCCTGCGAATTTGGGATGTGCAAAAAGGAGCATTGGTAGGAGCGCCATTCGAGGGACACAAGGGCTGGGTGCGAGCAGTGGCTATATCCCCAGATGATAGGATAATTGCGAGCGGCGGAGAGGACAAAACTATTATCCTATGGAATGTGGAGAACAAGCAGAAGACTTTGGATCCGCTGGTGAAGCATGCGCGCGATGTGAACTCGTTGTGCTTCTCTCCCGATGGCAAAAAACTGGCAAGCGGGTCATCTGATTGCACGGTTGTTGTATGGGATGCAGAGACTGGCGCTGTCCTCGCGACACTTTGTCATAATAGTGTGGTGTTGACTGTGGTATTCAGTCCCGATGGGTTGAAATTGGCCTCGGGATCAAAAGACAATACCATCCGCGTTTGGCGCACTAATGACACCGAGGTTCTTCTCGAGTTCAATGCTCACCAAGATCGGGTTCGAAGCGTTGTGTGGTCGCATGACGGCCAGCAACTTGTCTCGGCATCATACGACCAAACAGTCAAGTTTTGGAACTCGTCAAACGCAGACCAGATTGGTCAACCTTGCGCTGGTCACACTGCCTGGATCTACTCGCTCGCCATCTCCTTTGACAACTCCTTCATTGCCACTGCCTCTTGTGACAACACGGTGCGGCTGTGGAGCACAAAAACACACGAACAGATAGGGCAGGCACTTGAACACACCACCTGGATCGGCTGTGTTATAATTTCTCCCAATGGAGAACTACTCATGAGTGGAGATGGAGATGGGAAGGTTTGGCTCTGGTCTATCAAGAACATACTCGAAGATTATAATGCGGAGGATAGACTAAAGGAAGAGCAACAGCGACTCCTCACCGATGCTGCTGCCGTAAGTTTCTGTTTCCGCTCTGAGTCCAACAAAGTTATAAGATGACCTTTCAAACCAGAATGTTCTGTCGACACCTTTCATAACGGTAAGATTTCTTCTTAGCGCGGCATCGTATACTGCTAATGACATTGAATGAAGGACATCGATCAAAATGACATCCAAGCTCAGGTACGCTCTTACCCATGATTTTTCACTGTGCCTTTCTTACCCGTAGCCCATTCCTCTGCGCTATGGTACAGCCACGCAATGAGGACTCTGACAATTGCGACATTAAAAGCCATTATTCTTCGGAAACTCATGCAGCCTCTAGTATCCTCTCGTTTTCTTCATCATTCGACGTGAGTTTTCCTTCGGTGCATCTGCTCATTATGGAATGTGAGCATATTTTATTATGCAGAGCCTCCCTATAAACCCGATGGTCCGGAATGCATGCATCACTGGGGACTTGCATACTGCTGAAGAGATTTTGACCCAGAAGATCGACACCGATGGCGACAACTGTGATTCTTATGCCAGTCGCTCGGTTGTAATGGCGCGGAATTCTGATTGGGACCAGGCACTTCGAGATGCAGTCAACGTAAGACACTCTGCTCTTCGTGACTGTTGATTTGACTCCTCTGTGATCTAGTCAATCGATATCCAACCCTCATTAATGGGCTGCATCTCTAAGGGCATTGCCCTTTGCGGCAAGGGGCAAGTTTGGAATGCCATGGAAGCTTTTGATCTCGCTTTCACATTTGCTATTCATGATTCGATGACCATTAATCTTTTACTGTTGATCAAGGTACGATTCATACCATCTGCTATTTGGGTCAATCTCAGTCTCAGTCTTCAACTTTTCAGGCTATTGCGCTTTTCAATGCAGGTCATCGCGAAGAGGCAATCCGGCGAGTTCAAGACCTAGCCATTGCTCGTCAGCACTTAGATACACTTTCGTGCAATGTCGTAAACGTGAGTCTGATGTCAGGGCTTACAGAGTGTCACTGAAATGCATTTGCCAGTCATATCTACATGTGCAACTTGCAACCATTGCTTTTGAGAATGGGCGGTACCTCGAAGCTGCCGAACAATTCACGGAGGTCCTCGTTACGAATATGAATATGACTGGCTCATCTTTACGCACGGCACTGTACGAACCTAGATTAAAGATATTCACCGTGGTCTGTCACAACAACGTCACAACACTTCCAACAATTAATGGCATGCGCTTTGCAGCTCTTCGGTTGGGACTTGGATTCATTATGGCAAACCATCCACCAACGACAGTGTGACGCGTTCCTCCGCGCGGATCAAGTGATCGAAGCGATCGAAGCGTATCAGTACATGATGCACATGATTGACGAGGCTGAGAAGACCAGCTGTCTCGGATGGTCTACCGGTGAGTGTCTTCCAATTTGAACAACTTGAACATCGATATTGACCCGAGGTCGATTAGCCTTCAAGCAAGACTGCATTGCACGCTGTGTGGCCAAGGGAAAAGAAGCTGTTGTTGCGAACGATCAAGCAAGAGCTTTCAAGCTTTATTCGGCAGGGATAGGGCTAGATCCCTCATACGACCTCCTTTTTGTACACCGCAGTAATGAAAATTTGAGACGTAACTCATATGCAGAAGCCCTCTCCGATGTAGAACAGGTGCGGATGATAAGCATGATCTTTATCATTGTGTTGACACTGTCATGCATAGGTGATCAAACTCAACCCTTCGTCTCATATTGGGTACCAACTAAAGCACGAAGCGCTTTATGGGGTACATCGCTATGATGAAGCAGTTGTGACCTTCAATATCATGCTCTCCAAGTTGGAAGACGCTCCCGACACGCAGATACGACGTAAGTCCCGAATCTTTCATGAGTTGACGTGGTCATAATCACGTTTTTCTCCAGAACTACGTCGGAAATATCATTATGTCACTCCTTGTGAAGTAGAACGTGCTATTCGAGGAGCGATTCATGCTCACCTGGACACTGCTCCACTTCGTTTACTCAACACCTCTACTGGGCGTTTGTGCGATCGACAGGCACAGATAACGGCCTTCATGGAAAGCACAGAGTACGAGAAACTTACGTCTTCGTTGATGACACACGGACACCTTCAATTGGAGTGCATCAAAGAAGTAGTGGTGATGTACTTCCGTTGGGTAATGTTATCGCATACGTGGGAAACGAAGGAGCCGCTATTACTCGACATCCAAAACAAGGTCGTGTACGATTTGGATCCAGTCGGAGCTATGGTGAAGCTACAGACGTTCTGTAAAATTTCCCGTAATGCAGGGTATCACTGGGCATGGAGTGATACATGTTGCATCGACCAACATAACAATGCTGAACTCCAGCGCTCGATCAACTCCATGTTTATCTGGTATCGCCATTCATCTCTTACGATCATCTACCTATCCGACGTTGCGCCATCGTCGAAGTCCGGCGCACTGGCAAAGAGCGCTTGGAACACGCGAGGATGGACTCTCCAAGAGTTCCTGGCTCCCAAAGTCATTCTCTTCTACCAAGCAGATTGGACCCCATATCTCAATGACCGTTCTCACAACCACAAGGAGTCTGTTCCTATCATGCATGAGTTGGAGGATTCAACAACCATAAACGCCCAGGCCCTCGTGGCTTTCCGTCCAGGGATGAGAGGTGTCCGAGAGAAACTTCAATGGGCGTCGACACGTGTCACGACATTACAGGAAGATATCGCATACTCATTGTTTGGCATCTTTGGCGTTCACCTACCTGTAATCTATGGCGAGAAGAAGCATCACGCTCTCGGGCGACTGTTACAGGCCATCGTGGCTCAGTCGGGTGACATCAGTGCCCTGGACTGGGTCGGAAAATCGTCGGAGTTCAATAGCTGTTTGCCAGGCGATATTGCCTCGTACGAAGCGCCGCCATGCATACTACCATCGCTATCAGAAGATGAGATGCAGGTGTCGGTCTCCAACCTCCGCAGTGCCGCGGTTGTGGAGCTGGCTGTGGCATTGTACGCCCAGCTTGACAACCTGTGCGCTCCTCGTTTCGCGAACCGCAGACTGCTCCTTCCTTGCATCACCTTTCTTGTCACAGGAGTCAGGAGGCACGGTCTACACCGGGAGACATATTTCACATATGACATCAAAGCAGACGGACTCCAAGACTTGTCAATCACCACCGAAGACAAGCTGACTCAGTTCTCGCAGGCAAGACCTTCGCGGCAGACATTCTTGCTCGTCCGACCCTGGAACCATCATGACCTCGGGCTGTCTGATTTCTCGGACGATATGCAGACCGTGCCCGGGTCCCCACTAGATGATTTATGTTGGGGCTACCCTAAAGAAGTTGGTCTAGTTGATTTGGAGTCTCAGTCGCGAGCGTTGAGGTTGATGGTTCGCCTCGGACAGCCTTTTGGCGCACTTTTATTAGCGCAGCAGCGTGGCGGGGAATACAAGAGAATCGCATCAGATCATGACATTGTCGCACGTGTCAAGGACGTGACTGCTGTCCGCGACATGTCGAACGTCAGAACGGTAGAGATATTATAGTCTCATGTATTTCGAAGGACGAGGGATTTTGACGCATATCTTTGACTGTACTTTCATGGAATTTCCAGTACTCCAACTCGGCCTTTGAATTGATATGGTACATTGATGATTACAACAGACAGACGATCCACCATCCCAGCGCCCAACTGCGTCTACCGCCACCTCCCTTCAGCACCTCACTAACTTCATGTTGCCTCCTACCAATGTGATATAAGTTTCGGAACTTCACCCTCCCTCAGGCCTGAGGCTCTGATCGGTACCTCGTAGCACGCGGCGTGTAGCAATTTTGTTTAATAACATAATTACCGGTAAGTTCATAGCTTCATTCAGTCTATCTCTTGTTCATGTAGCATGTGATATTGAAATATTACTTATTGGCTCGACTTCTGAAGGTGAGTGGATTGCCCTTCTCATTTTCAGTGTCACGCTCCTTGCCTTCACTTTCCCCCTTGTGCGGGCACACCTGGCCCATGTTGCGGTTCCGGAAGGCCGGACTGGAGAACATTCCATTTTTCTCAAATTTCATTCAGTATGGATGACGGTAGTAAGACAGATATTGATCAGGCCTGAACATCTAGACGACATGATGATTTCAAAAAGTCAAATGTCCTGTTCGAACATACATAGTGCTACTAGTCCAAATAGTCTTCCAGCATAAACGACCTACTCCTCCCAATTGCCTACGCCGGTAGAGTGTCCAACAAAAGATTCAGGATACCAAGGAAAGTTGATGCTGATACGCACGCTAAGACAAGGGCACCCATCCAGGCACCCTTATTGACTGTGGTTTCGATAATCACATCATACGCTGCGCCTCCCCTGCTAAACACGCTGGAATTGCAGAAACACCTATCGTAAAAGTTGGAGTACTGGAATACGCACGCCAAGATCACCAGGAAAAAGTTTACAAAGGCAAGGAATTTGCCCGTCCACCGCAGGACGTGTGAAGATGCTATGGCAACACGTGTGGATAGTGATACTCGGCGGCGGCCAGCAGCGGAATAGTGGGCGAGAATACTGGACACCAGGAGCATCATCCAAATTAAAGTCGAAATGGCTCCGTAAAATAGATAGCCCATAAACCGACACCCAATTTTCTGTCAGACGTTAGCCAACTTGATCACAAGTATACAGGAAGACCCACTGTTGTAGGAGTGAACCACGCCACCATAAGTGCTGCCCCGACTGTTCCCCATTGTAATCCCAGCGAAGCGCAGGAAGCGATAAACATTCTTGTGAACACACCAGGTGCCCAATGGCTGCGTACAATCTGCACCCCATTAGGTTCCGCGCAATACACTGTGATGTCGCGGAGGGATTCGCGTCGGTTACTATCGTGAATGCTTTGGGTAGTGTCGGTGTATTGGATGGTCTTGATGTTTTCGGTAGGGTTGTGAATGCCAGATTCGTCCCCATCACTCCCGCACACGGGAGGATGGCTATAGGCCTTCTCTGATGCCTCTGAGTCCTGTTTGAATACCATGAAGATAGTCTCTGCTGTAGATGCCCATCGCAGCGAACGCGAGTAATTAAACACCGGAGGGGTGAGAAGTTCGTCTGGAGACATCACATCATCCTCTTTAGCAGTTATTGCCAACGCTCTCCGGGATGACGCAGAGAGCATCCCGACACGGACGTCTGCTGTTCCTGTGTGCATACTGTGCCTGTCTGCACGGTCATACGCAGCTTGTAAGCGATTGAAGTCGCATTTCGGGGACAGCTGCAGCCATCCGACGACTATCGGAATCAACCACAACCACAATGAGCCAGTGGCCTGTCCGTTGGATTGGAAGTCTGCACCATTCGATGGTGAGTTGGCAACAGTCAAGATATAGGCGATAATGACCCATGCAATGGAGGTTGCGGATGCGATTGACCAGGTATGGGTGTAGTCCACAAATTCAGCTAGGCATTTCCACCAGTTATTTCCCGGACGGATGAGAGATGGCAAGCGTTCGTGATCAGGATGCAGTCTGAGAGGGACTTGCTGAAGGCTGCTCAAGATGGAGAGCGCGAAATGTGAATTAGGATGATAGTTCAGCGAGTCAAACTGGTAGGTGATCCAGCGAGAGTTGAGGAGGGTGACGAATAGAGAGTAACCAGCAAGTGTCGGTGAACCAACAGTTAACACAGCAGACATGAGATTATCAAGCCTGTACTGTGCGCCAAAGGGGAGCTGCGAAATCAGTGCAATATTTGGCAGCAGCCATGCACTAAATTCTTGCGAAAATTCAGGCCACTGAAAAGCTTCTTGTCCAGTTCCGCATTTTGATTTACACAACGAGTAGCTGATCGCTGTTGCATCCGAAACATTCGACACGGGATATCCGGTACTGTTGAGTAAACCGTCGAGGGTAGCATTTGGATTCTGAATGATGTTGATTAAACACTGAGAGAAGTTGGCTGCCGCAACGACTGTTCTGGCAGCGTGCACCAGTAGTAGTAACAGAGCTATGGACAAGTATTAAATGAGACACCCATAAATCCGTAATCCAGTCATTGCGCTTACCTGCCTGAGAGCCTTTGTGCAAGCGCATTGGATTAGTTGTGTCGATTTTGTATGTAAATAAATTGGGGTAACTTACTAGAGACAGGTAGTATCTCTGCCTTTATACTTTAGTGCGCACTGTCGAGCTTCCGCTCACGAGATCTAGAGGGCAGTGTTACTGCAACTTGTTCGGTGACTTCCAACGAGGATAGTGGCAGTCGATGCGGCTGAAATGACAATATTAAGGTCCATCTCGTTAATTATGGCTATGAAGACCTGACCTGTGCATCTGTCAAGGAAGTTTTGTCTACCAAATTACCAAAAAGATTGTGTACGGGTTACGACGAACACACTGTTTACATGAATATCACTGGTTTCTGGTGAATCCGTCGTATCGTTTTTTTTATTCAAATATCTACTGCCAATTTTGATGACCGATGACACCGAGTATGAAGCAGAGGTCGCCATAGTAGAGGAGACCGAACGCAGCATGACGTGGTGGATGTAATGGATGCTGGTGATGTATAGATAATACCCAAACTAGTTGCCCATCAGAAGATGCTACCAAAGATTTTGACAATTGTTGATTTGAACGAGCTGGCTCGGCTTGGGCCCGATAGATTGGACACAGCCAGTGCAAGGTGGTCGAAATCTTGTTTGGACGTACATATGCCACTTCGAGGATGTCGTGGCGCTGCTCTCCCGCGGACATTATGTAAGCACCAGGTATCGATGATCCGTAGAGCTTCATTACCGATTTTTGTACCTCCCTCTCCAAGTCGCAGTCATTTCTCATCACTCATTACTGTCATCCACTGCTGCGCATACAGCTTCTCGTATCGCAACGTTTCGCAAACCGTCCCTGACTTGATGCTCTCGATCATCCGGTTAGCACGGACTCCTCCCTAATCCTGGTCGGTGATCTTCCCAGTGCTCGGTGCAATCATACCAGCGTTTATCATACCGGACAGTTCTCCACCATATGGAAATACATGCGCAACATGACTTGAAACCTCAGCCGAACTCCATCCACAGTTCCCATATCTTTTTCACCTTCCTCTCCCACTCAGCCCATCCTCGTCCATCGCACGTAGTACCATGTTTGGTGGCTTAGAATGCCGACATATCAGACTTGAAGCCAAGTCCTTCCATATTACCTTCGTATCTGTTTCACGATCTTCACACTCTATTAACGGAAAGAATATTCAGGCTCATTTCAAGCGCATTCCCGATGGCATCTACATATCCATCAATGTCGACTCTCTGAGACGCCGGAAATCGGAAATTGGCCATCGGTGTCTTATCATCCAATGAATTTGTAGCATTGGGGAAATACTATAACTCTGTAAAGTCATCGAGAGTCCTGACGTGATATGAGAACTGATCTTTGGTTTACAGTTCACCACATGTCTCATCTGCGCTGCCAGTAGAGATCAGGGCATTCTGTGAGCTTGGTTTGATGTGAGTGAATCCGGACTCTGCCCTGTGAGCTTTTGCTGGTGAATCACTAACTGCGGTCCCTTATAGACTGTGAAGTCGCTTGACACACGGATGCAGGCCACGCACAATTTGCCAAATACGTGGCGAGCAAGACAGTCCCACCTGAACGACCCTGTAGAGCATTTTCAGTTGGTTCTGGACCAGTATCTGGTCAGCCATCCAGACCACGCGATGGCTCTCACCAACCTTGCGTATGCGTGCCTTCAAGGATATACTCGCACTTCAAACATCGACTCCACCACTTTCCTCTGCCGCGATGCCCTTGCATTGCGTCACAGGACCGTCAATTTGCTCGTCCTCAGCTTACTAGATTCGGGCTGCTCCAATTTCGTTTCTGGTTTGCAAGTCAAAGAATGGTGTGCGCGCGTCCTAGACACCTAAAACAAGCCGAGGCTTCAAGGAAGCCCCAGACCCTGGAAACTCGGGTCTAGCAACAATTGGTGACAATTCTGTCTTGAGGAAAGGGATGATATCGGCGAGTGTGGCGCAATTGCAAAGCAGTTCCAGAATCCAGATAACGATGATGAACACTACGTTTCTTCAAAACCTCGACAAGTTCCTATCAAGCCACGTTGGACAGCCTCAATATGCAGCTAGCGCCGTGGGCTATCTCGGAGCTCATAGCTCCATCGAGCCTATCTCTTGCTCACGTAACATGTAATGTCTTCGTCAATGGTAAAAAATGTATTCTTACTTCTTGCAAATACTATGGGGCGCAAAAACCTCTTTCGGATTTTCTGGCAAAACTAAAAGGCTACATCCGATAAGTCAGTATTTAGAGTCTGCGGCTCAGTATCAAGCGCGTGCAAGACTTGCCCACACTCTCACTAATATTGAAATTCCTCTCTCTTCCATGTCGCAACCTAAAGGCACTGCTATTGTCACAGGAGCCAGCCGGGGAATTGGCCGTGCCATCGCATTTCGCCTTGCTGACGATGGCTTTGATATCGCTCTGAATGACATTGCGACCAAGAGCACAGAATTGGATGTTGTAGCCAGTGACATTAATGGTAAGGGACGACGAACGATCGTTGTTCCAGCAGATGTATCGGTGGAAGATGAGGTTAAAGACATGATTGCAACCACTGTTCGCGTTCTAGGGGGCGTTGATGTAGCAAGTCTTCCTTAACACACTTCTGATAGCATTAGCTAATATCAGGCAGATGATAGCTAATGCCGGGATAATCACATTTGGCAACGTCTTGGATGGTAAGTGGCCTTTATGTGGCACTAACGTCCACCGCAGTTATACCTGTACCCAGCCGACGTAGAAAGTTTCGATGCCACTTTCTCTGTGAATGTCCGAGGGACGCTCCTCTGTTATAAGCATGCCGCCCGGCAGATGATCGAGCAAGGACGGGGCGGAAGGATTATAGGCGCATCATCAGTGCTCGGGAAGAAAAGTCAATGCTTTGGCCTGTTCAAACAGTATTCTGACTCACCTGTGATACAAAGGTTCCAAGGATTTTATTGTGTATAGCAGCAGCAAATTTGCTGTGAGAGGGCTCACTCAGGCTGCAGGTGAGATGATGATAGACATAGAACGAGTAATGGATAACCGATTCCCTTGATCCTCCGCAGCTATGGAGCTTGGTCCTCACGGTATCACCGTGAACTGCTATGCTCCGGGGCCCATCCAGACAGAAATGCGTGCGCATTAAAGTGTTTATGTAGTCCGAACAATGTCCGAACCCACCTTCAGTGCAGACTTTGAGAGAACAAAGAGAACGATGGACAGTTGAACAGGGACTTGATCCTGGTTCGATTCAACGAGTAAGACGCGAGTTGATTGTGCAGAGTTATACATTTCCATGGTTTTTCGCATCAGGTGCAGACAACAGTTGGGTACGAGGGTACTCCAGAAGATGTCGCAAGTATTGTCTCCTACCTCGTGTCGAAGGAGGCGCACTTTATAACCGGTGAGTTTCGAGTCCCACTCAGTGGGACATCATGGCTAATTGGATACCTGATGTTATACAGGGCAGAGCGTATGTGCACTTGGAATCTCGTCAAACCTTTTGATAATCTCGACACAGGTTTCTGTGGACGGAGGTCTCTTTTTCACTTAGGCTGCAGCCGGAGTCAGGGACAAAAAAGATTATTGCCTAATAGTTAGCATAATCAGGCACAAACTGAATTGATTCTGGCCAAATCTCGTACGAATTGTGTCAGATTTGCGTCTGGATCACGTACCCTGGGCCGCGACCCACGTTTGAAATTTATTGATTATCCTCGTATGATCTCGTTGTAATCCGATTTAGCGCGAACATCGGACGATTAGATATGGACTAGTACTCAACTTGAGCCTGCCAACGCCGCTGTCACTGCTCTCCTCTGCTTGACACCGTCTTTGAATCCAACTCTTCTCTCTTCCACCATATACCTCGATTTTAGTTGATATGCCTCGTCAATTCTTTGTCGGTGGAAATTTCAAGATGAACCCCGTCTCGCGGGGTCAAAAGGAATCTATCATCAGTGTCCTTAACTCTGCTGATTTGGACAGTACGACTGGCGCGTATTTTTCTTGCATCTATGAGACCTTTAGCTCACAGAGATTGTTGCAGAGATCGTCATTGCGCCTCCGTCACTTTATCTCATCCCACTCAAAGACACGGTGCGATCGGAAATACAGGTCTCTGCTCAAAACTGCTACTACAAAGATTCAGGAGCATTCACTGGTGAAATAAGGCGAGTCAACAGAAAGCCTGAGTTGGCTCAATCGTGAACTTTCTTTCAACATTAGTCCTGCACAACTCGTCGACGCCAATATCCCGTATGTGATTCTGGGTGAGTGACTTATAAACTTCCATGGATGTCGGCTGAATTATTTTAGGCCACTCTGAACGCAGGACCCTCTTCCATGAAACGTCTGAGTTCATTGCCCAGAAGACTAAGGCTGCTTTAAATGCGAAGTTGAAAGTCATCCTTTGCGTCGGTGAAACCCTTCCGGAGCGTGAAGCAGGGCAGACTGCAGCAGTCGTTCAGAAGCAGTTACAGGCCGTCGTCGATGTGCTGCAGGAGAGTGACTGGAGGTGCGAACTTGAATAGTTGTGCTGTGCCATGCCGTGCTGATTGACAATGTTCCAGTGCTGTTGTGATCGCATACGAACCTGTGTGGGCGATTGGCACAGGCAAAGTTGCCACATCCGCTCAAGCTCAGGAGGCTCATCTGGATATCCGCACGTTCCTCTCTCAGAAAGTGTCCCCCGCTGTAGCAGAGAACACCAGGATTATCTATGGAGGCAGTGTTACCGCTGCAAACTGCAAAGAACTTTGTACGTCCACGGAAAAAGACAAACAAGAAGATACTGACACTCTTTTTTAGCTACTCAACTCGACGTAGATGGTTTCCTTGTCGGAGGAGCTTCATTGAAGCCAGAGTTCGTCAATATCATCAACGCGAGGAGGAATTAGATTGTGTGATGACTCTGCAGTTGTACGATACCGCTTGATATTCAGATGAACTTGCAGATTATGTACTTAGACTTGCGAAAGAAATAGGATCACTGTAGATCGTGAATCAGTATGTTCAGAGATATCAATTGGTAGGTCTGACATACTTATAAGAAGTGTTCGGTCGGAATTTATACGCGATCATGATTATGATGTAATAGCTCACTTTCCCAGCCAGGTCGTCTTTCGCATGTACGTACTTCAACACTATTCAACATACCCCAATCGTTATTCTCTGGGTCGCGTTCTAACTGATTGGAACTTGAATCTAATCGAGCACAGATCCTGTCGGGATGTTTCGGTCACTTCTTGCACCATGGCAAAGTCATGAAGACTTCGGGCCTACTTCGCCTGCAATTAACATCATTGGTGGCGGTGCCCCAGATACCAGCAACAGTGGTGAACGTGTAGCTAAACAAACCATGCGAGATATGGTAGAGGACTTGAAAGTAACAGAGGCAGTAGTCGCGAAGACAACTGTGAGCCCCGTGTCGTTTTATGTTCAGTGGTCATGGGATACCCATAATCGCATCCTGTAGCTCCTGCAACGGATTGCTACTCTTGTTCGCGAAGTACCCGCAACGAAAGACGCGTTTCGCGATTCAGATGGATTTCTCTTACTGGTCCACGTGCTATCTACACTGTCGACCACGATCGGACGACGAGGATCCCAATCGACGCGTGATGCCGTGGCTTGTATCAAGTCAGTTTTCACGTTGGCCTCTGAGGCTTTGAAGGGACATGCAGTGAACCTTGAGTTCTTTGAGGTGCGTTTCTTTGCGCCTGATGTTAATACTATCGTGACCTCGAGAACCAAGGAATTCATCGGTTACTCTTCGCTTTCCGATGCTGCGGACCTGCTGGTCTCTAATGCAGTGACAGCGGACATGACGCTCGGGTGTTTGTTAGCTCTCTCATTTAGTGATTTCTTCCTCGTGGAATTTTTCAGCTCGTTACGAACAAAAGTGCCTGAGATCGAAGCGATGCACATCCACTTCCTGGAATTTGCACCTGGTCTAGCCAGTATGAGGCTCCCCGGAGCATTCAATGTTCTTTGGAGCTTCATTCTGCGAACAATGAACACGGATCGCGCCTTGAGGCTCATCGTTTACCGGCTTTTAGAACATCTGACGCACAGCACGCATAGAAACCTCGCCGTCCTAAGCATGCAAAATACCTTGCCGCATCTCTTCAAATCGTGGAAGACTAATATGAGCAGCGCCAAAGATGACGATAAGGAGCACCGAATCCTAGCAAAAATTCTTCGGCGTCTTTTTGAAATGGGTGCTAGTACCCAAGACTCGAGAGATTTGCTGCAGTGTACTGCGAAGCAAGATGGAACTGTAGATGCCGACATGCTCGAACTTCTGCGCTCAAGTGCGAAGTCGAGGTGGCCACAGCACTTCTCTCTTGATGGCTGTTCTGCGCTAGCTATGTCGTCCACCGAAATGAAGACTTTCCCTGCCCATGGGTTCACGTTCATGGTAGGTTATTTGATCTGCAGGGGTGCAATCGCGTCTAAATCGTAGGCAGGCCTGGATTTGGCTCGAAAGGATGCCTTCGGAACCACACAAGTTGTTCAGCATATCCTTTGGGTCCAAAGATGCCGTTGCTCTCTCTGTCGGTAGCAACGGGGCATTAGCCTTCCGATCATGCGTCGTTCAAAAAGTTGAAGTGCTTCCGAAGTCGAAACTGGCGGCTTCTCGATGGACACACGTCACCCTTGTGCATCATAACCATAGATCATCGCATCCTTCCGTCTGTACGTGCTTTGGATATACTCTTGTATTCTTTTGACCCGCCGTGTTTCAGGCTTGTTCATTGATGGCGTTCCAAGTGACTCGTTGCAATGGGCATATCCAAAATTCGATGAGACGTCGCCTGCGACTTTGATGGTAGGCGATGACGTTACCGCAGTCGAATCTAGCTGGTGCGTGGCTTCTGCCTACCTGCTTTCTGTCACGCTCGGTAAGCATTTTCTATTAGCAAATGGCTCTGATCACTTCAATCCATGTAGATGACGACTTGCCGAGATTTATACACCACCTAGGCCCCCGATATTCTGAGTCATTCCAAGATCAGACTCTCATCAGGTTCCTGACGTACGAAGCGTCGACTTCGCTTAACATGCACATTACAGCTCAAGGCGCATCGCTACCTGAGAATTCGCAACTCAAGAAGGCCATTCGTGGAGATTCGATTATTAGCGATTCATCGATTATATTTCGCGTCGTCCCTCAACCGCACAATAAAAAGCACCAAATTGTAACTCGAGGCGATGTATTTACAGTATGCTGTCAGTCACTGGACCTTGCCGTGTGGAGGATTGGCGGGGCGGCTTCATTGCTGCGACTAGTAGCACTTGCTCAAACGCCGCATGAACTTTCCAGAGCATTGAGCGTTTTTTCTGACTGTCTTCGCAACAGCTGGCAAAACTCTGATGACATGGAAATGTTACGTGAGTACAGAATATGCGAGATCTTGCTTGTACTTGATTTTCGTATAGATGGTTATGATGTTCTGGCAAGCACGCTGAGAGCTCGAAGTCATCTCATAAACATGACTAGCTTTGAAACATTGTTTGAATTCCTTGGTCTAAATTTCCGTTCTCCAGAGTATGCCTGCCTTATATCTTAACATGCAAGGCACTGACCCTCCATCAGTTTATCCACTGTCGTCAACACCATCGCATACAAAGCCGTGGCACTCGACTTTGAGTTGTGGTCAAAAACTAGTGCCGACATTCAACAGGCTCATCTCGAACATTTCGCCTTCTTGTTGCGTGCCAGCCGTTATAGACAGTTCACCATCAAGATGCGATTGTCGAAACTAGGCATCGTACGCAAGTTATTATTCGCCATTCAGTCAGTCTGGTACCCGCAAGAATCTATATCACTTGTCGTCAACACATTGGTGCTTGTTGCACAATCATCATTTACAGCGGAGGAAGCGATCAAACCAATCGTTTCATACATAGCTGCCACCCTTGTTGAAGGTGAGTTATCTCATCTTCAAACACCTTTCGTCCAATTAGATGTTTCCCAGAGTCCCGATCATCATCTTCATCGTCACCTCGATCAACAACATCCCGTAGAGACTTGCTACAATCTAGTACCAGGAATAAAGCCGAGCAAGTCCTTGAAGGTCTTGTTTCCATAATGCGCATCCCTTCGCTTCACTCTAAGCTTGCTGGTACACTCCCTATGCCACGGATCTGTTTACTGTTGCTTGGGGACCATCCTTCCGCACACACTGCCTGCCAAGTGCTTGGCATGCTTGGCCTCAGCCTAAAAGCCTCGGTATCATCTGGCAAAAACTTCGAGTTGGCCAGTGGTTGGGGTATTCTCAAGACCCTGTTACCTCCAGTCTGGGATCGCAGTGTACATGATGCAGCTTTAGATATCCTCCCCGGGCGCTCTGGAGACAGATTCAGTGATGACTCAGGATCCCCTCAAATGGTGTCTGTGTTTCTCTTTGCGTTGTATCAAGGACTGTCAATCGAGAACAATAATGCTGAACCTGACGAAGGTGGGCCATCCGTTTAATGCCTTGATATTCAATTCACTTTTCGTGCAGCTCCTTCAAAAGATGCGATCATCTGGATTCTCGATGACTTAACAAAGCTGCACGAGTCGAGTTCATCATTCCGCCGCGTCTTCAGGTCCCAAAGCACTGCACAGCTACTTGTTGATGGCCTCAATATATTCTCCCCCGCAAGACAGCCTCCCAGGGTGCTGGATGCCAAAATATCCGTCAAACTAACTCACTTTGGATTACTTGTTGCGATGGGCAAGCACATATATACGTCTCAAAAACAACAGGTATTCTATCGCTTTTTCGTATGACAAGTCCTCTCAGACTATATGCAGATTCTTGATATCGTTCGCCCTGACGCTCAGCCAAAAGGGCGAACTGAGCCTGTAGACACTTCTGGGTCACGACTCGGGCTCGCTCAAGCAGACACAGTCTATAAAGCGTCTGCGCGTCTTGAAGAATGGCGACAGACGATTCTTGTTTCGGAGCGCAAATGCTTCAGACAGACACTATTAGACTTGTGCGTAAATGTCCATGCTCCAGCGACCTTGAGATGTACTGACTGTTGTTATAGGCAGGAAAAGCGACGTAGAGTCGCATCTTTTGAAGAAAATGTATCTGTATCGACGACCGAACGCGATATTTGGCCTCATTTAGCTCGGAAACGCGCGTGGAAATTAGACGAGACCGAAGGACCGCACAGAGTTAGGTCAGTGAGTTCTTTGTTGTTAGAGGCAAAACAATGATATCAGCCAGGACAAAGATGGAGAGCCTCCTGGAAATGTTTGTGCAGGACTCGAGGTCTATTAGTCATGAGGAATCTTCGTCAGCTTTTGATTCAGAGTTGTTGTCGCTGTCCCAGTCAGAACTTGCTTCTCCGAATACTGTGGTTGTCCCATCTTATACAGGCGAAGACGGTTGTTGTTTACTTTTGATGCTTTATCAATGTTGACTAACATTGTTTCCAGGCGATCATCAGCTCGCTGAAGAGGTAACTGAGGACAAACTCAGGAGAGTGAGGCATCAACTCGAACCTGGCGATGTCATTGAGGCTGTTAGCACTGTCTGCCGAGTATCCGGCGTCGATTCCTTTCGTAAGCGGTCAAACTGCTGACTTGCTGACTGGCATTCTCAATCGTTGATTCTTAGTTGGCATGTTGATCTTCGGGCGTACCCACCTGTACATGTTAGAAGGCCTCGTAGAGAATAGTGAAGGCGAAGTTATCGATGCAGGTGATGCGCCGGAAGGATTGTTCCTTATATCCGGAAGTGCCGTGGACGTTCGGAACTCGCAGCGGGCTCCACGATGGTATAGAGAACACTTTTCTATTCTATCTTTTGTCATACTGAATATATTCTGGGACAGGTCATTAGAGCAAGTTTCAGGCTTCTCTGACAGGATGTTCCTTTTCCAGGATGTAGGGTGAGATGCGTCACTCACTGCATGTCGCTTTACTGACCCGGTCGTCAGGTTCGAGATCTTTTTCAAAGATAGCCGCACACTGCTGGTTATTTTCCTTGATAAGTCACGTCGCCAAGTGGCCTCCCAGATGCTTTTGTCGATAGCCTTGAAAATGAGGACATCCGACCCCAGTTCGACACCTAGATCTATTACACCCAAAGCGCTTTTGAGAAGTAGATCATCCACTAGCGCAGTAGAAAAAGAACTCCAATTGGCGCAACAACAGTGGCAGAACAGAGAGCTAAGCAATGTGTGTGATGTTTACATCTCTTATTTCAACACTCACTTTGAAGCAGTTTGGTTATTTGAGTATTCTCAATCAACTGTCAGGACGTACCCCAAACGATGCAACTCAATACCCCGTTTTTCGTCAGTGGCTTTTACCTCCTTATTCACAAGCAAACTCACGGCGACTTTTAGCTTGGGTTCTCAATGATTATGTTTCGGAGGTACTAGATCTTTCATCTACTGATGTGTTTAGAGAGTGAGTTCGTAGACTCCAGATCGTAGACTCCAATTAACATAACAATTCAGTCTCACTAAGCCTATGGGAGCGTTGACGGCTGAGCGTCGTGAGGCTGCGGAAACTCGCTATACTAACCTGAGCAGTGTTGATGAAGAGCCATTCCACTACGGAACACACTTCAGCTCGTAAGTTTATTCTATTTGCCCATATATATATATTGACACCGAGTACAGATCGATGATCGTTTGCCACTTCAATATTCGCATGCAGCCGTTTACCAATATGTTCAAGACGCTACAGGTATGTTCCTTTTTGGTGCGGAAAACCATCTATTTATCCCCTCAGGGAGGAAACTGGGATTTGCCCGACAGGCTTTTTGCGTTAGTCTTTAGTTGGAATCAGGATGTGGGGCAACATGTAATGATTTATACTTCAGTGATATCAGGAGAACATATTCCTCAGCGTCGCATGACATCCGAGGGGATGTGCGTGAATTGATACCCGAATTCTTTACTTGTTCGGAGTAAGTCCTCCGATTGCTGTCCCGTTCAAATTGATAATGATTACTACGTTCAGATTCCTCGAGAATTCATCAAATCTCGACTTCGGTATCTCTCAAACTACGGGAGAACGGATTCACAATGTTAAACTGCCTGCGTGGGCAAAAGGAGACCCGCTCCTGTTCATCGTAATGCATCGCCGTGTAAGTTTTACTATGGAAGATTGTTTTGATTAACTGATTTTATTCTGGTGCGTAAACAGGTTCTTGAGGGCCATTACGTCAGCAAGAATCTTCCCGCTTGGATAGATCTCATATGGGGATGCAAGCAACGAGACGTGGATTCGGTGAACGTTTTTCACCCTCTCAGTTACGAAAGCGCAATTGGTAGGTTTCTCTCTCGGAATTTACTTTTCGTTGATGGGCATGTACAGATCTGGACAAGATTACCAACGATCTTGAGCGACAAGCTACTGTTGGAATCATCCACAATTGTGCGACAGCCCTTGTCCCAGTCACATGAAACAGTCAACTAATAGCAATGCAGTCGGGCAGACTCCCAAGAAGCTCTTCACCTCACCACATCCACCACGAAATCTTGAAGGGTTCCTGAGTCTCCCTGTCACGATAGCCCGTGGTGTCCCTGAGGACGCACTTGCGTTAGCAAGAGATTCCAAGCCTTTCAAAGGCAAGTGTCCCATTTTTTTGCTTCGTTCGTTTCAAGCTTTTAACTATTTGACGCAGTTGTGCTGGATAGTGCTGTGTCGAATATTTCCGTCGACCTGTTTGAGGGGAAATATAGCGGTATCCGTCCGTTGCCTCTTGGAGCGATTGGCCTCCCTTCGATTAGTCATGAACAAATCGAATGGGATCATAACGCGAGTGATCGCTCACTGCGATTGGTATCCCACGGAAAAGTACTCAACTTTTTGTTACGATGGTCTCAGCTAATGTAGCCCTCTCAGGTCACGCAAGTTATCGAACAGGTAACACTCACGTGTGCTGCCTTCGCAGACCAGGACACTCTAGCAACGGGTTCCGGTGATAATATTGTGCGTGTTTGGCGCGTCAACCAAGGTCAAGTGGCGCCTTCGGGTTTTGTTGGAGCTTCGGGGCGGTCTCGCAGGCATGCATCTTCAACACTGTCGATGACGCATCTCCTCAGAGGACATACTGAACGTGTGGCGTGTATTGCAACATCGCGTACATGGTCCGTTATTGTCAGTGGCAGCGAGGACGGGAGTGCCATCGTTTGGGACCTGAACAGAGGGTCTTACCGGCATTCAATTTGGCACGGCAATGAAAGCCTAAGAGCAGAAGTGTATCTATCTGCCATCAATGAGTCTACGGGATACATCGCTACTTGTTCCGTTTCCCACTTAATGTTGCACACAATCAACGCGAGACCAATTGCCAGACTCGACACTGCGCGCGCACTGATTACTTCTCTGGCGTTCCATGAACGTGAATATTCGCATTTGGATATCCTTGCCACGGGTCACGACGATGGTTCAATCACGCTATGGACATGGAACGCAGACGGAACTCCAGCCGGAATGCAAGCGCAATGGGAGTTTGTTGAAGTTCGTCGGATGAATTCTGGAGAGGGGGTATCTGATGTTGCTTTAGGATCTGTTACCGCGCTCAAGTTCATCGGGTATGGGGACAGTTCATTCCAATCTCAAGAAAGCTTACTGACAAAGGTCACTTCTCCTAGTGAACGCCTTTGCGCTGGTTATGCTTCTGGATTGACATATATGTGGACCATTCCTACTTAATGTCAATTGAAACATCGATTGTCGGACTTGAACTAGAGATGATAATCCTTACCCGAAAGATGGGGGATACTGTAACTTGAGTACTTACTTCAAGGATTGCACTCAAATCACATCAATGAATATTGAAATTCTGGCCACCCAGTAGTGCTGATTATGTAATCATTAGTTACTTTCTTCCTAGTGTCACCCCCTTGGTCACCCTTTTCAACAATTTTTGATGGTTTTGTATCTTGCTTGAAACATGTCTACTGCAGGGGAATCTCCTGCGGGAGAGTTGTCAGAGTTTGACACGCAATTTGAACCTCGGTCTAACGATGACGATGCTCTATGGGAAGTCATAGAAATCGTTGCCGAGCGGGGTAAGAAATATCGGGTTAGGTGGGCAGGCAACGATCCCAAGACGGGGAGGCCGTGGGCGTTAGACTGGGTACCCAAGCATGACTGTACAGATCACCTTGTAGAAGAGTGGAAGAGGAAAAAGGCCGCGAAGAAACGTCAATCGAGCAAGACTGGTAAGTGCCATTGTAACAGCAACAAGTCTGACACGTATCATTCCTTCTATCAGGTGGCCAGAAAACTGCTTCACGCGCCTCGACGTCTTCGAAGGTTTCTGCGACTTCTACTTCCCGAAAATCACGCTCTCTTGCGGAAGAAAGCGTCCCTATTTTAACAGACTATGATGAACCTCCTCGTGCTCAAGCATCAACATCAAAAGCACAGGTCTCGTCTTCAAAGCGTAAACGTGCAGATATGGCAAAGGACCTATCAAGTTCAAGCGACTCGGTGAATCCTTCAGAGTCGGAGCATCCAAGGAAGAAGAAGAAACTCATCACTGGTGAACAAACCAGTACGAAGTTGAAGCGCAAGGCTACACAACGCGCCCCCGCTAACCACAGTCAATTTATCGAGTCAGATGCCGATGATAACGTCGTTGCATCAGGCGGAGTAGGCGATGGAATTTCAGTCACTAGAGTTGGTCCGCCTAGAAAACGCGCCGTGCCCAAGCCCAAAGACGACGTCCCCTCATCCGCCACTGATCATCGTCGCGTCACGACCACCCAAAAACCTGAAGAATCCAGTGGCCCAAGTCGAAATGTGCAGTCATTTTCGAAGAACGATGTTATCGAGTTGTCATCTACAGAGGAAGCCGAATTGATACCCAACTCGAAAAAGCCACCCATAGCTCGCTTCGCTAATAAGAAGACAACATCAAATATAGCACCACAAGAGACTGCAGCCAAACACGTCGTGACTCAATCCTCAGTCGGATCACGCATTCCTACTCCTGCGATACTCCATCCCAGGAAGTCATCTTCAGTCTCTCCCCCTCCAATTTTGCTGCGCCAACCATCATTGTCTCCTGCCGCCCTAGCTCGCTTAGAGATATTTGACCGCATGATGGGCATCGTTTCGGATAAAGGTGACGGAGATCCTTATGCAAATATGGGCGAGAATGCAGACTATGGTACTGCAGATCCTTACGACACGCCTCTTAATCCGCCTCTTAAGTTTATAACGCCTCCACCCACGACTGCTACTGCGACAGGTTACAAGAAACCTACCAGCGATTCACCGTTTTCTGGGATTGTCCCAGAGACAGAGTCTTCGCAGTCCCAGCCTTCACTTCCCAATCACATGACGAATGGGAAGCACACCGATCAGCCGCCACCACCCAAACAACCTTCTTTCCCAAGATCTACTTCAAGGAAGGCCCAGGCAGCATCAGCCTTGCCTACCGTCGCTTCAAGCAGTGAAGTGCCACTTCGACCACGGAAACTACCCACAAAGCCAATTCCACGTATCTCTCCCAAAACCTTTCGTAAGACGGTTGAATCGCTCACCACAGAACATGATAACGAACCTCCGATGAGCTCCATTGAAAGCTTCCCATCTCCGCGGAAAGATAAGGGAAAGCGGCGATACTCTGGTCCTGACGAATATTCAAGCGACGATGAGCTTGTTCCTGGTGTCACTGATGCGGCACTGCAAGCTAGAGGGAAAACACTGTATGAGCAGGCTTTGCGCGAGAAGGAACTTTTCCAAGTTGCCGATAAACCACCTAAGAAAACTATCAACGACCTTGCACGATTACATGCGCCTCTGGCTATGACAAGCAACGGCAAACAGTCGAGATCAGACACTCACCCATTCGCGTCTAACAAGGGAGCTCACGAGGGAGACTTCGAAATGGTTCAGCAGATGGAGGATGCATATGTTGACCTCAGCGGAGGAAATAGCACGACTATCGACACTTTCACACAAAGTGGGCCCCAAGACAAAGAGACTCAGCGTATCCTTCTTCGTGAGGAGGACGAGGAATGTACGCAGGAGGCCTTGTTCAGTGGCAATCCAGCGCTTGTGGTGCCAAAGGTAGATGTTGTGGAAAAAATTGAAGTGCGACGGCAGGATGTAGCCATTGACGATACAGAGACGGGCAATGATAATGATGGTGTTCAGGTTCGTCGCTAATATATTTTGTTGGCTCCCACCTCATTTCATTTAGCCGCCTCCTGTACCTACGGAGCCAGGGGGAAATAACCACGAATCGAATCAGCCTTCAATGCATGCAACGCATGCAGATGACTTACAAGTTGCCAGTATGATCGCCAACCCAAGTCAGGGTCAGCAGCAAGGCAGGGATGATGAAGATTTTGATACGTCAAATATTAACTTGAACAGTTCACCAACACGTAGTGTACCGCAGCACGATGTATGTATCGCATTGCAGCCCAACTTTACCGATAGACTAACTAACCCCTTTACCTTTTTGCACAGAGCGACGTGACTGTGAGACGGCTCAATCAGGCACTGTCCGCCCTCCACAAGAAGTCTGACGAGATTCAAGCTTTACAAGTTGCATTGGCACTTGAGCGCGAGAAAACTTCAAAACTCGAAGCCGAGGTAAAGGCGGCCTGCCAGCCCCCAAGCGCGACTACTCGAGAAGGAATCGCATCAAACGCCCAGCCCGTGGGCACAATGCACACCAATTCAGCTGTTTCTGAGCTTGCCGACATGAGAGTCAAGTGGAACCAAGAGCGCGCAGTTTGGGAGGCGGGGTGCCGTAATTTGGAAGAGGATATCGTGAGGCTCACCGCTGAGCGAGATCGCTTTGAAACCAAGGCACGCCCGGTTGACGAGCTTAGAGCGGCTTGGGATGCGGACCAGGCGACTTTCCGGCGAGAACGCGAGCTATGGGAGAATGAACGCAAGAAATTGGATCTCCAAGTGGCCGAAATGCTTGGTGAGCGGACCGGATGGGTGGAGGAACGTGATCGTCTTGCTGCTCAGATCAAGTCGTTGACGGAGACTTGCGGCACCTTTAAAGCGGCGCGAGCTCAATGGGAACAAGAACAAACAGTTATCACGGCGGAGCGTGCTGCATGGGTATCAGAACGGGAGAATTGGGCACAACAACAAACAGCAAGTGCCCGAGAACGTGCGTTGTGGGACGCGCATCGAGAAGCCATGGAGCTACAAAGTACCAAATGGGAAGCCGATCGTGCTGAATGGGTACGTAGCAAGGAACTTTGGGAATCCGAGCGCGAAAAGTGGTCTGCTGAGCGCGCCTCCATGATCGAGACGCACGAGGCACTTGTTGCGGACGTGACGAGATCAAATTCTTCTTTGGACGCCTTGACTCGCTCCAAGGGTCTGGCTGAAAAGGACCGCGACTTTTTCCGTGATCAATACACGCAGGCTTCTAGTTTCGTGAACATCACCAGAACAGAGAATGTTGAGTTGGAGCAGAAGGCTAAGATTGCAGAAGGTCAGGCACGCGATGGAGTTACTCTGATCAAACACATGTTCGAGGTAATTTATCTGATTGTGTTTGGTTCATCTCTTGACAACGTTGTGATACAGAGTCAGATAAAGGCGCTGAAAGAAGACGTCGATCGATGGAGGGGTGTTTCCGCCCTTCTTCAGGAGAAAGATCGGCGAACAGATGATATTGTCAGACGGCGTGCTGCCGAACACCCTGAGCTTGTAGAACGATGCCGGCAACTGGAATGTCAGGTTGGCTCCTTGCGTGCTGACCTCATCGAGCTTGGACGTAATCATCAAAAGTCTTCCGTGGAGCACGACAAGATTCAAGATCTGAAACTCTCCGAAGCCCGAGAGCACGATCAGATGCCCAATTTCCATTTGATGAAACTGTCATACGCCGAGCTTGAACCAGGTGAAATTGTAGAGCTAAACGGTCTGTCGGATCCAGACACCAGCTCCCTGAGCCAGGTGGACGCTTTAGGAGTTGACGTTAGCCCGGGGGAAGCCGATGAGGACGAGTGTGGGCTGTATCCCTGCAAATGGAAAATTGGCGCCGACATAATCGACCAATGCCAGCAGTCCTTTGACTGCAGAGAGGTAGGTTCAGTTCTCTAAACCGATTAAGTAAGTTCTCAACGCCAGTATAGGATCTGGATAGGCACATGCGTGATCATCATTATCGCCCTCAACTAGAAGCGAGCGGTCATGTCTGAGTTCTGAGTGATGATCGGATCTTATTTTTTTACTGTAAGGGGTATCTGCATTCTGATCTTCACAGAAGGCAAACAACACATGATAGTTTTTGGGACTCGTGTCAAGTCATGATGATATTTGGCGTGACTTTTCATTGCGCCCAAGGAGCGGATCTACGTAGTTCAGATCTTTCAGAGGTGATATAACATTCCTGCTTTTATGATACATTCGTAACTTGTTCGTAACTGCGCCGCACTGTAGCCACTACCACGCCACTCTCTGATACCATATGACCATGGCCAAGATTTTACTCCTCGTCTCGCTCTTTCTGACATTTGCGTTCTCGGTTGTGGGGTTGTCGGTTGTGATCAATGCTCTAGTGAAGTGAGTAAAGACTGTAACTTCCACGAGGACTGAATTGAAGAGTCACAATGAAGGTCCAACCAAGAAGACTCGTACATTAGGAGCGTGGCCCCTAATGGCACCATCGTGGATATTAACTATCATGGTAAGGTGCTTGTGAGACACGTAATGGGCTTCTTTGACGCTCGTCTCAAGACATCTACTCGGTTTGCGCTGTCATGGCGGCAGCCTGCGCACTTTTGACAGTCCTCTCCCTCGTCTCAGCTTTCTCCCAAATTTCATCAATCGGGAGAAAACAGCGCCTTGTGCGCCTCCAAGTTTTTCTCATATTGTTTGGCGCCCTGTGGCTTTTGGCTACTGTCATCGCGTGTGATGTTCTCTTCGCCACTCGATCAACCAAAATCACAGCAACTCTGAATGGTGTTGCACTATCTCAAAGTGTCATTCAGCAGTTCGAGCAAAGTATCGGTGTCTCACCTGAATATAGTAAGCAGAGCTACCGTGCGTATTATAAACCAGTTATAGTATTCGATCTCCGTGCTAAACGAGACAAAGTGCGACTATGTGCGATCCTTCCATGGTTCGCAGTTCTTTTCGCAACACTCAGCGGACTGTTACTCCACAAGGCTGCTAGGAACATCGATGGCTATAGGAACGCGGAGGCAACGGAGTCGGAGAAGATTGCACGAGCCTCTAATGAGTAATAGGCTTGAAACATGGGATGATCATTCGTATAAAATTTGGAATCCACTGCATATCTTGTGTTGAATTATAGTTACTGTAGTATATATACCAGCTGGTGCTTAATGACGGCACGCGAATACGACTTATGAATCTACTGCTGATCCAGAGAGATCTGTATCACGATTTTCCTTCCTCTCACACACCGAATTCTCATCTCCACCTTTAATAGCAGGTGCGAAGTTGGATTTAGGTCCGTTGAACCAGTGCACACCTCCATATACTGGGCAGTAATACCAGAAAACAGAAAGCGACATGTATCCTCCCAGGACAACGACTGTATAGTTCATCGTCTGGGCATTTATTTGCGCGGTGGAAGGGAAGAAGAAAATGATGATCATGAAGACCATCCACGATACAGCGATCGTAGCGATAGGAAAACTCTGCGCGAGGAAATTAGCAGGAATACCATGACATTACTACAGCTCGACTGACCAGTCTCCCAAGATTAAATGGGCCAGGTTTGAAATCGTTCTTGAACACAAAGCGAGTCGCGATTGGCGTTATGTAAGAGACGTATGATGCGGTGACAGCAATTGTGAATACCGCGTCGATAGCCTGGGTGCCTGCAAACGCCAAAAGTCCGATTGCGAGAGCAAGGGCGGCGTCAAACCAGACTGTATTAACTGGTGTTCTTGTATAGCCATTGATCTGGTATAAATACTGTGAAAATGGGAGGGCTCCATCGCGAGCAAATGCAAAGGTCTGGCGAGAGCCGACCAGGAGACAGCTGGACCCCATCATGTACCTGCTCTGCGATTAGCCTATGGACGTACTGCATGTCGATAAACCGCACTGCGCTAAAATAACGAAACACCAGAGAGCTAAGGCTCCACTCTTTCCGAGTGAATTATACAAGATCTGCGCCATGGGCTGGCCTATGGGACTAGTTAGGATGGCGTTAAGGTCAGTGCCCATGCAAAAGGCAAGCGAGACGTTGATTCCTAGATAAGAAGATGTCCTCAAAATCATAGCGATGTTGTACATCATTCCACATACCCCAGCCAAGGATGGCTGACATGGCAATGGAACTAATCTAACTGGGGTAAGCTGAATAATCGCTCATTTTCTAGTGTTACTTACAATTGCCCATGGTATCGCGGTAGCGGCATTCGAGGCTTCCTCGCTCATATGCACGCTAGAATCATAACCCCCTGGTGGGTTGGGAACGTGAACCGACAATTCAGAATAAGATGTTCTAACCTATCGTATACAGAGGAGCCATTAAGCTCAAAATGAATGCAAACACCGATGGCCAGCCGTCCACTACAACTGATCGTGAGCCGCGATTTTAACTGGCACATAATACATACAACTTGTAAAGCTCCCTAGTGCAAAATTCGCGCTGTTTCGGTATTTTGATGGCGTTGCGATCGGGAGTACAATGATGACTATGACGCAGAGGCTCCAGGAATGTTCAAAAAACGATCAGAGAGGAATACATAATACTCACCACACATTTAGCAAGATGTATAACCTCTGCAGTCTTGCCAAGAATTTGGTACCGAGGCTGACGAGGATGGCATGTGATAACACTAACGCTGCATATATGCCGCTGGTGACAGACAATCATAAAGGGTGTGATGTCGGGAAGAGGACGGGCTCACTAAAGCTGCTCGTTGGTCGTTGCATACGCCTGGTCAGAGGCGATACCAACTGCTGCAGTGATTTGAATTGCGCAAGCCCAGTCCACAGAAGCTAGTCCCACGATATCAGAAACAGGTTGTGTGAAGGAATGAAGCTTGTTACCGACTGCTGTGATGGACTGTATAGTATTTGAATCTGCGGAGGTCAGCACGGGTTGCATATCATGTCAAACTCAAACATGGGACTTACAGCCAACTATCCATGCCAGAAAATTGCGACACCGTGGAGAGGCAAGTGAGTAAGTCCAATAAACTTTGTTGAGTCAAGTCTGTGACGACGACAGTCTAGGACATACACCACCGGAAGTAGGCGCTGCTGACGCGAGTTCTGCCATTGCTAATCCAATACACATGATAAAACCACTGGCAATCGCCCACTGCGCAGAGGAAGAGTATGAGACTTTATGAGAGAGTACTCTTCGCATATGAATATCAACACTTACCCCCCAGACCATCGCGAGAGGCCCGCCATTTGGGACGGCATAGAATAGCACAGATCTGAGTAGCTTTGTCAGTAAACAAGCTATGCTCAGTGTGTCGGAGCGGCAGCTTACGCTATAGAAGGGAGTAGTCCTATATAGCTGAATGCGACTCCAAACACCTGTACAATGGGTTTGATTACGCGTGTGTTTGAGTCATTGGCAAGCCTACCTCTAGTGGAGTGAATGCCCTGTGAAACTCCTGCTTGTATCCCAACTTGGCAAGAATCTCCTCGGAGTCGTCTGTGTTTGGTTGTAAGTGTAACTTGGAGGCTGCGGCAGGAGTCCTTGTAGCCATACTAGTACGCTACGAGTTGCAGAACTGCAAGGGCAACCGTGACTTTGAACGAGCCGAAGTCTTCAAGCAAGAGCCGAGAATTACGCATGATATACCAATGTATCAACGTAAGTTGACTTAGTTATACTCATATGGTGCCAGGTGGACCGAACACTGGTAAGACCAGGTCCTCGGAAGTGCCAGGGGTCCTAGCGACTAAGCGCAGCGGTAGGTTCGTACTAGTCTGCGAAGTTGTAGTTTCAAGTTGTCCTCGATCATATATGAGAGAGTTGCAGCCTCTCGCTAGAGGTTTGGCCTCGGGTTTCCCTTGCAGTCGGTACCCTGTCCAACCGCCGGAGACAGTGATAAAACAGCATGTATAGTAAGCAACTCGATCGCGAGCACTACTAGTACGTATCAAGAAGTTTGTCCAGTTAATATCAGATATTTTAATTTCCCCCACATCTTGTTCTTATCTAGCAATCAATTCGCTCTACATCCCCGTTCTCGAGTTGCTCATCCTTTGCAAGTAGTAGATCATGTTGACAACCACCAACGTTACCTGGCTAGACCTACTACTATGCCTTACCGGTGTTACAGCCGGAGTCTATCTGGTAAAGCAGGTGGTCAAGAAGAATCCTGCACCTTATCCACCTGGTCCCCAAGGGTGGCCTCTCATTGGCAATATTCTAGACATGCCTCGCGTCAAGCCCTGGCTCACATTTACTGAGTGGGGTCAGAAGTATGGCGAGTGCCTTCCTTTTTCCAAAGTCACGCATTTTCAAAAATATTTTCTGCAGGTGATATCACACATATTAAGATTCTGGGTCGGCACATCATTGTGCTGAACTCTGTCAAGGCTGCAATGGAAACGATGGACAGTAAAAGCATTGTGTACTCTGACCGTCCTGTTCTTCCCATACTTGGCGAACTTGTTGGCTGGAAGAACGCTTTGCCTTTCATGGCTTATGGTCACCATTTTCGCCTGCAGCGCAGGAACTTCCATCAGGTCATTGGAACTCGTGCCGCAGTGGAAGTATACAATATGAGCGAGGAGGTTGAAATTCGCCGGTTTCTGAAGCGTGTGCTTGCAAAACCCGACCAACTGCAGGAGCATATTCGACAGTATGTATTATTTATCCTCGCAGTGATACTATCTTAGATTTTTACTATAGTACTGTTGGCACTGTTATTCTGCGCATCTCTCATGGTTATGAAGTGCAAGAGAACAATGATCCTTTCATTGACCTTGCAAACCGCGTTACAACCTATGCCTCGCAGGCCGCAGCTCCCAGTGCCGTTATGATTGATATCTTGCCATTCTGTGAGCTACATTATTCTGATGTTTGCGCTGGCTTCTGATGATCTGGCAATCTTAGTGACAAAGGTCCCCGCTTGGTTTCCCGGTGCTGGCTTCAAGCGCACAGCACGTAAAGGGCGTGAGAACCTTGAAGAGATGGTTTCTGCACCCCACAAGTTTGTCAAGGACCAAATGGTGACCAATTTTCAGTTTTGCGATCATGGATTGAAGTTCAAATCTTCCAGATTGCCGGCATCGCCCCTGTGTCTTTTACCTCGACTCTCTTGGAAGGCAGTGATGTGTCTGCGGAAGAGGAACACGGTGTGAAGTGGTCTGCTTTTTCCCTAATCACCGGTGGTACCGATACGGTCTGTCCTTCCCTATAACATCTTTTGAGAGCACCTAACCTATTTCCTCAGACTGTTGCTGCATTATACTCGCTTTTTTTAGCTATGACACTTTTCCCTGATGTGCAGAAGAAAGCTCAGGCTGAAATAGATGCAGTTGTCGGTCCTGACCGTTTTCCCACCTTTGCCGACCGTGACTCCCTCCCCTATACTAATGCCCTTGTCAAAGAAATCCTCCGCTGGCATGTTGTCTCTCCTGCAGGTATCGAGATCTCGTTTATGACACCACTATTTGATGATGGGTATCTCAATGACAGCTCTCCCTCACTGTGTGACTAAAGACGATATCCATGACGGGTACTATATTCCAAAAGGCTCCATAATCTTACCTAACATTTGGTTAGTCCTCCCCTTCGAATGATGAACAGAATAAGATGTTCTGAGTTGCAACAGGTTCATGCTCAACGATCCACGGACATATGCTAGCCCCTCGCAATTCAATCCTGAACGCTTCTTAGCTAAGGATGGAAAGGAACCCGAGACGGAGCCTCGCACAGCCTGCTTCGGATTCGGTAGACGGTAAGGATATAGCAGGTTTTGAGCGTGAATGCTAACTCCTGGCTCCACAGTATTTGCCCAGGTGTGTCAGACTCGCGTCAATCGACAAACATATATCTGAGCTGCTAACTTTTCATTGGACATTGACAGCCCTCCACCTCGCCGATGCCTTCATTTGGATATCTACTGCAATGTCACTTGCTGCGTTTGATATTTCAAAGGTCGTCGAGGATGGTGTTGAGATCACACCTGAAGTCGATCCATCCACAGCTTCATCCAGGTATGTCGCATATTTTGTCACGTTCCGCGCTAGTTTGAATATACACACTCCCAGCCACCCTAAACCCTTCAAGTGTTCTATCAAGCCTCGCTCCGCAATTGCCCTTGAGCTCATTGAGCAAGATGCTAACTACTAAGTGCACGAATGATGAGACTGGAGAAACACAGAGGGATAACATTTATGAAAGGTCAGGTTTTTTTTGTTTTATCAGTGTTTGTTGTCCATTAGTAGACAAAACGTACAAGTGTATACTATGAAATGCTATGTGCTTCGATGAGTCATGCGATGTGGGGCTGATGCGTCAATGTCATGGAGGCGTTTGTAGCATGGGGAGTCGCATAATGTTCACTGCCTCACGTTGTTTCAGAGCTGATGTGTTAACATGACCGCACTATTTCTGGATATCAAGGATTTCGGCAGTGCGTGAGGCTCATGATGCTTAGGAGAAAGGTTTCCTCATCACAGTCGCAAGACCATATAGAGCGGTGCGCGGAGAGTCCGAGCCTATACTTGCCAATGTTCCCAACCCCGGTAGCTGCTGCTGGTTCTCCTGAAGAATTCGTACCGTTTTAGTGGCATATTGGGTGTGTTACCCTCTGAAGAACCGGCTTATCGCGTACTGTAATTATAACGCTTATTCACACACATACCTTTCTGATGAGCGAAACTCACGAAACAATTAGACGATTTCCCTAGAAAGCTCCATGGCAATGAGGAGTTGGTAACACCTCAGTCCGTAATTCTGTCGCCCCAGCGCACTGCATCGTTTCAAGAGAATAGCAGGAGCTGATAAATGAGTGAGGTTTTTTCGCGAGGATTGTATTCACTTGATACGCGGATGACAAGATAACAAAATCTATTCATATAGTGGACGACAGGTGTAAGGTTGTGTGTGAGTTCGAAGGGGAAAGTGAACAAAACGAAGTAGATACGAGACGAGTGCAAAGGTAATCGAGACGAGGCTTTTTGGTCGTGCTTGGAGCAGGGATCTGAACATAGAATTTGCTGACTAGACTGGAATGAGAATGAGGAGCATGTGGAAAGAGTAAAGATATAGGTCGAGGTACGGGGATCGTGGAACGAGAGCACGAGGTAAATTAACGAAAGAGTAAAAGAATGGAGAGGGATGTATCTGACTCGGCGAAAGATCAATGTGTCATGTGGATGGTTTCGAATGCATGGCTAAATCGAGAATTGATTTTGAAGCGTTAGTCGGGGCGTAAAGGATATACTATCCTTACACAGGTTACGGTTTGATCTAGCATTACAGGCGTACCTGTAAATCCGTGTCACTCTCTCAACACAATTCCCTTGCTTGCAGACTGGGACTCGAGTAGCATGGGGCGACCTTGGCCTGGTAAAAGAGTGATGGTGGGCTTTCAGATCAGTCGGCAAATAGAACTGTAACCTATCATCCACCACGTGTCCGAGCCTATTCCACTGGGAGATATTGGTAAGATTGGCCTTGTCAGCTACTTAGTTGTATACCATACCTTGTAGAGACAAAGTTCATGGCTGCTGTCAAAAAGCCTCATGGACGACATAGTTCACATGGATACAGCAAGAACCCCGCAGGAATGTGGGGAATTCATGTAGTGTATCTGTGCAATATCTACCAATGAAGTCGGAGCTACACTCCAATTGGGAGCCTTGTGCCCGAGATTGACTACATTGGGATGTCACAGGATCTAAGAATGAAGACTATCAGCTCAAAGGGGGGCAAATAGAATACATGCAGTATGATTGCCCCAACAACTTGGCTTGATGCATGATGTACGATTGATAAAACTTCATGCAGCGTGTTTTGAGGATGTGTAACGGAGTTACTATCAACTGACCACTAGTGCTAGTGACGGGAGAACCCCGAATAGCAGACTTTTACCCTATCATTCGACCGGGAACATTCTTCGCCGATCGGTGTCGTTGTCTTCGAGCCCATCGCTAAATAGTCAGCGCCACAGCGTGCAAGTTGCAAATTTTACGCCAAGCAAATACATACAAATTTACGTGTCCAAACGGAGTGAGCGTTTACAAAACACTACTGTATTCTGTGCACTGAAGCCCCTGGATGGCAGAAAAACATCCCTTGCAGTTCTTATGAAGAACTACTCTGCACCGATTTTGAAAATGGAGATGAACGACTCTGGCCATTAGCTTTATACTAGCTAGTACCTTACTTGGGGTGCAGTATTCCGCTCGTGACACGCTTGGATAGTACTTACGTGAACTGCACAAGGTTGGGAATGCTTTTGTATCTCCCAGAAGCAACCCAGAAGCAAGCCTGAGGGTGACCTATTTGGCTTGTAGGATCACTGCCACTGCCATGCGCATTTCGGTGAGTTTTCATGCTAGTTATTTGGCAACTTCAAGTCTTTAGCAGCACGTCAGGCTATATAAGTGCTGGCTGCCGGCTCAAAAATGAGCAAACAATCAGACCATGCTGTCTCAAGCCTTAGAGAGCGGTCGTCGTATCAGCCGGCACATCATGACATTATTCTTGTTCACAAAGTCCGATGTGTTGACAGTTCTTATCCCAATCGTGCGTGCCCCTACATGTTGCTTGTATATTCCTTGACATCACTTTGTGCATCAGACTCTATCTACCTTCGCAGCTGCTCCCCATCCCGATGTAACTCGCATGCCGGACATCATCATATGGATATGGCTGCACCTCCTGAAACATGACATATGCAACCAAATGCAGGATCCAGAGGAGGACCGGAAAAACAAGCCTTATCGCCCTCTTCCTGCCGGTCTTATCACTGCTCAAAATGCGGCAGATGTGCGCTGGCTGCTAGTGCCGGTCTGCCTTATATTTTCTGCCATGTATGACATCAAGGCTCTTGCTTGTAGCGCTTTTCTAGAAGCCCTCAGCATCTGGTATAACGAGTTTGGTGGCGATGAGACTGGTCTTTCGAAGAATTTATTGACGACTATCGCATATGCAACTCTCGAATTAGGCGCAATGGTCGTGATTGGTATGTGGGCCGTGCTAGAGGACATAAGCAAGCTTTTTCGCTGACTAGGCATTTATGTTTTCATAACCAGGGTCTAGCATTGATAAGATTTGGGCACATGCAGTCGCCTTCAGTTCTGTAGTGTTTGCAACGACGATTCACGCGCAAGATTTCAAAGATGAGGAGGGAGATCGATTGGCAGGAAGACGTACTCTCGTCACTTTGTTCCCTGCCTTTGCACGCATGTCCATGATGATTGGCATCCCCCTTTGGTCACTCTACCTCAGCAGACTTTGGAAGGTAGATCTCGTCTCTTCTATCGCATTCATAGCATACGGAACGATTGTTGGGGCAAGATTCATGGTTTATAGGACTGCAGGTGCCCACAAACAATCGTGCAAACTATATAGCGTCAGTGATCTCGAGTCCGAAAATTCTACTTACTGACTCATTCCTTTAGCTATGGTACACCCTCGTCCACTTACTCCCCGGCTATTGGCGATTTTTCAACAGCACTTGAAATGGGAAGCCCAGTGCAATGTATTGTATTGCGAAGGAATGCTTGTAATAGTAGGTTGTAATTTTTTGCCGCATCTCGAATTTTTTGGGTAAAAGGCACTTCTTACATTTTTTCTATCTACTTCCTGTCCACCTATGAAGCCTGTTCCATCTAGTGTGCTGAATGTAACATTTTTTGAGACTCGATCGTGATGTAGCAATCACACAAAGCCTGGCGCTGCCTCGAAACCTCACGGGCACCCCTCAAGCCAGAGCGTGACCTCTGGAGGATCTCCCACCACTTGCTGCATTCGCCCATTCACCAGGAAAATGTTAGATCGTTTATTTAGTAAAAGACATAACATGAAAGATGATTCAAGAAAAATGCAAGTGAATTTGATTATAGCAAACACTGAACATTATGGAGACATGCGAAAAATTTATTTCCAAACAAATTAGGAAGACACGTCTCTATGTTCTAAGCTCGTCCAACTTCGACAAAGGATCTCAAGACGAACATGTCGAAGTCATCATTGCCGTTCGAGTTGCTGTTCACGAGTACGAGAAGGTTCAAATCCTGTAGTAGTTGCGAGGGAATTAATCGTTATCTTGTCTGGAAAGCGAGCTCGCAGGTGTGGCAGAGAATCATGATAGCGGTGGTACTGGTGCAGGCTCGTATTTTGGGATACCTGGCGATGATGCATTAATGACTCGGATACCGATAAGATACGAGCAGTACAATTCTAAGTTCTCCATACCTGAGGAGATGCAGTTGATGCCGGAGACATTGATGCTGAATAACTCGGTAACAGCGCGTCGGAGACCGAGAAATAATGTAGGATGGATTTGGCGGAGGGAAGGCAGGCTTTGGTGGAGAACGACAATGGTGGCCGTACGAGCGGGCGGGTGCCAAAAACATATCCTCAATCACTGGAGAAGGATGAGGGCCGCCAGCGAAGGTGATGGACGAGTGGAGTTTGGTCGGCGGAGGGCATACCCTGCCGCATGCACTGATGAAACTTGACTTAGGAGCTAGAGGAGCATGGTGGGTATTCTGGAGAAGCAAAGAGATGGGTAACGAAAAACCTGAGCTGTAGGCTTAGTTTATTGAAGTTTAGGTGGCGCCTTTCGTTGGATCATCGTTGGCAAGCGCCAGAAAGTTGTCTTGTTCATGGTCAAGAGGTTTTTGCCATCCTACTACTCGGGTAAGTCAGAGGCAAATTCGGCATTGCAGGTTTTCGAGGTCCTATCATTACGTTCTTACGTTACACTAGGCACGTACCTACAATGTTTTCAGGAACTTTTTGAGCCGAGGACTTCAAGGCACTTCATCACTCACATTTTCGAAATTCGAAGTTACCTCCAAGTTATTTCGCTTCGGCTACATAGCCAGAAACAATTTGCATACAGATGGTAATGGAACGATCTACATAGAAACCTGTAGAAAGCTGTGCAAGGGAGGAAATATTCCGGTTTGTTATTCGACATGAATGTTCGGATCGGACAAAACCGAAGTGACTCCTACACGGTCACTGCGGGGACTGTGGTCGCCGCTTCTTGATGATCCCGACATGTAAGTTAAGTTACAAGTACAGTTGACATCCATATCGTAACAATGCATGAACATTTGCAGTCCCGACAGTACTAATCACCAAATTGCCTTTCACTTCCGCACATGATGCAACCTCTTTCATCATCCGTCTCAGGCTGGGTCCATATTTGGCTTCCTGCACCTGTGCTTGTGCATTCTTAGATCCATTCAACTGAAAGGATCACGGAGCTAATTTGGCTACCAGGCCCGTGTGCTTGCCACAGATCGGTGTTTCCTCGACAATGCAAAACATTCCCATCATCCCATGTGAAAGTGGTATGTTGATGATTTCGATACTCGATGATATATTGCTTGAGATACCAACATTTAATAGATCTGTTCACAGGTTCATTGATGCTGTGAACAGCACACCTTGAGGTCGGGAATACTTTTGTGTCTCCCGGAAGTTGAGGTCACCTTTTGACCGAAGTCGAAAGAAGGGTAGGTTTGCAGGGTTACCGCCACTGCCACACGCATTCCGGTGAACTTTTATGTCAGTTAGTATTTAGTAATGTTATGTTTTTTTTTCACAGCACGTCGGGCTATAAAACTGTGGGCTGCTGGCTCAATAATGAGCAAACAATCAGACCAGCATGTTGTCTCAAGCTCTGGATAGCGGTCGCCGTATCCGCAGGCACATCATGACATCATTCTTGTTCACAAAGTCCGATGTGTTGACAGTTCTTATCCCAATCGTGCGTTTCCCTACATGTTGCTTGCATATCCCTTGACCTCGCTTTGTGCAACAGACCCTATCTACCTTCGCAACTGCTCCCCATCCCGATGTAACTCGCGTGCCGGACATCATCATATGGATATGGCTGCACCTCCTGAAACATGATATATATAACCAGATGCTGGATCCAGAGGAGGACCGGAAAAACAAGCCTCATCGACCTATCCCTTCTGGTCGTATAAATGTCCAAAATGCGGCGGATGTGCGCTGGCTGCTAGTGCCAGTCTGCCTGATATTTTCTGCGATGTATGGCATCAAGGTTCTTGCTTGCAGCGCTTGTCTAGAAGCCCTCAGCATTTGGTACAATGAGTTTGGTGGCGATAGGACTTGGCTTTCGAAGAACCTATTGACGGCCATCGCATATACAATTCTTGAATTAGGTACAACCATCGTACTTGGTACGTGGACTGTTCCAGAAGTCATAAGCAAGCTTGATCGTTGACTTGGATTTATATTTCAATAACCAGGATCTAGTATGGACAACATTTTGGCACGTGCAGCCGCCTTCAACTTTGTAATGTTTGCAACGACGATTCACGCGCAAGATTTTAAAGATGAGGAGGGAGATCTATTGGCAGGAAGACGCACTCTTGTCACTTTGTTCCCTACCTTTGCACGCATGTCCATGACGATTGGCATCCCACTTTGGTCACTCTGCCTTAGCAGACTTTGGGAGGTAGATATTTTCTGTTCTCTCGCATTCATGGCGTACGGAACTATTGTCGGGGCGAGATTCATGGTTTATAGGACCGCGAGTGCGCACAAACAGTCGTGCAAACTATATAGCGTCAGTGATCTCGAGTTGGAAAATTCTATCTACTGACTCGTGATTTTAGCTCTGGTTTGCCCTTGTGCACATACTCCCCGGTTATTGGCGATTTTTCTACAGCACTTGAAATTGGAAGCCCAGTGCAAGTCGACACAGGTAGCAATATATTACGAAGAACATACTTACAATAATGGACTAGATTATGTACTACATTTCGATGTCTTTGTGTAAAGGGCATTTCTATGTAAGCCTGGAGCTTACCACGTGATAAAGGCGTTCTGCATACTCTTTCGTTTCATGGGTAGTTGAGCGCTCAGCGCTCATCCTTTTAACTGGGGTATCTTCCATCGATGATATTGTTGGGATTGGGCATGGTATAATTGGCGAAGCAATCATGCGCAAAGTCGATCTGCCCAATTCGTTCATGCATCCCGCTGATGAAGCTGGGCAGTGCGCAGAGACCGTTTGAATCTTCCGTGCAGCCATGAATACCCGTCAGTGGCACTACAGCGTCGTTCAGAAGGAACCGGATATGAGTTGGTTCCTCTGAAGCTGGGCAACTCAGCACCTGAGCTACAAGCTGGCTGGAAAAAGGTGCAATCTGGCTAGAAATGTAAGACTGATGTGACTGGTCAGAAATAGAGACAAGCGGTGGTCTATGAGACTGCGTACACGGTGAGGGGGTATGTGGTCGGTTGGCAGAGGACCAGTTGCAGCTAGACTAGTAAAGTTCAGAGCAGTGACGACTGAGCCCTTCCGTCAGTAGTCTTGTATTGGAAAAGAAGTGGCAACATACCACTTGCAATGCCTACGCCGTGGGTAAAATCCACGTATATAGGTTGATCAAGAGGGAATGTGATGTTGCTCGAGTCAAGAGTGCCGTTGGTGCTGCTATTCCAGACATTGATGGGAGTGTGAGTGAGACGCGACACTAGTTCCTGAACATAGCCAAGGCCCTGCGCTGCTCCTGTTGGATTGCCTGGTCCACATGTGTACCAGAAATCTTTGTTCACAATCAAGTCATTAGTCACTCAGGCTGCAAGTTTACCACTCAATGTGCTCACCGAGATCTGCAAACAGAGATCACCGCCGAGCTCAGCAAGGCAAACAGCAAGGATCATTTGAGGGAACATACCAGCGTAATACTCGTATCCTTCCCATTCTTCCTCAGTGAAAAGGTCGCAAAACTTGGAATATCCGAGGGCCACGGTCTGCAGGAAGTCAGAAATCCATAAAGACCGCGTAAAGGATGAGGTTACCTCCAAGGCGCACAGTTCCTGCATGCCAACCAATAGTGAAATGGTCAAATTAACTCCTTGGATCATTGGTTGCAAGCGCCTTCGAGCATCTTGGAGATAAGCATTCGCCCATTTACTAGACTGAGTGTCACCAAAGTTACCGATATCCTCCGAATTGGCATTGGGGCAGGCTTCACAAGGAGCGAGGGTGTTGTTGAAGTTATTCTCCTGAATGATGATCTCTTGGTGATAGTCGGTCTCGTAAGTTCTGACATCAAAAAAGCCTGCAGCAAAGGTCAGGCTACCGGTAGCATTATTAGGCACAGCGCACGCAGAAACATGAATGAATTACTCACGCGGCATCCACCATGCGATCTATAGAAGTAGTGCGGAATACAGGGAGGTGGTCCGTGAACGCATTAAGCAACTCGCCATATCTGTAGCGGAAGGCAACCCCATTGCTAAACCTGATGAAGGGAAGCGTTAGTGGAAGTATCGTAAAGGAGAACGAACGTACATCGATTCACGGCCGAAAGGGGTCAAGCTAGTCGTGGCCAACTTATATGTCCAGGTGGCCAAGAATTTTAAATCACCAGTGACACTCAAGGCTTTTTTCGATGTAGCAGCATGAATTTCAGAAGCGAACTGAGAAGGTCCAGGCTCGTCGGAAGCTGGATAGCGGGCGCCGTGGCGCATCAAGAGATGCACACCATTGAGGCCACACCGTTCTGGGATGACGGGGGATGCATCAGGAAGACCAAATGACTCCACGGAGTACATGGGCGCGAAGTTGCCCCAGTGACGCATCACATTGAAAGTGGTGTCTGCGCCGTCTGCCGAATTGGGCCTCGACAAGGGAAATACGCCTTCGACCTTAGAGAACGGGACTGCAGTGACAATGGCCGCAGGTTCAGCACCAGCTGATTTTATTATTCAAGTTATGAGAACACAGGAATCAACATTATCATGACACTGACTAGGCGATGGACCTGCATAACCGACTTGAGATGCATCCGGGAAGTAAGTGTCAACAGCAGTGTTGGTGGCACCGGGAGGAGGATAAGAATTAACGACGGTTGATCCTGCGTAACTGGATGCTGACTCTGCGGTGCAGAATGGCAGAGCAAGCAGCAGAACGATGGCAAGCATGGCTTGATAAGTTAGAGAGGTCAGTAAGATTCCATACTTTATAGCAAATGTAAGCGATCATTATAAGTTTGATTCCGAACAGAATGCGAGAACAGGCCGAGGGGGGACGGAGCCTTGTTGGGTGACGAAATGACAACCTGGCATCACGTTATTGAAGCTTCAAGTGACTCTTATAATTAGTAACGAGTGTAGTATGCACAGCTGTACCTTACGTGTTTGTATACTACGCTAATCTTGAATTCATGATATAGTTTATGGTACGTGTTATTAATGTTATCGATTGATGCATCGATGAGGCTCAGCAAAAGACCCATAATTTTCGCTTGTCAAAGAGAAGTTTGATGCTTACGGTGAGCAACGACGTGATTGGTGGAACAGATTTTTTCGTAATATCGAACCATTACTAATGACGAGCTTCAAGCTGACTAGCGCTACTACTAGCGCTGACTATTTGTGCAAGTTGATACGGTCACGTGAATGAATTACTCTGACGCGTCAGAGGGCCAAGTTAATTGATGAGTGCGAGAGTCACCTACTTTGACTGGGTCTTGACAACAGCTTTTTTGAGTTAGGCCTCAACAGCCAACCTTCAAATCCCACTTGAGAACTCTATGGGTGAGCTCACTACTTTATTCGCGAGGCTCTCCCCTGGGCTCACCGTATGAAGCGCCTACAAGCTCTCACAGCTCAGGCTACCGGAGAGCACCAAGGCTGTCAAATTACGACATACAATGCCAGAATCACGAGTTGTCAAAGAAGCCTCGTCAGCATCCTCGTCACGGCCATATGGCTGACACTATTGAAAGCTGCGAACCCCAGTATCACAAGAGGGAGCAGTATACAGCAAGCCCGGAGCCCGGGGAGTGTCAAGAGCAAAGTCTTAGCAGTGTCTATATGCAACAGGAAACGCTGGAAGGTTCCAGCCAATTCTCGGACGTATCTGATCCCATAGGCCCCAATTTTTCCAAAGCTCTGGCGGAGGGTACAGCCATGAACTCACTCCATCAGCAACAGCCGGTAATAATCCCTGCGCAGATGTCCAGCACTCTCGGCTCAGATGTGGCAAATCAAGGAACGCCACTAAATCTCGCTAAGCTGCACCCATCTCTTCCCAACCGTCCAGTCTGTGCCGAGCCACCTCCCCGAATTGTTTCGACCACCGTAGCATCATCGCTGCGCGAGAAGTCACGATCAACCTCCAATAATCATGCAACATCCCGACTCACGCGCGATCTTTGGGATACTCGGCGGGAAATGACTGCCTTACAAGTACGCGAAACCGAGCTTGTAGCTTCATTGCGCCGTTTAGATGCTCCTCGCCACATCCTCGAGTCTCGACCAGTGCAAAAATTCTCAGGTGACTAGTTCTGAGCTGCATCCGGCCTTCGTTTAATATGATAATGCAGAGCTTGACGTTCGTCTCGCTGAAGTAGAGAACGAAATACGGCGAGAAAGATATAAGCGCCTTCAAGCCGAGCGAGGTCTCAATGAGATTGAGACGGAGAGGAGGGGTCCGTTTGTCGTTCCAGCTCTGTTTCGAGCGTTCTTGATGATTTCTGAGATGGATGGATAATCTCTCAGAGGTTCGTGTTAGCCGTGGGGCGCTTACTGAAGCTAACGCTACGTATTTTCGAAGGCTTCGAGTGACTGGGGACTAAAGCAGGGAAAATCCGTGTTACAACAACTACAATACTGCTCGATAATACCATTGACTAATATCTAGAACTAGACTCATGCGTCCACGATCAAGACATCTAGTCCTTGCTCTTTCCCCGTCTTCTCTGACGCCGATTCATCATCTTGCCCTTTGTCAGCTGATGCTATATTTGATACAGGTCCATCGAACCAGTGTACTCCTCCATATACCGGGCAGTAATACCAGAAAATAGCAAGGGACATGAAGCCACCTAGGACGACCACTGTATAGTTCATCTCTTGCACATTAGTCTGTGGGGTCGTGGGAAAGAAGAAAACGATATTCATGAAGACCATCCATAACACTGCGATTGCTGCGACGGGAAAGCTCTGCAAGAGACATGAGTATAAGCCCACATCAATTGCTTTCTGACCCACAAATTTCCCGAGATTAAATGGACCAGGTTTGAAATCATTCTTGAATGCGAAACGGGTCACGATCGGTGTGATGTAAGATACGTATGACGAGGTCACTCCGAGGGTAAAGATCGCGTTGATAGCTTGTGTGCTCGCGAATGCCAGAAGACCCATCGCAAGAGCGAGAAAAGCATCGAGCCAAACAGTATTGACTGGCGTTCTTGTGTAGCTATTGATTCGGTAAAAATATCGCGAGAAGGGTAGACCACCGTCACGAGCAAATGCGAACGTCTGGCGGGAACCAACAAGCAGACAGCTCGATCCCATCATATATCTGTTCATCTTTCAGAGCAGTATGGGAAGACTATTGTCAGGAGAACACACTGTGCCACGATGACGAGAGACCAGAGGGCTAATGCTCCTTTTTGCCCAAAAGAGTTGTAAAATATCTGCGCCATAGGTTGACCAATCGGACTGTTCAAGATGCCTTCGAGGTCACTACCCATGCAAAATGCAAGGGAGACATTGATGCCTGGAAGCCATTAGATTCGTAACAATACATTTGGCAACGTGACACGCACCCCAGCCAAGGGCTGCAGATATTGCAATAGAGCCGACCTGCTTGCATTAGTATTATAGCTACAGTATTTCTAGTCTCGCTCACAATGGCCCATGGTATGGCGGTAGTAGCATTGGATGCTTCCTCACTCATGTGCACGCTTGAATCATAACCACCTGTTGCACTGTCAAATAAAATGCGAGCGACAAAGGATAGACCAAACCTATCGTCCAGAGAGGCGCCAATAGACTCAATATGAACGCAAATCCAGATGGCCAACCGTTAACTGAGAGCGATTATCAGATGAGATGACAGTAGTAAATGTTACATACAGTTAGTAAAGTCCCCGAGTGCATAGCTAGCGCTGTTTCTGAATTCTGATGGCGTTGCGATTGGAAGCGCGATAATGACCACAAAGCAGAGGCTGCCTCGTGCAGTGAACTTGAAGGAACTAGGGTAAAGTGGAAATACAACACCTACCATACGTTCAGAAGGATGTAAAGTCTTTGAAGTCTTGCTAGGATTTGCGTCCCGAGGCTCACGAGGACAGCATGAGACAACACCAATGCTGCAAATATACCACTGCGACGGATCAGAGAAACTGGCACCTAGACAAGACATGAAGAACTCACTAGATCTGCGCATTGGTTGTCACATATACTTGATTAGATGCGATGCTAACTGCCGCTGTGATTTGGACCGCGCATGCCCAATCCACTGAGGCTAGTTTTGTAATTCAATAAACATTTTTTCATGGCACATGGAGTTCCTCACCAAGTCCTGCGATAGACGTGATCGTATTAGCATCTGCATAATACTTTGTGTCAGCGATACAAGTTTGAAAGGAAATATCATACTTACACCCAACTATCCAAGAGAGAAAATTCCGGCAACGAGGGGAAGCAAGTGAATGGGTCCAATAATAGAGCTGGACATTTATGAGAGGTCTGTTCTGTATCGGTGACGGGATGATGTACATACTCCACCTGAGGTTGGTGCCGCAGACGCAAGTTCCGCCATGGCCAGCCCGATACACATGATAAAGGCGCTGGCAAATACCCACTGTATGACGGAATGAGTACGGTATCCGAGACTTCTGATATGTAAAGCATTACACCCCAAACCATCGCAAGAGGACCACCATTGGGCATGACATTGAAGAGCACGGACCTGAAGAACGGTGTGTCAGTGAAAAATTCGTCTCGGTAGAATCACACATCATACGCAATGGATGGAAGGAGCCCCACGATGCTGAACGCAACACCAAAGACCTGTGCAAGAACGTTGTCAAGGATGCCCAACGCTCTGATAAGGACCCACCTCTAGTGGGGTAAACTGCCTCCGAAACTCCTGCTTGTATCCTAAGCCGGCAAGAATTGCTTCATCTCTAGTGTGTCCCGAGCGCGGACCCGAACTTGTGGAAACCATTAGGACTGGCGAGAACACTCAATCAGCGACAGAGTGCAACTGTCGAACTGAACGTAGATAATAGATCTGATTTTATATGACACCGGGGAGATAAGTACAAATACAAAGTTCCAGGAACGGACATTACTTATATGTAGCTCAAAATTATTGAGTACGTATTAGACCTCAACGAGGCTGCGAGCTCATATGGGAGCTGGTGGCAGACCTTTTGAGGCCCAGCGAACGTACAGATAAAGCGTGAGAGGGGAGCGAGCGTGCAAAGATAATGTCAACGCAGAGTTCCTGGCTTGATATGCAAACACACTAGTGATTGTGCAGGAACAGAGGAAGGACTTGAACCCGTCCATTTGGGAACTTGATGGTTCCAGTATTTAAATTTTAGTATGCTTCTTTCATTCAAGTCATGTGTACGACTCACCTTATATGGCGCGTGATCACTATTAATGAATAGTGGTCCATGATGTACTAGTCCATGTGGTGCATGGGTCCGACTTCTATGTACTTCTTTCTTCCGCTGAGAATGTAGCTTACCAGTGAGAGGGTCGCATAGGACCTGAGATACTGCTACAGTATGATGAGCTGTTGCGCATGGAAGCAATGATAACCGCATTTGAGAAGGATGCACTGCCAAGTGAATGGATGGGCAGTTAAAGTGGCCTTATCAGCTAGAATGATTCGACAATGTCATCATGGTGAGTTGTCATGTCAGTATACGATAGCGATACAAAGGGTATTGTTCCTCACACATAATATCCAAGTATGATCGAAACCACATCAGATCCATTCCTTAAAAGTTTCACCTGTGCGTTAATATCATACGGACTGCTGGTTCGGCAAGAGCACACCAAAAAACTGTCTATAGAACAACCAGGGATGTTGATGGTGAGAATTATTGAATCAGCTGGTCTTCTGTCGCGATAAGTCGGATCCTGGGGGACTTAAGGCTATTTAGAATCCTTGGCTGAGCAATTTTTCCGTAGACAGATTGCCACTTGTCGGATGACATCCATAATTTTGTCAAGTATCGTTAGTTAAAAATAACTTGACTTTGTTTCAAACTCAGTTTTGCAGGTCACCTCGGATATCAGCGCTTCAGCGCTAGCGCTCAGTTGTCAAAGTGTTATCGGTGCGAGAGTCCTGTCACGCGAACCGAGCTCATCCCATGTACAATCATATTCTGTAGGTGCCAGCAGGGTGCATCTCCCCACGTTTTGTCCAAAGGTTTCCTCATGCGGCAGACCCAATCCAACAGCCCGAGTATATCATCTCCTGATATGCCCCAAGATCGCCCTTACGCACCTTCACCAGGCCCACGATGACGCCCACACTCTTTACGCCCATCCAAGTGGGTCACATGAGACTAAGCCACCGTATAGTCCTCGCCCCCCTCACCCGTGTTCGTGCCTACCCCACCCACATCCCTGGGCCCCATGCAGCCACCTACTATGCGCAACGTGCATCCCTCCCGGGAACATTCCTCATATCCGAAGCGACCTTCGTCTCCCAAGCTGCTGGTGGGAGGGACTTCGTCCCAGGGATCTATACCCAAGAACATGTAGAAGGATGGAAAAGGGTCACTGATGCCGTACATGAGAAGGGTAGCTTCATATTTTGCCAGCTGTGGGCACTCGGAAGGGCTGCAGTCCCAGAAGCCCTCGTCAAAGAGAATAACTCCCCGCTTGTATCTGCCTCTTCTATCCCACTTTCCATCCGTCCTACCGCGGTCCCGCACGCACTCACAGAACCAGAGATAAAATCATACATTGCCAGCTTCGTTACTGGTGCCAGGAACGCTATCGCAGCAGGCTTCGATGGCGTCGAAATCCATGGTGCAAACGGATATCTCATCGATCAGTTTTTGCAAGAGGTGAGCAACACCCGGGAGGATGGATGGGGCGGGAGTATCGAGAAGAGAGCAAGATTTGCGATAGAGGTTGTTGATGCGCTTGTCAAAGAAATTGGTGCTGAGAGGGTCGGTATCAGATTAAGTCCATGGAGTCCATTTCAAGGTGCATTCTGTCTCTGTTCCTTATTTTATACTGTACCAAAATTCACGCAGACATGGGCCTCCCCGATCCAAAACCACAATTCTCCTACCTTGTAAATGAGCTCAAGAAGTACGACCTCGCCTACCTCCACGTCATTGAGCCACGTATCAGCGCAGGCACTGATGTGGATGCGCCATTACATAGTAACAACGATTTCCTGCGCGAGATATGGTGCAAAGAGGGAAAGAATGGGGTGTTTATCAGTGCGGGTGGGTACACACGACAGACTGCAATCGAGACAGCGCAGGAGCATGGGGGCATGATAGCATTTGGCAGGTTGTACATTCCAAATGTAAGTCCTTCTGTCCATGTTCGATCTTCTTTGTCCATTGTCCTTGCCCATCGTGTGTGCTGACGGCTTCCTCTTCCCACGCCTGGGCCGATCTTTTTCATACTCTGCCTCTATTGCCACATTCTTTCAACAGCCCGATCTCCCTGCCCGACTCATACATGACCTACCGCTTGCTAAGCCTGACCGTGCAACATTCTACCTCGCCGGCGATCTCACTGAGAAGGCCTACACCGACTTCCCAGCGGCATATGTACCAACAGAGCTGAAGTAGTGAAGGCGCAGATAATGAAGGTGAGCATTTCTGAATCGCCAAGATTGGGAGGTGGTTTGTAGGGGAGATGAAGATCATTCGAGGATAGCCATAGACTTGCCTCCGAGATGCAGTGCTGCATGATGTAGGCTATGACACAGTGATATCATACCCTGTGCGTAAGTTGTGAGCCATTCTTGCCTCCCGAGGTACGCATGGGGTATGAATTTCTTTTGACAGCGGCTGTGTTAAGTCGGTTGCTTACGATGAACTGATCTTGTTTTCCCGTGCTCAATCGCATATAGGGTTACACTAGTACTGATTTTCAAAAGATGGGTATGCAGACTCAGACGGTTGGGAATCTTTGATCAACCCATGAATGTCCAATTGAGAACTGCTGACTTCGACACATGTAACCTCGTTACCATGTAAACATTTCGATTCGAGAAATTTTGGGCGTTTGGGACGCAGGTGCTTACGCACTGTCTTTCAACTTGGTATAGGATATCCAGGAGGGACACCTCTTATCAGTATCCAATCGCTCGATATACAATCTTACTCGTCTTCAGCTGGTACGTAGACCATGTTGACCCTGGCTCACCTTCACTGTGTGGGGCAAGAAATTCAGTGAGTCTTCCTGTTTCCTGACACGATGCATTTTAACTTAATGCCGTGCAGGTGATATCTCGCAGGCCAACACACTGTTGTGCTGAATTCTGTCACAGCAGCGATTGGAATGCTGGATAAGGAAAGCTCTGTATACTCAGACCGTCTATTCTTCCAATGGCCAGTGAACCTGTTAGCTACTTTAGCTTCTATTCACCGTTTTCGCTGATACGTTTACATTCAGAGCATCTACCGGGTGTATATGCTCGCGCGAACTGGGCTCAGAACAAATTGTGCAAGATGGCTGGTCCATAGGATATTTAAATCTAACCAGGAGTCACGTTCAAACTTCACGTGATGTGTCGCAGGTGGTAGAGTGCGTCGACGCATCTTTAGCTGGGAAGGTTTTCTCATGGCGGCCGACTGGTATACAACATTCCACGCCTGTCAACAATGCCCGAGTACTTATACTTCGCACAGACCTAAGACCACCCTTGCGCACCTCGCTCACCAGGTTCACGATGATGCCCACACTCTTTACGCCCATCCAAGTAGGTCACATGAGAGTAAGTCACCGTATAGTCCTCGCCCCCCTCACCCGTGTTCGTGCCTACCCCACGCACACCCCCGGGCCCCATGCAGCCACCTACTATGCGCAACGTGCATCCCTCCCGGGAACATTCCTCATCTCCGAAGCGACCTTCGTCTCCCAAGCTGCTGGTGGGAGGGACTTCGTCCCAGGGATCTATACCCAGGAACATGTAGAAGGATGGAAAAGGGTCACTGATGCCGTACACGAGAAGGGTAGTTTCATATTTTGCCAGCTGTGGGCACCCGGAAGGGCTGCAATCCCAGAAGCCCTCGTCAAAGAGAATAACTCCCCGCTTGTATCTGCCTCTTCTATCCCACTTTCCACCCGTCCTACTGCGGTCCCGCACGCACTCACAGAACCAGAGATAAAATCATACATTGCCAGCTTCGCTACTGGTGCTAGGAACGCTATCGCAGCAGGCTTCGATGGCGTCGAAATACATGGTGCAAACGGATACCTCGTCGACCAGTTCTTGCAAGAGGTGAGCAACACCCGGGAGGATGGATGGGGCGGGAGTATCGAGAAGAGAGCAAGATTTGCGATAGAGGTCGTGGATGCGCTTGTTAAGGAAGTTGGCGCTGAGAAGGTCAGTATCAGATTAAGTCCATGGAGTCCGTTTCAAGGTGCGTATTGTCTCTGTTCCTCATTTTATGCTGGACCAACATCTATGCAGACATGGGCCTCCCTGATCCCAAACCACAATTCTCCTACCTCGTAAACGAGCTCAGGAAGTACGACCTCGCCTATCTTCATGTCACAGAGCCACGTGTCGGTGGAACCATTGATGTGAATGCACCACCGCAGAGTAGCAACAATTTCCTGCGTGAGATATGGTGCAAGGAGGGAAAGAACGGGGTGCTTATCAGTGCGGGTGGGTACACACGACAGAACGCAATCGAGACAGCACAGGAGCATGGGGACATGATAGCATTTGGCAGATTGTACATTCCGAATGTAAGTCTTTTGTCCATGTTCGATCTTCTTCGCCCATTATCTTTGCCCATGTGTGCTGACAACTTTCTCTTCCTGCGCCTGGGCCAATGTTTTTCATATTCTATCTCTATCGCTAACTACTTTCCACGCTCTTCCAATAGCCTGACCTCCCTGCACGACTTATACACGACCTGCCGCTTGCCAAGCCCGACCGTGCAACATTCTACCTTGCTGGCGATGTCACTGAGAAGGGATATACTGATTTCCCAGCGGCAGACGTACAGGTAGAACAGAAGTCATGAATGGGATTTCTTTTACGACCAACATAGTGGAGGTGAGCGTCTCTAAACAATAATCAAGATCAGGAGGTACGTTGTGAGATCTGGAGGAGACGTGTTGAACTTCACAGCTTTCACATATTTTTATGAATGAGTGCATGAGCTTACGCGTTGGTCTAGTACCTATACGATGAACTTGGGTTACCAAGGATGCGGTGCCACTTAGTTTCAGGCAGTTGTACCACCATTCCGCTTCATCAAATGTAGTCCGACTGCGGTGGGGCACTTCTGTAGTTAGATCGAAGTGTGTATTGCTATCATTTCACCTCACAATGCCCCTTGAGAGACAATACCAGACAAACTGTATGAAGTTGACCGACCGTTGAACGTGGCCATTGTTGTTCTGTTCGATGCAGCATATATCATCCCCACACGCAGCATCACGACATTATGAATCTAGAGATAGACGGTCAATTGCATCTGGAGTTGAAGAGACAGCATTCGGAGATGTGCATGTTTACATCGTGAATCGTGCATAGTGATCTAGTGTAGCATTGACAATCTTCGTGCTTGGAGATACACTGCAAAACTACAATATCTCTAGCGTCCTGATGTCCATCGTGTCGTCAATAGAAGCCACGTCTTTGACCTTGGCAATGATAAGGTGGTCCGAAGCAACTCTCGTATACTCCCCACCACGCTGTTGCGCTAGCAAAAGCGCACCAAAAGGTTGTCCAAGGCGAACAACCAACCTCAACTCTCGCAAGCGAGCCTCCGAATCAGCCAGCTTAGAGTCTACAAGAGAATCACGGACAGATCCGTCAGTTCGAGAGACAGGCTCAGTCCAATCGTCCATATCCTGTGCATCATCTGCAAAATCGGGCTCTGCAAAGTCAGGCAGCCCAAGATCATGACGGTTCCATGGACGGACAAGTAAAAATGTCTGCTGAGTGGGACGTGTTGGCGAGAACTGAATCAGCTTGTCTTCGGAGGTGATCAGTAGGTCTTGAAGACCATCTGTCTTGATGTCATAAGTGAAACATATCTCCGGGTCTGGACCACGCCTCCGCCTCAGTTCAGTGATGGGAAATGCAATGCACGGTAGCTGCAGTCTAGAATGTGCGAAACGAGGTGCACTGAGGTTGTCAAGGAGGGTATACAGTTTCGATGTCAACTCCGCCGACACAGTATTTCGCAACATGGAGACAGACATGTTCATCTCATCTTCGGGCAGAGATGATAACATGCACGGTGGAGCTTTGTATGATGTGATGTCAGCTGGGAGACAGCTATTGAACTCGGATGCTTTTCCGATCCAGTCAAGGGGAGTGATGTCGCCTGAATGCGCAATGATCTCCTGCAAGAGTCGTCCGAGCGCGTTTTGTCTCTTCTCGCCATAGATTACAGGGAGGTGGACGTGGAAGATGCCAAATAGTGAATACGCAATGTCTTCTTGCAAAGTCGTGACACGGCTGGATGCCCATTGAAGTTTCTCTCGGGCGCCTCTCATGCCCGGGCGGAAGGCAATGAGGGCTTGTGCATCTATGCCTGTTGAGTCCTCCAACTCCTGCATAATAGCGATAGACATCTTGTGGTTGGGAGAGTGATCATTGAGATACAAGGTCCAATCTGCTCGATAAAAGAGAACAGTGTTAGGAGCGAGGAATTCCTGCACTGTCCACCCTCGTGTGTTCCAGGTACTATTTGCGAGTGCCCCAGGTTCTGACGAAGGCAGAACATCTGCTAGATAGACGATTGTGAGCGCTGAGTGGCGATACCAGACGAACATGGAGTTGACTGATTCTTGGAGTTCAAAATTGTTGCTCTGGTCGATGCAGCATGTATCGCTCCACGCCCAGCGATACCCCGCATCACAGGCGGTTTTGCAGAAGGTCTGCAGCTTCACTACAGTTCCGACTGGAGCCAAGCCGTACACGTCCTTGTCCTGAATATTGTGCAGTCGTAATTCCTTGCTCTCCCACCTATGAGATAACATGACCCAACTGAAATACTCCACGACTTTCGCCTTGATGAGTTCCGTTTGGAGGGTTGCATGAGCTATCAACGATGACAAGAATTTTTTGTATTCTCCGCTTTTGATAAAGGTGTTGATTTGTGTTTGTCTATCACACAAACGCCCGGTGAAAGTGTTGACGAGACGAAGTGGGGCATTTTCTAGTTGAATATTGACAGCTCTTTGAATGGCGTCATGTGCTTCGGATGGACTGACATATTGCTGACGCAACTCTGCAGGATGGATTAGCTAACTTCTAGTTGACACAGGGTACTCAGTGCTTACCTCGTATCTGCGGGTCAATTGCATTGTCCAACTTGGAAAGCATGATTTCGAACGCCTTAATCGCTTCACCGTAGCGGAGTACTTCATGAAGCACTGCATACTTCAGTTTGTACCCAGTATAAGACGAAGGGTTCAGTTCAATGACCTGTGCATCGGTAGTATCAGTACACCTGCTCGACAAATGAATATTGGCATCTGTACCTTTTCTGCATCATCAAGGGCTTCTTCATAGAGGCTTCGTTTCAAATTTGCCTCACTTCGGTGCGCAAAAAGAGACTCGCATGAAGAGTCTAGCCCTATCCCTGCTGAATATAGTTTGATAGCCATCTCAAAATTGCTTGCAGTAACAGCATCGTTTCCCTTTGTGACACAACGTGAAGTGCATTTGTGCTTGAAGGCTGACGGACACGAAAATTAGTCTCGATTTTCAAATTGTCCACAACCACTCACCGGCAGACCATTCGAGGCAACTGGGCTTCGCAGCCTCGCCAATCACGCGCATCGTGTACTGATAAGATTCAGCTGCCTCGATCACACGATCAGCGTAGAGAAACGCTTCGCAGCGTCTTTGGTTGGCGGTCTGCCATAACGCACCCAAGTCCCAGCCGAAAAACTGTGCACGTGATCGATCAGTGCCAAGGGTGTCCTCTGAGGCTTCATAGTGACGTACCTCCGTAAACGTACCCATGAAGCCATCCAGTCTACGCCCAGGTTCATCCGAAGTAGGTTCATGAGGTGTCGGACGTAGGAATATATTGGCGTTCGCAGTGATAACGGCCGTGAGTTGATCTGCGGCTTCGCTGTAGCGCCCATCCTCAAAAACGATTATTGCACGCTGCATGCGTAAATATAACTGACAAGTATATTCTGAAATGAGACAACCTGTGGGGTCTGACATAGGACTCACATCGACAATGTGGCATTGATTTGTCTCTGAGGACTGACGAGTAGAGGCAGGTAGATCTTGAACCCGTCTTATCGCCTCGTCGTGGTGACTTGAGTTGAAAAGCGCTGTGGCCTGGTTGAAATCTTAGTATGAGAATTATGCTATTAAAAATAGTGAAGTAAGTACCTTAATTAGTAAAATTTCTATATTCATTCGATTGTGCTTTGAAAATGAGAGAGCAAGATCAAAAGCCTCCACGGCATCCCAAAGTTGTTGCTTGCCGCAGAGGGCAATACCTTTAGAGATATATCCCTTTAATGAGGGTTGAATGGCAATGGACTATATCACGAAGAGTTGCCTGTCATCAATAGCGTTATAATCGGGACTCAGGAGTTCTTACTGCCATTGCATCTTGAAGCGCATTCTCCCAGTCAAAACGTCGCGCCCTCACAACCGAGCGACCGCAGTAGGAGTGGTAATTATCGCGGTCTGCGTTGATCTCCTTGGTCAGCAGCTCTTCAGAGAAATGTAAGTCCTGAGCCATCCGTGCATCGCGAACCACAGTATTTGTAGGGGCCAGAATCTGCATAGAACACGTTCGAATTCAGTATACGCATCGAGGTCAAACAAACAACTTACGTTGAGTGATGAAGAACTGTCAGGCCCTTGGTGACTTTCCTGGGAATGATTGTTTGTGCCACCGTGATCGCTAGATAGCTCGTTGTTGGTATCGTGACCGAGGGGCTGTATGGTGCCATAGCCAAGAACAATGTGAATTGAGCAAACAGAGAAAAAGGGAGAGAGCGTACATGTGTCTCACTGAGAGTAAAAACTTGATGTCTCGGCGTTTCTTTATCGTCCTTGATCCTTTCCACCTGCAAGCTGCGTCCAATTTCGACCCGCATCTCGACGGATTTGTAGATATCCTCTGGACCACCCGGATAATCGACGCCAAGCTGTACAATATCGCCATCTTTGAGCTGATATGATGTGCTCTCAGAGCCTGCAGGACTTAGGCGGATATCATTGAGGAAAGTGCCTGATGACGATCTGGTGTCTTTGATATAAATATTGCCGTTGTCTGACCAGATCTCTGCATGGATGCGAGAGAGTACACGGGTGTTGAAGGCAATTTTGTTTGTGGATTGGGCGTTTAGAATTGAGTGACCTGGGAAGCGACCAATGCGGATGGGGGTGTCGCCGTCTGTGAGGTCGCGGAAGATTGGCTCGAAATAGAAGGTATGGTTGGAATCGACGTGTGGGACTAGACAGATGCGGTGGGTGAGGGGGACTGAGGCACTGGACATGGAGGAGGAAACATTGCCAATGGGTGCAGTGCGTGACGATTGGGCGGCTGGTGGTCCTGAGGAGGTTGGTCCTGCATTGAGTGGTGGACTAGTCTGGACAGTGCCTGGGGCAGAATAATATGCCTGTCGGGAAGGAGGACTTGGATGAGCCTGGGTCACGGTTAGCTCGCTGAGAGGTAAGCCAGAAGTGACTGGTTCGGGTGAATTCGAGGTTTCTCTTCGGCGTCCACGCAGAAAGGAACCCAAAATGGTCATGGTTGACAGTAGAGGTTCAGGTTATGGGGAATCATTCAGAACATACTACTTATAATTACCATCTTGCTCAGCCTTCGGACCCAGTTCTTGCTTTTGGTTATAAGTAGCTTCACACCTCCCACTAACTGTCAAACGCTGTCGCTAGACTTTATAACATGAGCCCTGAATCGATCACTTGAGTCTGACTGAATACTACTTGCCTTGTTTCTTGTCGATCATCGAAAGGGATGCCGTATCAGTTCTAAAAGGTCGTTTCGTCAATTCTGACTTGACCTATAACAGTTTCTCCTTTGAAACCTTCTCACTTTAAATTTCAAAGTCTGTGAGAACTCAAGGACATTACTAACCCGTACCCACCCGGTTCAAGTTAGAGCATTATCGCAGGGATACGTGTCAACCCGTGGCCCAACCCTGTAATACTTTTCGTTAAACACTAGCAATATTTCAAGTTTCTACACTGCCTGCCGCTGTCGCAGGAAATAACACAGGCAATGGACAGAGGGTGGCCCATCTGATGTAAGTAGGATAGCTGGTAGGTACATACGCATGCGAGAATGTAGGTCATCTTCAGTGGACTCTACCGCACAGGAACCACCTGGCGAGGACTGTCAAACACTTTGTCTCCGGAACAAGTTCAGCATCTAGTGGCGAATGTTCGCCAGTCATTGCAGAAGCATTATTTGTTGTGGTCCGCATGCTTGCTGAGGCTGCTCCAGTAGTAATGTTGGACATCCCCACTGCGCTGGCGTCAGTTCTTGGGACACCAGCATTAGATGCGTGGACGTTTTTGCGAGGAGGATGTGATGGCCGTACTAAATGCCTTTTTCCACTAATAGCATTCGCATTGCGCTACAGGTGAATCAATGAATAACAGAGGGATACAAGATCATCAGAGAAGACATACATATTTACCCCGTGTGGCAAAGATATCCACAACAGCGATCTTACGAGTGCGTGGAGTAGGACTCTGAGAAGTAGAGGAGCGAAATGAGAGACTATTGATGAGTTATTTCATGCGGGAACCTTCGGCATAACGCTGTGATGTTGTTGGAACAGTGCGAGTATTGCGTTGAGGTTGGGAGCGCATGTTAAACTGGAAGCAGGGTAAGACGAGCAGGCTATGATGAATCTACTACAACATGAAGTCTTACATCATCGAAAAAGCCCAAAGGGATTCCAGCACGTTTTGGTCGAAACTTTCCAGTAGCAGTGATGTCAGTGACAGTGTAGAAGGACGAGTGTGAAAGCGTACGTCTGGTTTGGAAGACCGAGCGCGCTGCCGATCCTGCATGTCACCAGAAGTCAGTATATATGCGGGTGCGTCTGAGAAATCTAGAAACCTTGTGCACGGACTGTATGATAGGTTAGTATGAAACATAGCACAACATGAGAATTTGCTCGCCTGCTTAAATTCTTCTGACTCAGCCCGATCAACCTCCCATATGCGAACGAGTCTATCAACACAACCAGTCGCGATGAACTGGCTGTCCTCGGAAAAAGTGACGCAATACAGTGCATCAGGGTATTCAAGTGGCTCGCCAAAAGGTTCTAATGTGGTCAGGTCGAAGAATCGTGTTGTTTTGTCGCTTGACGCAGTAGCGAATTTCGTGCCATCAGGAGCAATGGCCAATGACTGGAGAAGATCAGTGTGCGCATCAAATTGTTTGATGATTTCTCCCGTGGCAGCGTGAGAGATTCGAATGTCGTTGAAACTCCCACTGATGAGATGGAGACCATCTAGAGTGAACGCGATCAGCCATGCCCGCTGTTCTATCTTCAGTAATTCTTCTCCGCTCGTTGAGTCCCATAATATGATATGTGTTTCGAAGACTTTTGTCGTCAGAGCAGGTGACGAGGAGGCGGGTACCAGGAATGAAAGCATTGCCTCTCACCCAGTCTTCATGACCCTTGAGCGTCATTTCGGCCTGAAGTGCCTTCTTTCGAGCAAGAGGTGTAAGAGCTTGTGGAGATACAGCGTGATTTGACATTGGATCTAATTTTTGTTATCGATGAGCAGGAATATGGCACGGGAGGGGAGCAGATACTTACATGCGCTATAATGGCAGGTTGGTGGGGAGCGATAAGGAACTGTGCCACTTCATCTTATCGCAGTGGCGCAAGGCGCCTATCGTTTCGGGAGAATGACCAGAATACAACGATAAAGTTGTTGGTAACTGACATTCAAGCTGCCCGCAGAGATGTTGCGCAGGACATACCATGGGATAATGCCCTTGTGAAGAGCAGGGTACGATTCTCGTTAGGTCAAGTACTGATGATGTTCATGCCGGGAAGGGCAACTTTGAATAACTTTCGTCTGTCATAAGCACTTCTAGTGGGAACCGCAATCCCATGTCCTCTTGAACGAAGATAAACTCTCGTCTGTATCTTCCCACTTTATAACACCCGCTCTATTCTGGCCCCATATGCCTTTACCGACCCAGAAATAAAACCATACCTTGCAAGTTTTGCTGACGCTGCAACTTGAAGGAACTCCAATTCTGGCAACATAGAAATCAGTACAAACATATACCTCATCAACCAGTCCTTGCAAGCCGCGAGTAATGCTCGAGAGGAACGACTGGGGTGCCAGATGATCGAGCGAGGTTCAATTTTGTAACTCCTTGTTTGCAATTCAGGTTGTGGATGTGTTTTTCAAAGAGGACGGCGCTGACTGACACCTCGTGCAATTTGCCTCATGATGCGCTCCACAAGGTGCGTCCGAATGATTGTATGGTAGTACTGTCCGGTCGTGCTGATATGTGATCCGAGTCTTCTCAGTTCTGCACTGTGTGGGAAATTGTATATTTCGAATCTATTGTTGTTCTGTTCGATGCAACACGCAGCATCACGACATTATGAAACTAGAGATAGACGGTCAATTGCATCTGGAGTTGAAGAGACAGAATTCGGAGATGTACATGTTTACATCGTGAATCGTGCATAATGATCTAGTGTAACATCGGCAATCTTCGTGCTTGGAGATACACAAAACTACAATATCTCTAGCGTCCTAATGTCCATCGTGTCGTCAATAGAAGCCATGTCCTTGACCTTGGCAATGATAAGGTGGTCCGAAGCAACTCTCGTATACTCCCCACCACGCTGTTGCGCTAGCAAAAGCGCACCAAAAGGTTGTCCAAGGCGAACAACCAACCTCAACTCTCGCAAGCGAGCCTCCGAATCAGCCAGCTTAGAGTCTACAAGAGAACCACGGTCAGATCCGTCTGTTCGAGAGACAGGCTCAGTCCAATCGTCTACATCCTGTGCATCATCTGCAAAATCGGGCTCCGCAAAGTCAGGCAGCCCAAGATCATGACGGTTCCATGGACGGACAAGTAAAAATGTCTGCTGAATTGGCCGTGTCGGCGAGAACTGAATCAACTTGTCTTTGGAGGTGATTAGTAGGTCTTGAAGACCATCTGCCTTGATGTCATAAGTGAAATATGTCTCCGGGTCTGGACCACGCCTCCGCCTGAGTTCAGTGATTGGAAATACGATGCAAGGTAGCTGCAGTCTGGACTGTGCGAAACGAGGAGCACTGAGGTTTTCAAGGAGGGTATACAGTTTCGAAGTCAACTCCGCCGACACAGTGTTTCGCAACATGGAGACAGACATGTTCATCTCATCTTCGGGCAGAGATGATAACATGCACGGTGGAGCTTTGTATGATGTGATGTCAGCTGGGAGACAGCTATTGAACTCGGATGCTTTTCCGATCCAGTCAAGGGGAGTGATGTCACCTGAATGCGCAATGATCTCCTGCAAGAGTCGTCCGAGCGCGTTTTGTCTCTTCTCGCCATAGATTACAGGGAGGTGGACGTGGAAGATACCGAATAGTGAATATGCAATGTCTTCTTGCAAAGTCGTGACACGGCTGGATGCCCATTGAAGTTTCTCTCGGGCGCCTCTCATGCCCGGGCGGAAGGCAATGAGGGCTTGTGCATCTATGCCTGTTGAGTCCTCCAACTCCTGCATAATAGCGATAGACATCTTGTGGTTGGGAGAGTGATCATTGAGATACAAGGTCCAATCTGCTCGATAAAAGCGAACAGTGTGAGGAGCAAGGAATTCCTGCACAGTCCACCCCCGAGTGTTCCAAGTGCTATTTGCGAGTGCCCCGGGTTCCGACCAAGGCAGAACATCTGCCAGGTAGATAATTGTGAGCGCTGAGTGGCCGTACCAGACGAACATGGAGTTGACTGATTCTTGAAGTTCAAAATTGTTGCTCTGGTCGATGCAACATGTATCGCTCCACGCCCAGCGATACCCCGCATCACGAGCAGTTTTGCAGAAGGTTTGCAGCTTTAATACGGTTCCGAGTGAAGCTAAGGTGTACACGTCCTTGTCCTGAATGTCGTGCAGCCGCGGCTCCTTACTCTCCCACCTATGCGATAACATGACCCAACTGAAATATTCCGTGACTATGGCCTTGATGAGCTCCGTTTGGAGGGTTGCATGCGCCATCAATGATGACAAGACTTCTTTGTACTTTTCGCTTTTAATGAAGGTGTTGATTTGAGTTTGTCTATCACACAAACGCCCAGTGAAGGTGTTGACGAGACGAAGTGGGGCATTTTCTAGTTGAATATTGACAGCTCTTTGAATGGCGTCATGTGCTTCGGATGGACTGACATATTGCTGACGCAACTCTGGAGAATGGATTAGCCATCTTCTATTCGACGCAAGGTACGCGGTGCTTACCTCGTATCTCCGGGTCAATTGCGTTGTCCAACTTCAAAAGCATGATTTTTAACGCCTCGATCGCTTCATCGTAGCGTTGTAATTCATGAAGCACTGCATACTTCAATTTGTACCCAGTATAAGACGAAGGGTTCAGTTCAATGACCTGTGCATCGCTCGTATCAGCACTTGAGCTCGACAATAAACATCACCCGCACCTTTTCTGCATCATCAAGGGCCTCTGTATAGAGCCTTCGGGTCAAATTTGCCTTACTTCTGCGCGCAAAAAGAGACTCGCATGAAGAGTCCAGGCTTATCCCTACTGAATACAGTTCAACAGCCATTTCATAATTGCTCGCAGTAACAGCTTCGTCCCCCTTTGTGACACAACGTGAAGTACACTTGTGCTTGAAGGCTGAAGGACACTAAAATGAGTCTCAATTTTCAGATTGCCTACAACCACTCACCGGCAGACCATTCGTGGTGGATGGGCTTCACAGCCTCGCTAATCATGAGCATCATATACTGATGAGGCCCAGCCGCTTCAATCACACGATCAGCGCAGAGAAACGCTTCACAACGTCTTTGGTTGGCGGTCTGCCATAACAAACCGAAGTCCCAGCCGAACAACTGTGCATGCATATGATCAATGAGTGGAGATATCCTCTGAGGCTTCGTGGTGACGTACCTCCGTGAACGTACCCACGTACCTATCCAAGTTATGCATGTGTTCACCCGGTATAGGCTCATAAAGTGTTGGACGTAGGAACCTGTCGGCGATAGTAGTAATGCCAGCCGTAAGTTTATCAGCGGCTTCGCTGTAGTGCCCACCCTCGAAAACAATCATTGCATGTTGCACATGAAGATATGACTGGCGAGTATATTCAAAATGAAAAAAAAATTGTGAGGTCTGACGTAGGACTCACATCGACTACGCTGCACTGAAGTGTCTCTGAGGACTGACAAGCGGCGGCTAAATCTTGAACCCGTCGTATCGCTTCATTGTGGCGACTTGAGTTGAAAAGCGCAATAGCCTGGTGAAAATTACATTGGAGTCTTAGTATAACAAACACGCTATCAAAAATAACGAAGAGAGTACCTTAATTAGTAAGATCTCGACAGTCATTCGATTGTCATTTGAAAATGAGAGAGCAAGATCAAAAGCTTCCATGGCATCCCAAAGTTGTTGCTTGCCGCAGAGGGCAATGCCTTTAGAAATATAGCCTTTTAACGAGGGTTGGATGGCAATGGACTATATCGCCAAGAAGACCTGTCATCAATAGTGTCATGATCCGGACCCAGGAGTTCTCACTATGAGTGCATCTTGAAGCGCATTGTCCCACTTGAAACGTCGCGCCCTCATAACCGAGCGACCGCCAAAGACGTGGTGATTATTGTGGTCTGCGTCGATCTCCTTCGTCAGCAGCTTTTCAGCGGTACATAAGTCCTGGGCCATCCATGCATCATGGCCCGCAGTATTTGTAAGAGTCGGAATCTGCATCAAGTATGTTCACATTCAGTATACGCATCGAAGCCAAACAACTTACGATGAATGACGAACAACTGCCGGGCTCTTGGAGACTTTCCTGGGAATGAGTGTTTGTGCCGCCGTGATCGCTAGATAGCTCATTGTTGGCAACATGACTGTAGGGCTGTATGTCACCGTCGAGAATGACTTGAATGTGGATTGAATAGACAAGGGAAAAGGGATAGCGTACCTGTGTGAAATCGCGTCCGATTTCGATCCGTATCCTGACGGATTTATAGATATCCTCCACACCGCCCTGATAATCGACGCCGAGCTGTACGAAATCACCATCTTTGAGCTGATATGGTGCGCTCCCAGAGCCTGGACAATTTATGTGGACATGATTGAGGAAAGTGCCTGATGACGATTTGGTGTCCTTGATGTAAATCTTGCCGTTGTCTGACCAAATTTCTGCATGGAGGCGAGAGAGTACACGCGTGTCAAAGGTAATTTCGTTCGTGGATCGGGCGTCTGAAGCGGAATGACCTGAGAAGCGACCAATGCGAACGGGGGTCTCGCCGTCTATGAGGTCGCGGAAGATTGGCTCGAAATGGAAGATGTGGTTAGAATCAAGGTACGGGACCAGGCAGATGCGGTGGGTGAGGAGGGGTGTGGCAATGGAGGAGGGAACATCGTTGATGGATATAGTGCGTGACAATTCGGTGGCTGGGTGTCCTGAGGAGGTGAGTCCTGCTTTGAATGATGGGCTAATCTGGACAGTGCCTGGAGCAGAATGATATCGCTGTCGCGAAGGAGGATGTGGGGTTAACTCGCGAGGAGGTAGGCCGGAAGTGACTAGTTCAGGAGAATTTGAGGTTTTTCTTCGGCGTCCGCGCAGAAAGGAACCCCAAATGGTCATGGTTGATGGTAGAGGTCATGGAGAATCATTCAGCTGAATGTCGGTACTTAGCATTATTTATAATCACCATCCTGAGCATGCAGTGCCCTGAAAGCGAATGGCAGCCTGGCTTCGGGCCTGGTTCAACTATAGCTTTTACTTCTCCCACCATCTGTCAAACGCTGTCCCTAGACTTTGTATCAGAAAATCAATGGCTGGTCTTATACTGATTACTACTTGCCTCGTTTCTTGTCGATCATTGATGATCAGACATACTCAGTAATTTTCGCTTGCCATGAGCGGAACTGCGACCTTTCGGTGAACAAAGATAACCCCGTGTCATGATCTTTCCTCTTTAGGACACCCGTCAAGCTTGAGTGCTTCAGGTCCCGCCGGGCCCCTGTTCCGGCCCAGCGACCTAAGTGGTGGAGGACGAATGAGGCCTCAGTGAGGCCTGAGGTCTTTTAACTTAAATTTAGGTGATAAGGTGCGAGATATGCCTCATTCTGATATACACGACCCTGGTGCAATTTCAAACGACGTATCAAATATATTCCTGTCCTGATATCGTATAAGAACTCAGATCACGGTGGCTAGTCGTCACTCAAGCTGTGATCGAAATATGTGGTGGACAATAGATAGGCGAGTATAATAGGCAGAGGTTTACAATGGAGCCAGGATGTCATAAACTTGCTGAGGCAAACTCGCAAGCTAATTACAGGGTATGATCTCATTAGGGGCTACTGAAATGATTACGCTTAGGTCTGATTCTTCATCTCTTGCCACCATGAACGTCTCTGGTCCCTCGCGACTGCGTGGTCCACGTCCGGTCCCTAGTTCAAGAGAAAAAGACAACTATGAGGATCTTACCCGTATGATCGCTGAACTAGGTCTTTCTGATGTCGAGAGATTGCAGAGCCTATATGATCACAGAGAGCGTCGAGGAAAGGGGCCCTCTGATCGTGAAGTCGCTTTCATATTATTGATGCAGAATGCCCGAGAACTTGCGGAGTTTAATGCTGATCTGGCACTCGCCCAGCGACTTGCTGTTGATGGAGATGAGGAGCCTGATCCTACAGATAGGTCAGGCTGCATATTGTGGAATTCGTCAAAGCTAACATTGTTAAGCAGGCCAACAACAGCTGTTGCTCTCGAACGCGACATTGAAAAGTACGCACGCGAGTACAATGCTCCCCTGGAGTCCCTGACAATGATTTTAGAACTAGATCAAAGATGCAAACATGGAGTCAATTGCTTGACTCCTTTCTTTTGACGCCCGTATCAAGTGGTCAGACAACACCAAACTCAGGTCAAGCGCCAACTATAACGGCTAGATGTCCTCCTCGGTGAGAGCTGCCATGATACCGGTGTAATGTTTAAACCGAACGAACCATCATACTAAGCAGGGCAACTGGTCACATCTGTGTGATTTGTCATGATCCTATCTTCGGAGAGGAAGTTCTGGCACCATGCAATCACTTCTTCAATATCAGTTGCATCACCGACCTATTCCGGTCAGCAATGCGCGACGAGCGCCTGTATCCTCCTCGGTGTTGCCATCAGAACATTCCGCTCCCGCAAGTTCGGCCTCACTTGACGCAGGCATTCCTTACCGAGTTCGAACTCAAAGCCCAGGAATATGGGACTCTGAAGCGCGTTTATTGTGTCGAATCAACGTGCAGCCGTTTTCTTGGGCCGTTACATGACGAGGATTCCTCAAAGATCTTTACATGCCCGGCTCCTAAATGCATGACGATGACATGTGGAAAATGTCGCGGGAGATACAAAAGATCCACCCACTCCTGCACTCCAGATGCAGAGACTGAGGTTGTACTCACGCTTAGCCGTGCCTCGGGATGGTCCCGTTGCCCAGGCTGCGCTCAGATGATTGAGCTTAGCGTAGGGTGTTTCCATATGAGCTGCCGATGCAAGACGGAGTTCTGCTATCTGTGCAGAGCATTGTGGAAGACTTGCAAGTGCCCCCGATGGGACGAGTCTATGCTGCTTGCTCGCACACAGTGAGAACGTGGGGTGAGTGCTCTGCTGCAGCTGTGGAGCATGCTCATCTTCCTCGGGAGGCACCTGGAATGAATGGTTGAGTCGCCGCTTGTTACTTGCTCCCAAAGTTCCCCTGGCCCACGTAAAGTTGGTTTGGTGTTGGTGTTCCGGAGAGGAAATACGATGATCACTGGAAGCAGCCATCAGGAGAATCAATCAATACATACATTTCGCAAAAGTATGAATCTCAAGATCCTTGATTTGTGCATTGATATTGTGATCCGGCGCGATACTCTTATATTCAGCACCACGCTGCTGCACTAGCAGGGGTGTGTCTGTTCAAGGTGGACGATCAAGCAAGGCATGATCTGCATGGTAACTTGAGAACCTTCAAGTTTGGGCCCACCTCGAAATTGAAGTAGACAGTACCACAACTAGATCATGATACTTGAAACACCGCAACCGTTGAAACTGATGAGCACCATGATATGATTCTAAAGACAGTCTAAGTGTCACCGGTTGACCTTCAAGTTGCTAGGCTCGAGGTCCGAGTCAGAGTTATCGTTGGGCATAACGACAAAATACTCACCAGCCATAGCTGCGCATCACGGTCAACACTTTCTCTGCTCACAGCATCTAAGATTCAGAAAAATAGCTTGATGCTCGAGGTTGCAAGGACAAAAAGCGACACCAGCAGGATTTGAACCTGCGCACGGGAACCGTAAGAGATATCTGTGATTCGAATCTCTCGCCTTAACCACTCGGCCATAGTGCCATGAATGAGTTTCTCAGTTGCCTCTGTCAAGGATACATCTAAACGTGGGAAAAACGCACGTACCCACAAGCACGTCGACGTCGACTCAACATCTATTGTCGCGCACGACGTCAAACTTGCACTTCTCAAAATACGTGCGCTCTGGCCCACAAGCCGACAGCGGGTATATCGCTGTAGAGCCCGCCCAAACCAATCCCGAATCCAGATGTCTACTTCGAGTCGGTTCCGAGTCAGAGGAAAGAGCCTCAGGCTGAGATGAGATAACCAATTCCAGGACCACGACACAGCATATCCCGCCCGTCCGGTGCACTAATGCCTTTGCTTCCTATGGCTCGGCCCCTCATGTCACATGTGTGTCCTACTTCGACCACTATCTTCACTCCCAATATTGCAGAAGACCAGCTTCACGCCTTTTTTCGAGCCCTTTTGTTTTCCCTTCGAACAGATATCACGAGCTCCCACAGATTCTTGCTGGTTAATGGGAGCAGCGTGGGCTATCTGATGCGATTTGCTCTGGGGTATGAGAAGACTAATCTGAATTTTGTTATCTCCTCGCGGACCGTGCACCACGTTACCGTCTCTTGAAATGCCACCCATAGCCGACATTTATTTCATCAACATGTCAAGCCAAGTCGCTCGCGGAAGGGGAAAAAAAGCGAAACCAAAGGTGGTAACACCATCCTCCGTTGAGCGTCTGGAATCCTTTATGGAACAGACGATATCCATGACGGGTACTATATTCCAAAAGGCTCCTTAGTAATGCCTAACATTTAGTTGGTGCTCCCCTTCGATTGACGCACCTAATATAATGCTCTTGATTGCGACAGGTTCATGCTTAACGATCCACAGACCTCTGCTAACCCCTCGCAATTCAATTCTGAACGCTTCTTAGCTAGGGATGGAGAGGAACCCGAGACAGAGCCTCGCACAATGTGCTTCGGCTTTGGTAGACGGTAAGCATAGAATTGGTCCTGAATCTGATGGGAATGCTAACTTTTTGCTCTACAGTATTTGTCCAGGTATGTCCAACTCGCATCAATTAACTAACAGTATATGACATTTACTTGCTATAGGTTTTCACGTTGCTAATGTTTCCATTTGGATATCCACTGCAATGTCACTGGCCGCGTTTGATATTTCCAAGGTTGTTGAAAATGATGTTGAGATCACCTCTGAGGTGGAATCCTTACCGGGTGTGGCCAGGTATGTCGCATATCTTGTCATGTTCAAGGCAGGCCTAGATTGACATACTCCAAGCCACCCCAAACCCTTTAAGTATTCTATCAAACCTCGCTCTGCAACTGCCCTTGGGATCATTGAGCAAGATATTTAACTACTAAGCTCACGATAGTGAGACCGGAAAAACGCGCGGGGATGACACACTTCGCATCATATGTTACACTCAGGAATTATGCAATATGATATTTGGAGTTCGGGAATCATTTGCTTCCGCGAAACTTTTGTGGACGCAACGAACGAGATTATGTACTCATAATACTAACCTCGATATTTCGTCCTGCAGCCGCCCAATCTAGCATTGCATGTTCACGAGGCTTAAAATGACCTACTGGTCCTGAGGCCAAGTTTAAAGCTTCAGTAGATGACGTATATATATAGTAATCGGTACAAAACCGTAAACGCGTATGGACGTGGGAAGAGCGCGGTTTATTACTTTGTGGTTGCTCGCAGCACTGACAAGCCACTGAACTAGAATGCCGACGCCGTCTGAGACGTCAACGCGCTCACGTTTGTCGTTGTCGCGCACGACATCAAACTCAACCACTACACGTACTTCCCTTAAGACGCGTGCACTCTCAATCACAAGTGATGCAAGCGGTTGTACGACTGTGAAGCCCGCCAAACCAATTTCGAATTCGAATTCTACTTCAAACATGCTCTCCACGATGCCAACGCACTTGAAGCGTTCTGGCACAGGTCCGCCCAGTGCTTTCCCGCGTTCCTTGTCTGCTTCCACTAGTAGCACTACAGGCTCGAATGGAAATCGAAGTGTGGTGTCATCAACCCCATCTCGAGCACGCGTCGTTTCCGAGACATCCATCCCAACTCCATCCCACCAACACCGTGCTTCAGTCAACCTCGCCTCTCCAAAACCCGCCATAAACTTTACATCTCCAAGTCCCGCAAAGCACAAGAACAATCCTTCATCCCCGTCAGTCCGTGTGCTCGCAAGCTCTGCTAATTCCAATTCAACATCAGTATTTGGGAGCGGCGAAACGGCTTCCCTGACCAGGACCGTCTCCATGGAGAGTACTCCGACAACTATACCCCCGTCTTCCGCGCCTAAGCCTCATTCAAGTAACACACCCTCAAGACCTTCAACAAATACGCCCTTGACCATTACACCCTCCAAATCCTCTCCTCTCGCTCGTACACAGCTACAGCGTACACCATCAAAGACATCCAATATGACACGATCCCCTGGAGCAAAAAATATACACTCTCCAAGTCCAAAAGTTCGTTCTCCTGGCTCAAACTTCACAGGTAAAGAGCCTGTTGCGTTGCTGTCCGAATCGCTCGCCTCGAAAAACGGTATGGCTGCAAGTGCCATGGGCGGGACCAGAATAGGAAGCGTCTTCAGTGATGGTACCGGGAGTATCATCGGTGGTCCTAGACGCATGAATGGACGCGTCACAAATGGTGCCGTGATCAATTTGAACGATGATACGGGTTTGGAGGATATATGGGATCATGAAGATGACGGGATGACGTTTGATATGGTTACGGATGTGGATGGGGAAGGCGATGAAGAGGTGAGTTCGTTTCGTTTTAGTGTTTCGTTTGTCTACTCTTTTGTGTCTGTACTTTTGCGATTATTGGATTTTATGCGGCCTTAACGTCGTTGCGTACGCACGTCCTCCTGACGCGCACTACATGCACACATTTATTCCCGCTTATATCACTATCCAGACCCTACTTTCACGTGCATACATTGACTCATCCTTCTCTCCTCTCGCTTCTTCATCAAACCTACTAACTCAAGTCTACAGCTCGACCAAGCCCTCATCCAAATTCGCACCCTCCACACCTCCAAACTTCTTGCCTACAAGCGCCTCCTCGAACGCGCGCACGCAAGTAGTGCAGCGCAGGTTTATCATCTTCAAGCTCAACTTGCAGAATTGCGTTCTCAGTCTCAGGCTCAGGCGCAAGGATCTTTGCAACTGGAGGGGGGTGAGTATTGTGTTTGTGGTGGGAGGAAGAGGGGGTATTGGGACGGTGTTAGTTGGGGAGATGTGGAGGGGGATGAGACCGCAGAGGGTGGCGATTTGGTAGATGCTATGAAGAAGCTTGATGAGAGGGGTATTAGGAGGGCTATGAGAGGGTTGGGGAGGGAGAAGCGGGGGAGGGTGTGAGTCTTTCTTTGTTATGGTTTGGGTTCCTGTTTCTTGTCGTTGGAGGTCGTGCCTGCTGATTGGTGCAGGGGCGAGATGACGTGGTGGTCTCTGGATGGGTTCTCTCGTCTCTCTTTCCTTTTTTACTCCACTTTTTGGTGAAGACGCTGACACTCGCATTCTATCGCGTAGTATGCAGATCATACTCGAGTGTACGTCCCGCACATCTTCATAAAGGAGCGCCAGCTGATTAACCCTTCTCTTCCCCGACCACCCCAACAGCAACCCTCCCAGGTGACATCCCCCTGCAAATCCTCCTCCTTCAAAAATACCTCAAAAGCTCATTCGACATCATCGGTTTCCTCGCACCTGAGATCGCCCTTCAGATCTTGAGCAAGTTGAGCGTGAAAGAGGTTGTGAGGGCTGGGTTGGTGAGTGTTTTGTTGTGGGTTTGTGGGATGTTGGGGCATCTCGGTTCCGCTCGGAACCCTTTTGTCTTGAGACACTGATCGGAACCACATGAGTACTGATGGCACATGACAGGTCTCGAAAAAATGGTACACCGCAACTCGTCATCCTGCATTGTGGAAGTGGCATTGTCTGCGCTTGACTGCCAATGATCCGGTCCGTGTGAGAGCACCAGCGCAGCGTGAGGGATGGTGAGTTCTCTTTCCCCGCTTTTCGTTTTCCCCCCGATTCCTACTCGCCCCTGTTTTTCCTCTCCATTGTAAGCTTAACACTTGCATTTACTGATTCTTTCGATGCATTGCATCACAGGTACCCTCTCTACCGATCCCTGCACCACCGCGAGTCCAATTTTGCTCATGCGCTCCCACAGAGCATACGTTTCTTGAATGGACATACGAATTTCTGTACGACGTTGTTATTGAGAGGTGAGGGGCGTTTTGCGGGTGTTTTTTGGTGTCATTATTATTTTTGGGGAGGACGGCACTTTTTTTTTAGGATGAGGAGGCTTTTCATGCTGATGAAGAGCCGTAGAATGTGAATCAGGGAGGCTGAAGGTCAGCAGCTGTATTGCAATTCCTGCTCTTCCGGCCACTCCGATTCACAGCTACTCTACGTCCATCCGCCCTACCTCCGGTGATCGCGTGCCCTTTTGACTCTATACTTAGGAGATGTAGAATGCGGATCAGGGGGGCTGAAGGTCAGCAGCTGTATTTCAAAGCAGGTCTTGCTCCTCCAGCCAATCTGATTCACAGCTATGCCCCATTTCTCCTTCACATTTTGCCTTTGCTCTCCCTAAATAAGGACTTTCGCTGATGCTTTCGCAGGCAAGCGCCTCATCTCAGGCTCCTACGACGAAACTATCCGTTTCTGGGACATCGACACTGGCGAGATGAAAAAGTGCCTGCAGGTGAAGAAGCCTGTGAGCTGTGTGGATTTCTTGGCGGAGGAAGGTGTGTCGTTTTTTGTATAGTGCATTATGCATGCTTGGAGCTCATGTGCCGAAGAGGTTTTCGTGGTTGGATTTCATGATGTTGGGTGCGTGTCCATTTGTGTACATCTGATATTTGAAATAAATTATTGCCACAGCCGCGTTCACCTTTTTTCCTCCGTTACATTCACACCTCTTCAACAACTTGCTGGACACCTCAACGGTATCCGCGCCGTTGCACTTTCCTCCAAGAACCTCGTCAGCGCGGGGGCTGACAAGGCTCTCGTGTGTTGGGATTGGCGCGCCGGGACGAAGATTGTGAGGTTTGGACAGCAGACAACGATTAATATCGGTGTGCAGATTGTCCAAGGGGGCACAGAGGCGGAGGGGGAGCGTGTAGTGGGTGTGACTATCGATGGCATCGTTCGGGTTTTCTCGATTAGTGAGTTTCTGGTTTCTTTGCTGTCGAGTTCCTCTTTACTCTGTTGCTGATGGTTTGATGATGGTGCGCAGAGAGGAGAGAGATGATCTCGCAGTTCAAGCTCAATGAGCTCGGTGGTAGCGACCCTGTGTTGCATGCGAAGCTGTTTAATGTGGGCTCTGCACCTAATAATATGTTGCAGTGGTTCGCGGCCAAAGGCTCGCAGATGACTGTAAGCGTTGTACTCATCTTTGGTCTGCGTACTTCATTCGCTTCTCCTTAGTGCGCGACTAAATCCGTGATCTTGCATCTGCAATGGAACGAAGATGAAGACGAGAGGACTCCTGCCGAGACAACTACAATGAGCCCTACGTTCACTGGAAGGACTCTTACCTCTCCTACGCCCTCTTCCCTTAACCCGAGATCACGCGCCGTCTCAGCCCTTATACGGCCCACGCAGACGTCTACTCCCCAGCGCAGACAGTCTGCACTCGGGGTGAGTACATCGGGCTTGCCCAAATCGCGACTTTCGCTTGGGACACCTTCCACGCCTCTCTCCTCCAATATCAGCGCATCTCAAATGTCTGGTATATCACCATCTCCGCTCTCCCTACTCCCTCGATCTGGCACCCCGCTGTCCCCGATGGGTGCACCGTTATCTCCTATGGGTGCTGTGGGTGCAGATGGGTTTGCAATTCGGTTCGGGCGCGCGGCAATTTTGACTGCACCTCCCAAGCTCGTTGCGCTCGTAGAGACACCTGATGTTGCTGTTGGCGCAGTGGATCCTAGGAAGAGGAGGGTGGTTACTGCTACGAGGTTTAGTTCGCGGGCGGGGGCTGATCGAAGGGTATGTCTGACCTTTCATTTTCTTACCCGAACCTGCTCCTCACTTGTTCATATCGTGCACCCAGATTCTGATGTCGACGCATCAAGACAAGGACAAGGTTGATGGCCTTGATGGTCCAGTGGATGAAGACACGGGGCCTACGACGGACCATGCAAACCCGATGTTCTCGTCCCCGACGCCAAGCGTTGATATAGATGCAAATATCATTCCTTTGTCAGGCGCATGGGAAGCGCATGCTCATGCCACACCTATGGGTATGAAAGGTCTTCTTGGTCCGTTACCGCCCAAGTTTGCTGGCTTGGCGATGCCGGAGAAGAATCCGATGTCGATGCAGCTCACACATGAGGAAGTAGTGGTAGGGTGCGCGGACGGGACAATTTAGTGAGTGACCTT